TAGTTGAAAATTGTCCAAGCTGTTAATACCCACTTAATTTAAAACCCTCCTGTTTACCCAGACACCTCTAAATTTGGCCCTTTTCCCCATCTTGAACAAGAGGCTGTAATATCTTTCCTCTGCCTACAGCTGTCTACTTGCCAATCCCCTTAAGAGGTGCAGCATTCTTACACTAGTGATTTTGGTTAATACTGCTGTTATGTCCTGCAAGGAACAGGCGACGGGGACAACAAACCTCTTGCCCAGCTCATCATTTTGCCATCACCAAGCTGAGCTGCAGCTCTGAGAACTGAAGTGGATTTACCTGGACCTGTGCAGGACAGAATGCTTCCGAGTTCATGCCAGGCCCCAGCCACCTGAATTGGTGCGTAATTATATCCAGCCAAATCCTGTTCTCTTGCTGCAGTGTGAGAGGTGCCACCTCCGCACACCGTGGAGCTGCTGAGCTAAACCCCCCCCCCTTTGATCCCTTCCCCAGATCCCTGCAGGCTTGTATGCAGAAAGTGCTGTTGCACAGTAGCAGCTGCATTAACTACAGTGGTAAACCCTCCCCAGTGCTCTCACAGCGTTCCTCCCCTGAGCTTCACTGGAGGAAGGGGAGGATAGTGGTGTAAAACCACTCTTCTGAGAAGTGCAGGTGATCCCCTTTCACCCCCAGGAACACCAGCTTTCCTGCTTTGTCCATCTCCTGCAGCCCCAGGCGATCCTGCAGAGAGAAGTGTGACCGTAGCTTCCTGGGAGCCCCACCCTGGCCAAACGTTGGCGATGGCTGGGGAACCCAGAGTGGAGAAAAGCCCTGATGGTCAGAGCACGTTGTTGCAGCCAAAGTGGCTGGCAGGCTAGAGCAGGTTCCATCTCTGCTCTTCAAAGCTTCTCCTCATAGAGGGGAAAAAGACATTTTGGATGACTCTTACAGCAAGGCTTTAAAAAGGAGCAGAGTTCAGTACGCAAATGCTGAAGGGGATTTCGAGCCAGGCGTGACACCACCACTGTAAATCCCACTGCCACAACTGGCCTGGAGAGAAATGCCTTCCCAAACAGCTACTGGCAAGAGGAGGCAATGCCCCAGGAACAGCAGAGGTGGTGAGCAGAGCTGTGGGGTTCAGAGCTCCTCAAGGCCCCAGGGACACTACAGAGTGGAGACAGAAACCCCTCAGCCCCAGCAGAACGTACCTCTGTGTACAGCAAGGTCTCCTTCAGCGGGACGGTCTCCTTGGCTTGGCCGCTTTTGTAAAACCCAAACCACTGTCAGAATAAAAACCAAGGAACCAGTTGCTGAAGGGCTCCCAGGAAATAAGCAGGTTTTCAGCAGCTCCTGCAGTCTCAAGCCTGTGTTTGCGTTCAGCCTCAAGATCTGCCACCAAATGACAAACCAGAAACAAGCACGCAAGCACCAAAACACCACCCCAAAGCAGCACCCACCCTGCCTGCCTCACCTCGGAGATCGGAGGATCGACCATGGTATCATTGAGAAATCTCACCATCACAAACTTTTTCAGAGCCATCAGGTTTTTCTTGTATGTCTCATTGATGCCCTGGGTGAAAGCAATAGAGAACAGATCTAAGTCACCAGAAAGCTCCCTGAGACACATCAGGGAAAGCGCCTGCACCAGCCTGGGAGGCAGGAACATGCATTTCTGTCACCAGCCTCCCTTGGCTGTGCCCACGGCATTCAGCCTCATCTCCAGGCTGCAAAGAGGGGATGGGCCTCCCCTGCCTTCCCAGGGGAGGGAGGGGATTCACCCACTTGACAGAGGATGAGTGGGCTGAGCACGTGGCATAGCTACGCCAACCACGCCAGAGAGTGCAGTGACACAGGAGCTGCTCTGCCGTGGACAAGTCTTCATAAATCTACCAGCAAAAACACTTTGTACAGTCCTGGGATGAAGCGCAAAAAAAAACGCTCCCCTTTGAATTCCAGCAAAGCCAGGGAGACCATGAATGAATTCACTGCTAAGGCTTCTGCTCTCCTGCCAGCGTTTAATCATTCACCGGGTCCTTACCCTCTCCTGATTTATGTCAGCCAAAAAGATGCTGTTTTTCCTGTAGTCCTCCTCCTTCAGAGGGTCGTGCCAATACTCTGCTTGTACCAAGCTGGAGAAGAGAGAAACCAAAGGTCAGACTGGAAACCCAGAGCTTCTCAGGTGGGCCCGGCTGCCGTCACTGCAGCCTGATGGATATACTCACTGCTCCTGAACAGCCTCTGTGTAGGCACCCAGATCCAGCGTCTTCCGGATCCAGTCACAGATACGGGAGCTCTCACCGGGACAGCGTGGAAAGCCGTACACGCCTGGGGTACGGAGATGTGTAACAGCTCAGGGAGCCAAACTGAAATCCCTTCATCCCTCCGGCTGGTAAAGAACCACCCTCTTACGGAGCAGTGGCAAGAATTACCCAGGGAATCAAGCAGCCTTTAATCCTGCAATCTCATTAGACAGCCCTCCTGTCCCTGGGCACTATTACCCACAAAGATAATGGCTGATGTTCTTGAGCTGAAGGTATCTCTCTGGAGAATGGGGGCATGCAGATGAGTGGAATACTGCCCAGCTCGCCTGGTATGTCCCCAGGAGGTCTCAGGATGGTTCCCTACAAGTCTGCCCACTACTCTACAAAGAAATAAGACTCAAGCCATGGAACTTCTCAGGGGAGAGTATTTGAAATTCATTGCCAGCCACTCTTAAATCCCATTTCATACTGCCTCTTTATTAATCTACTGCAAAAAGCACCTCCCTTTCCTTGGGGCTTTAGCCTTCCAAATGCCGATTGCAAAATATCCTTGTGACCCAGAAGGCTTAGTTTCACAAAGGCTTTGCTCTGTAGTTAGAAATTTCTTCTCCCAGGACAACTAATCCCAAGGGCTTCCAAAGTATAAGAATTCTACCCAGACAATAAGTCGTCTACTTACAGAGGTCCCTTCTCCTTGCCAGTTAAGCAAGACAGAGAAGACAATGTAGTCAGCTAACAACTAGGCCAAAGCAGATCACCAGATTCAGACAAGAACAAAGGGACAGTTTCATTCAGAAGAAAATGGTCAGGTTTTTATGAAGAAGCCAAAAAAAAGTAATTCCTCCTGCCAACAAAAGCTGCCCCCCGCCCCGCTCAGGAGGTGTGAGGACAAGGTGTCAGGAGCTTAAGAGGACACTACCTTGGTGCTGTCCCCCAACAGAGATCAAGTTGAGCATGGGAGGAGAAGGACACCTCTGGGCCACGGCCCTCCTGCGGGGAAAGAGGAAGGAGCTGAGCCACTCGCTTCTGTCAGTTTTGCAGAGAGAATTAACCCTTCCTGGTAGAGGAAAGCTACAGGTAAACAGGTCCTTGCCTCCTGTGGAGCGCTCCTACCTTTACGAAGGGGTTTGTCAATTTACAGCTGCTTAGTACTTCAAAAGAGCTTTAAATCAGAACCTAAAACCCCACAGAAATCATTGGAAATTAAAGAGAAGTGTAAACTTACAGGAACTGGCCTCCCTGGGAGAAGCCCATTGCGTTGTAACCTCCTGTCAGGTGAGGGTCCTTTGCGAGTTGGCTGCAAACCTCTCTCACTTGATCGTTCACATTCATAAAGAAGCTGTTCTCCATATCCTGATGGATTAGCCAGATTAGAAAGTACAACTTGTCCCTTTACAATGGCTTACACTATTTTAATCTCTGCAAATAAGTTACTAACAGTTCTGCTTTTGGAAGAGGACCTTAACCTTCACAATATGAGAGAAGTGAAATTCAAGCTTTGAGACTTCCCCCTTCACCACATCTTTGTTCCTACTCTGCCCGGCAAAACCGTCTCATATGGAACAGTGACATTGCCCTAAAGTTCTTGACAATTTGAGTCCTTTCAGATTCTCTGTGTGTGTGTGTATATATATATAAAAATATATTAAAAAAAAATATTTATGAAAAAAAAAAAATTTCACCCATCTTCTCCAGACCCCAGAAAATAACATACATTGCACATTATCCTGAAAGACTACTTAAAGAAATTCCATAGGGCTACATAAAACTGTAAAAAAACATGAAGGCATAGAAAGAGTGTATCTTAATTATACTGAAGATGTATAGTGAATAAATGGTTGTAAATCAAAAAGGACGGCAACGGATAAAGCTCTGCTTTAGAACAGTATCTTATCAGATGCCTTTGTATTACCTGGAGTGGGCAGAGAGTGCTAATCAGCGGGTTTGCATATTAATCCAGTTTAGACTAGGGATTTGGTTTTCCCCAGTTCTTTTCTGTAGGTATTATCTAGACTTTATTGGTTTCTACCTGTCAAAGCTGTTTATTTCACAAAGAAGAAAAACAAATAGCAGGGAAAATACAACAGGAATCTTTGTGGATTCATGCTGGTAACAGAGGCCGCAGTAACTGTCGCACTCTCAGATCCACACACTGGCCAAACCACGAGTGACATCAGAGCTGGTTACCTGTATCAGGTTGCTTCCAATCTTGAGAGACAGAACATAAATCCCCGGTATTTTATTCTCCACTATTTTCTTAATGTAGCCCATGCTCTGTGGATTGCAGCAACTGTCTCCTGTGAAAGGCAACGCCACGAAGCACCATCACACCGCCGCCCCAGCCCTCGCCTCCCCACCACAAACACACCCGGACCCCTCCCTGCTGCAACGGGAGTTGCCAACGGACACACGACCCCGGGAGAGGAGGGTCCGCACCTCCCGGTCTCCGCAGAAACCCGCGGCCCAGGACGGGGGGAGGACACCGGAGCGGGGCCGGGGCCGGCCTGCGAGCTCCCCTCGGGCCCGCTCAGCCCCCAGAGCTGTTACCGGAGGATCGTCGCCGCCCCCCGCCGCCGGTCCCGGCTCACCCATGCCGTGCCAGATAACCAGGGGAACGGCGGCAGCCCCGCAGCCCGAGCGCAGCCCCAGCAGCACCAGCACCGCCACCCTGAGCGCCGCCATCTTGACTAGGCACATGACTCGCGGCGCGGCACGGGTCAGGCGGCGGCGGCGGGGCCATGAGGGGGGCGTGGTCCGCTGCAGGGGCGTGGTCCGCGGCGGGGGGCGGGGCCTAACGGCGGCGCGGCACGGCCGCGTTGTTCCCGCTGGAGCCGCCGGTTCGAGTCCCGCCGTTGCTCCATCCCACGCAAGTCCCTGAAATCCCAAATCTTGCCACAGCGCGTGGTTGCGTCCTGCTCCCCGCCACGGAACACGGAGCCGGGAGACCCAAGGCCACCCTGGTCCCCTCTGGGGTTGGGGAGACGCCTCTCCGCGTACGTGAGCTACTCCAGGGGGATGGGATGGGGCAGGGAAGGAGCCTCCCTTCGCACCAGCCGAGGGAGGGCAGGGGGTACCTCTGGGGCTTCTGCAGGAACACCCCGGGGTGGGTGAGACCCCGCTGCCCTGCCACGTTGTTGTGGTCAAAGGGTATAAACTACGGGTGCAAATAAGGTCGCCCGGGAAAGTTTGAGGCTGCTGTAAACCACGGTGCTCATAAAATGTTTGTGCCGGCACTGCAGGCGTCTGCGACCAGCAGCCAGCTCTGCTCCCACCATGCTCAGGAGGAAATTCCATGGGTCACCGCCCTGCTGCTCCTGTGTTTGTTATGTTTGAGATTTGCTTCCCAACAGGGCTGGATGTTATCTCAAGGAGAAGTAAGCAGCAGCGTTGTGGACAGGAGAGGATGCAGCGCCATGCAGAAAACCCGCAGGCAGGGGATGGGCTGGAGGCAGAGCAGGATGAAGCCCCTCTGCTTGCTCAGCAGCCCTCCTCCTGCACAGGTAAATCTGCTCCCTGGGGAGGAGCGGGCTGAAGTGTGGCCTCAGCAAGGCCTGGGAGCCAGCAACCTCAGGCTTCGATGTGTCCCCTCCATCCTTGGGCACGTCTTGCCTTCCCGCCCCTCCATTCTCCTGAAAATATGAACTGCCATTCCTGCAGAGGAGGGCAGGGGCTCAGTGGTAGATGTCTGCAGGCTACCTGGAAAGAGCCATTTGTTGCTGCAGTAAGGTGATTACCTGGTGACACAGATCTGCAGGAGGAGGCCTCGCTGACCAGCCCTGGTTTGTGGGTACTCTCCTTCCACAGGGCTCTGTTCTGCTCGCTGTGGCCTGACCCTGGTCCTGCACGTCTCTCTCTTCGTGGCATACGCGCTCCGGGTCAGCCTCAGCATCGCCATCGTTGCCATGACTAACAGCAGCCATCCCCACGGCTGGTCCGGCAGCGTTCCCCACAGCTCCTACCCTGGATTTGCTCAGGACGTAAGTGGAAAGCAGATGCAGATACCTGAAAGCCACTTCCCGGGCTCAGTCCACTCTTGCTTTTGCATGAGGACAGACTTGGAAGGAGCAGAGAAAAGCCTTGAAAAGGGGGCGAACGGGTAGAGAGCTCAGTTTGTTGTACTCAGAGCTGCATTTCCCGGTTGCTTCTCCCTTTCTGGGAGGAGTCTGTGCCTGGAAAACAGAGATCTCTCTCTGACAGACACGTCATGTCTCCTCCAGATCCCCAGGTACAATTGGAGTGCTGAGACTCAAGGAATCGTCCTCAGTTCCTTCTTCTATGGCTACAGCATCACACAGGCACTGGGCGGGTACTGCTCAGGGCTGTTTGGAGGGAAACCCGTCCTGGGCAGCGGGCTCCTGCTCTCCTCTGTGCTCACCCTCCTCGTGCCCCGAGCAGCAGAGCTCGGCGTGAGCTTCCTCATCGGGCTGCAGGTGCTGCTGGGCTTGGCTGAGGTCAGTCGTGGCTCCCAGTGCTGCCAGGCTATGAAACTTCCTCTGGTTAGCTGTGACTACGCTCCCTGTGTCCCTTCCCTCCATGCTCCTTGTTATCTTTGCAGGGAGTGATATTTCCAGCTCAGTACACGCTCTGGGCAAAATGGGCTCCTCCACTGGAACGCAGCAGGCTCATGAACATCGCTGATGCTGGTAAAACACAAGGACTTTTCCTTTCTATCAATTCAGTAAGTGCAGGAGCTCCCCTCATCGCCTCCTTTCCAAGCCAGTCCTTGTAGCAGCCTCAAGTTCAAGGCTGTAGGTCTTTGGCAAAGAAGTGGTAGCAGCATTCAGCCTTTCTGCTTCCCCTCCTCCCACCCTATGTCTTCTCTGTCTCCTCAGCTCAGGTCAGCTTGAGGCAGGAGAGGGAACCCAAACACTGAAGGGAGCAAACCTAGATACAAGGGTACTTATTTGCACTTCATTTGTGCCACCACATTTGCCCGTCACAAATCAGGCTGGAGGCTGTAGGTCTGTCCCACTTGCTTCTAGTCACACAAAGTCCCATTAAAATTACTCTCCTGGTTTCTGATCCCTAGGATGCACTTTTGGGACTTTCGTTGCTCTCCTTGTGGCTGGGATCATCTGTCAGAGTCTGGGGTGGCCTTTTGTCTTCTACATATTTGGTGAGTAACGGCCCATCATGTCCCTCTACTCCAACCCCACTGCAGACCGTTTGCTGGCAGAGCTCCCAAAGGTTCTTCATCAGAGCCCTGTGGGACCTACTCCATCCTTATTAGTCCCACGCAGAGCTCTGGGCTCCCCTCTCACCCGCCAGGCCAGGATGAAACAATTTTGCTGGGCTATTATTAAGGAATGTACCTTTGCTGAACCTTTCGTGCCTTCAAGCCAGCCCATTCCCCTGTGAGCAATGGGTTCAGGGGAGTTTGTCCCTTTCCATCTTCCAGCACTCGCCGTTTCACTAGTACCAGCCTCTGTCCTGCTGGCTCTCAGCTCTGCTGCAGCTCACCATTAAGAGGAGCTGGCACTGAGAGCCCCACTCCTCGCAGGTGCCGTTGGCTGTGCCTGGTGCCTCTGCTGGTTCCTCCTCGTGTACGAGGACCCTGCACATCACCCGTGGATTAGTGCCGGGGAGCAGGAGTACATCGTGTCGTCGCTGGCTCACCAGGTATATGCAAACCTTTTATCCACGACTGACCAAACTGCGGACACAGTGGCAAAGGGACTGCTGTCAGGCAGTGCAGCTGGGTTCCTTATGCAGCAGCCAGGGATAGTCCCAATCTTCACAGCACCAGGTGGAGAGAGCAAGGAAGGCCTGGACAGCCCACCCAGGGGATGTGAGACAGGAAAGGAGGCATTGGCCGATGTTTTATTCCTTTCAGGGCAGCTCTCATGGCCGCTCCCTCCCACTTGTGGCCATGGCTAAGTCACTGCCTCTTTGGGCGATCACTGTTGCCTGCTTCTGCACTGACTGGCTGTTCTACATGCTGCTGACCTCCATGCCCACGTTCATGAGCAACGTCCTCCACTTTGACCTCAGAGAGGTGAGTGCTGCCCTGCAGCTGAGGCTGGTCCCTGCAACAGCACCGGGACTTGGTCTCTCTGTAGGTTGGAAACATTGAGGTTCCTCAGGGATAGCTCTTCCTGAAGATCGGTGGCTCTAGGACCAAGAGAGCTGCAGTCTTGGAGCTCTTGGTGCTGTTAGTTCATGGCATGGACATGACAATGCCTTGCTCTCTGCTCTGCAGAACGGGCTCCTCTCCTCCATGCCTTACATTGGGAATGGGCTGGGGCACATCCTGGCTGGGCTTCTGGCTGATTTCCTCCTGGCCAGGCGAGTGCTTGACACGGCAGCTGTCAGGAAGCTCTTCTCAGCACTCGGTAAGGACAAGCTTTCATCTGCCTTCCAGCCTTTCCAACACACTTGTGTGGCCTGTTATAAAACACATCCCCTTTTCCTCCCAAGGGATGCTGCTCCCAGCCGCCTTCCTGGTGGCTGTACCTTACATTGGCTGCAGTTCCACGGTTGTTGTTGTGCTTCTAACACTGGCCTTGACAATAATCAGCCTGACAGGGGCAGGCATCAATATTAACCACATCGATATAGCACCGAGGTAAGTGGGGCTGACCTCTGTGCCCTCCCTGGCTCTGCATCTTCCCTGTTCCCAACCCCCCAAGGCTTCTGCAACTCCTACTCTCCCTTCCTTTATCTTCTGTAGTTGATGGCATTGTAAGCTAAGGAGTAAAAGAAAGGCTTAAAATCCCCACCCCAGTTTTGCAGGGATGATCCTAGTGTTGCTCAGCATGACAGGCAGTATTCATGCAGATGAGGGAAGGGACTGGCAGCACCTACTCCTCTCCCTTCTTGTGACAGTTTATTCTTTGCCTCACTCAGGAAATCTTTGCTTCCCCTCCTCAGATATGCAGGGTTCCTGCTGGGAATCACAAATACCTTTGGCATAGTTGCAGGAATTATCGCTCCTACCGCAGTTGGACTTCTCGTCAGCCAGGTAATTCGGGACTGCAAGCTGCAAGCACATCCCTGGAAGAAAACACAGCTCTGCTCTCAGAAATGGATTCCTTTCTTTGCACTGAGTCAAAAATTATTCCAAGCCAACCCACACTCCCAATGAACACATGTGATGTAGCACCCAGGAAACCAGAGCTCTGAACCATTTTGAGGACAGGGGGATGACTCAGAAATCAGGAAGAGCTCCACATGGGCCCCATCTGGATGTTCTTAGAGATGGGGAGAGGGTCGAGGGAGTGGGATGAGGGGGAAGCTCTGTGCCAGGAGGAAAAGCTTCCTGAATTCAGCACAGCACACAAGGTTTCCAAAAATGCCAAGGCAGGAAATGCATCTCCAACAAGAGGGGGTCTGGCATATGTCTTGAGTTGAGCAAAGCTCTTCTGCTCTCGGTACTATTAAAAGCAGAGGATGGAGATGAGTTTAATGCCCGTGAACTGGGTGGCAGTAGTTAGGTGACCACTACATGGAGATAAAGGGAAGGGTGATACCACTGTGATCTGTTCTTGGCCTCCCAGGATCCCCAGACTGGCTGGAGGAATGCCTTCTTCGTATCTGCAGCCCTCAACCTGTTTGGCCTGATCTTCTACACAGCCTTTGGCAGCGGAACCATCCAAGACTGGGCTAGGGAGGACACTGCTATGCAATGAGAGCCGCGAACATGGGAAGGTACACAAGAGACTGGGCTGCAAACGGGCACGGGTCAGGCAGGAGCCCTGTCCACTACCATGCTCTCCCCTGCGCAGCGAAGCTCAGCCATGTGCTCCCGCCTGCTCCCAGGGCCCTTGCAGCATCCTCAGGCGATGGCTCGAGCTATGCAGCCCTGGCCGCTCTCTTGACTCTTGAAGTGCCCAGCACCTTCACCCAGCTCTGTCCACCATCTGATCCCAATCTACTCCCCTGGGGAGGCACCAGCCCTTCGACCCATGTTGCCTGCTGTGCATTTAACCCTGCCCCTGGGAAGGAATGCTGCAGGGTGGACAGATCCTAAACGGATTCATAGAGAGCTGGTAAAGCTGGCTGTCAGCTGAGCTCTGTAAGGAGCCTGTGGCTATTTCCAGCAAAGCTGTTCTTAGGTGAAGTAAATCAATAATGAAGTAGTAGAGTAACATTACTTTTTAACTAACAGCTTCTCATGCCCTCTGCACAGACTCCTAACACTTTTTTCTCTTCTTAATGAGACAAGCTGATTATTCATTCATCCTTCATCCTGTTTTAGAAGCAACTGAGGCAAAAAATAAGTGAGGGCATTACAGAGTTCAGCCTGGCAGCCCTGAGCATGGCCCCTGAGGGGCAGAGAAGAGGATAAACATGGAAAGCCTTGAGCTGGTGCCATCCTTACTGAGTGAGAGCCTCATTGCAAGCATCCTACTCAGGATGTGGCCACTGAAAGAGATGTTTGGACCCAAAAAGGGTTGTGAATTTGGTTTACCCCCTTCCCAGAGAAGCCACATTATGCTCTGCTCCCTGCTGACTGAGGGTGTGGGCTGCGACTCTTCGCTTGATCCAGATTAAGTCAAAATCATGCAAAAAAAAAAGAGGATCCGGATCCCAGGCAGAGATCTGAAACCCTCCAACGCTTCCCTGAAAGAGCTGAAGTGAAATTGAGATATGTTCCCGGGCCTCTTTCAAGGGAACTGAGGGGCGTGGAGGTGGGAGAGGCTCCGGGAGCCAGGCCTGGGTAAGCTACACTCGGTGCTGCTTGGGAGTGGGAAAGCTCCAACACCTTCAGGTGCGGCGTCTCCCCGAAAAATCACTGTGGCTCATCCCTCCCGGCCTCAGCGCCAGCCCGGGGCTCTCTGGAGCGATCCCCACGGCAGAGGCAGCAGCTCACGGTGGGACAGGGCCGGCGGCCCCTCCACACCCGCGGCCCGTGGGACAAAATGGCGGCGGGGGCTCCCCCGCGCCCCGCGGTTGCCACGGCAACGGGCAGCGGCGCCACCCCGCGCCCTCCGACCGCCAGGGGCACTGCATCCGGCGCCGTCCCATAAGGCCTCGCGGCGGCGCCCAGCTGATCTCTTCCCCGCCTCCATCATGGCGGTGAGTGGCGGAGCCTGCGGGCCGCGGCCGGGCTGTGCCGTCTCTATCCACCGCCATCCGTCCTCGGCGGGGCCCGAACGCGCCGGTGCCCGTGCGGGCGGGAGCGGGGGAGGCCGGGAGGGAGAGCTGCTGGGCCGGTATGGGCAGGGAGAAGCTCATGGGTCGCCCTGGGGGAGCGGCTGCCATGACAGGCCGCGGCCTGCCCGGTGGCTGCGCTGCCGCCGCGGAGCCGGGCTTCTCCCCCGGGGTGGAGCAGGGCTCGGGGTCAGGCTGCGGTAGCGGCTTCTCCGGCGGCTGGGGCGAGCGGTGGGCTTGTCTTCCCCTTCCGTGTTATGGGGTGGGCACACACACACACACACACAGCCCCCCATTTAGCCTCCGTGTCGTTTCTCCGCAGCAAGACCAAGGTGAAAAGGAGAACCCCATGCGAGAGCTGCGCATCCGCAAGCTCTGCCTCAACATCTGCGTGGGGGAGAGCGGGGACAGGCTCACCCGAGCGGCCAAAGTGCTGGAGCAGCTGACAGGCCAGACCCCTGTCTTCTCCAAAGGTGAGGGGGGGGTGGGTTTTGCTGCCGGCTGCCAACGGGGGCTGCGAAGTAGTAGTTTGGGTTTTGCCTTCAGCAGGGGTTGGTTTTTTGTTTTTCTTACTCTCCTGAGCATGCAGAGGGTGAAGAGACCGTGTGGCTCCCAGGGAAGAGGCTCTTTGGCAGACCGAGGGTGGGGAGGTCTGCTCTGATGTGGGCCTTGTGAGAGCTGGAGGCTCTTAAATATTGAGGTGCTGGTGGTCGTTTCTGTCAGGTCACTTCAGAATTAGGCTGCTGCTCTGTGCTTGTCTCCAAGGGGGAATGTGTGGTTGCTTTGATTCTTTTTTCTTTCCTTTAAAGTAATTTCTTAGGTGGTCTTAAACAAGCTCTGAATGCCCTGGGTGGGAATTCTTTGAATAGCGTCTCAGTGTAATTATTGCTGCCTACAGCACGATACACTGTAAGATCATTTGGAATCAGAAGAAATGAGAAGATTGCTGTTCATTGCACGGTTCGTGGGGCCAAAGCAGAGGAGATTCTGGAGAAGGGGTTGAAGGTGAGAATTTGCCTGGTCTGGATCTTGATTTGTGAAAAAATTTAATCCATACCAACTGAAAAGATACGTGATTTGAAATGTTGCACCTGACTTAGTTACAGGTCAGTTGTGGATGATAAGGGTTGGGGGAACAGCTTTGTTCAATTCACAGGCTGCTGTGTTTGCACTGCTTCTGTGTCTGGTTGCTGCTTCATCCTTATTTAAGAGTTAGGGGGTGCAGTTGCTGCTTTTTCTTGAGGTTTTATCTTTGCTGCTGTGATTTATAAGCAGGCTGTGTAAGCAAAATATTAGGGATAAAGACTGAGTTGCATGTAAGTACATTGTGGGTCTGGTAGCAGTTGGAACACGTAGGACTTCTTATTCTGTTTTGCAGCCAATAGTGACTGACAACAAATGTTTCAGGTGCGAGAATACGAGTTGAGAAAAAACAACTTCTCAGACACTGGGAACTTTGGCTTTGGAATCCAGGAGCACATCGATCTGGGAATTAAATACGATCCCAGTATTGGTATCTACGGCTTGGACTTTTACGTGGTGCGTATTCCTCACTTCCTCGCAGCTCCTGGGCTTGTGTAGAAGCTCTAGAAGGAGCCTAGAGCGATACCTGTTTCAGTTAGCAATGAGCTTGCTGCTAAGTGCTGGAAGATAAAAAAATGTCAACAAAATCCAAGTCTAAACTGAGATTCCCAGGGCTGCCATAAAATCTCTGAGTTATGACATGGCTCACAAAGCCTCTTCAGAAATAAATACTGTGGCTCTTACTGTTACTCCTGGGATAATGCTGGAGCAGCTGTGCTAGGTTTGGGGAAGGAAGGAGCAGCAGTGGAAAGTGCAGCAGGGGCTTCAGGAATGCTGACTGAAAGACGCGTTGCACTGCTGGAAGGTTCTCCGTGCGCCTAGAAGGCTCGGGGTGGATCATGTAGCAGTGGTAGTGGCTGGTGTGTTTGACTCTGTTCTGTGCCTCATGCTAAATCTCCAAAATAGAGGGAAGCTATTTGTATGTGTTAGCAATGCTGTTCAGTGTATCTTTTCTCGAGAGCTGAGGCCTCTGAGTAAATCTTCCACACTCATTTTGGTTTCTCTTAGTCAGTGTACATGCTAAGGTGTCCCAACCTAGGAGCTGTCCCTGTCAGTTTACCTGGCTGCTCAGAAGTTACTTCTCAGTTTACATTGAGGTTGTAGAAGATAACACTCTGTCTTGAACATGACTCGGACAGTGAGACCTTACTGATGTGGAAATTCTAGCTTTTTCTCCCTAGAAAACTGTTAAGTTTAAGAAAATAAATAAATGCTGGAATGAAACAGTTATGGGTCTCCTCTCCTGGCAGGTGCTGGGCAGGCCTGGCTTCAGCATTGCTGACAAAAAACGCAGGACTGGCAACATTGGAGCCAAGCACAGAATTGGAAAGGAAGAAGCCATGCGCTGGTTTCAGCAAAAGGTAAAGTCCATCTTTATTTTTGTATTCCAGGAGTTTCCCAGCAAGTATCAGCAAAATGCTTCACTGTGGAAAGGCTGGAACAAGTCACTGGGCAGGAGGAGTTTTTGATCACTGCTTAAATCATTGATTTTTTTCCTGCTCTGGGACAGCAGAAGCTGTGTTGGAGCATGAGTGCTCTTCATGCCCCTTTTTTGTGGTGTTGAAAGTGCAGCTCCTGGAGGATAGCTGGAAGTATCAGCTCTTGTCTAAATCAGTCTCCCACGGTTTTTGGAGATGTGTGTATGTGAATCCCAAGTGATGAGGCAGTGTTAGGATTTGTCTGACACAGCTTCTAGCTCAGCTGCCAGACTTGGAGGATGGAGCAGTACAAATAAAACGAATTCTTAGGTTTATCTGTCCATGTGATCTGACAGACTTGATAGTGAATGGGAGATGCTGAAAGCTTGATTGGAAACGCTCAGAGATGGGACTACTCATACGCTTTCAGAGGTAGAAAGGGTGGACGGTCTGTCTGGAGGGTCTTTACTGGCTACTTTGCCTAGATCTAGACCGGTCATACCCCCATACAGGGCGGGCTCCAGCTGGTTCCTGTGGAATGGCTTTTTTTTCCCCTCATGTCTGGTTCTGCTTACTGTGGTAGTTACTGTCGGGGACCAAATCCTGGGATTCTAAGAGGGACAAGTGTAGTTGCAGTCAGATCAACCTGTGAAGGGTGGGGCTTCTTGTTTTGCTGGGTTGATGTGTGGAGTTCAATACTTATCTGAACAAAGGGCCCCTTGGAAGTTAACAGTACAGCAGCAAAGTTGAAGGGCAGTGAGTTAACTGCAGGAGAACTGGTGTTTCATGTCAGTGTTGTCTAGCTGGCTTGGAATAAACATGATGGCTCAGTTTTCACCACAGTGGTACTGTACCTTTATCTGACAGTGATTTCTCACTCGGTTCTTTTTGTTTTGTTTTGTCCTCACAGTATGATGGCATCATCCTTCCTGGTAAATGAGCAGTTCCTGTTACCAAAAAAAGCAAATAAAATTTTCTAACCCCTAACTTCGGTTGTGAATTTTGTGGGCGTTCTTCCTGACCTGGGAAGCTGCTGGGAGCAAGGGTGGCTTACACTGGAAAGGCAGCAGAAAGACATGGACTGCTGCTGTGCACTTGAAGAGGACATGCTGTTGTGAAGAGCAGATGTTGAATTTGCATGGATACAGTCTCCATTTCTGTACTATCCAACAGCACAAGTAATATGTAGAACTTTCACTAGAGTCTGCAGATGGGCATAGAAAGAGGGGGAAAAAAAATGCTTTTTGATCAATGGAGTTGCAGAGCAGAATTTCTGAAGGATTAAATTCCTGATGGGAACAAAGTAAGTCAGTGTGCTGGTTCTGATCCTCCACAGACCAGCCTATAGTCTTAAGGGCAGCCTGCTCTTTAATAAACGAGGGATTCCGAATTAGCAGAAAAAACTGGGTTGCTCTAGGAACTTTTGGGAGTGCAAGTGCAGTGGGAAGCCAAAGGAAATGGCACATGTATCTCCTCTTAATAAAGCAGAGCTGTAAAGCCAAAATGTGGCTGAAGGTTCTTTGTCTAAGCAAGCACGACAGTGGTTGGAAGGGGCTGAGGGGATGGGCAAGGCCCGTGGTGCTGGGAGGCTCCTGAGATTCAAACCAGGTGTCACAGGGGGCTGAAATCAGCCAGCAGAAACCCCTGATCCACGTTGCTGCTTCTGTGAGCAGTGTGAGTGACCTCAAGTGCCTGTACCTGCAGCCGGTAGCGTTGTTTCTACACCCCAAGTTGTGTGCGTAATGTGCTGTAGAAATCCTAAAGCAATTACTGGATGTGCTTGGAAAGTAGAGGATGAATCTTGATTGGCTTGTTAAAATGTTTAAGGGTTGTGAACTGGCACTTTTTAATTCCACAGCCAGACATTTTTCCCCTGCAAAGGAATGGCCTTTATTGTTTAAAGAGAAAATTCCCTGCAGGACAATATAGCTCACACAGGTGGAGTTTAGCAACACCCTTGCCTCTGCCTGTAGTGCTCAATTCTTTCCTGAATCTTACAGTAAAAAATTATAATAAATCAAGGAAAAAACTCCCATCTGAATCTGCATGCACTCCACCATCAGTGACTGTGCACTGTTGTCTCAAAGACTAGACCATTCCCTTGTCAAGCCTGTTTGAAGCTGTAAATCAGGAGAGGTTGCCAGTGCTGTTGGGTATGGAGCCTGCTCCAAAATACACAGGGCAGCATGTGCTGTGCATGCTAAAATACACAGAGGAAAGTAGAATTTGAACAGAAATCATATTCTGCCTCGGTATAGCTTTATGCTTGACGTAAACTCTTTGAGAGAGTGAATTCTTGAAGAAAAGTCAATAACTAACTTCTGCAGGCTGCTCAGTTTTGGTGAGTTGCAAAAGAAAGTGAAAACCAGCCTGCTTTGCTGAAGCTCTTGACTTGGCATCTTTGTGGCGCATTGGGGTTCCCTGAGTGATACGCTGGCTTCCTGGATGTGATTTCACTGTGTTCTGCAAAAAAGACTGGAAGAAAACCAAGAGCGTTTTCCCAGATGCTCAGTAGCACGTGGCTGCCTTGGCCTGAGGTGAAGGTGACCAGCCCATCTAGGATCACGTGCCAGGACCTGTTATCAGAAGATGCTGGCCTCAGCATGTGACTGCTGTGTGATGTTTTGTAATGTCTGTGGGTTTCTCCCTTGCCTCCTGCTTGTCACAGTTATTGTTGCTCTGGGGTTGTATTTCAGACCCGCTGAGGCAGGGTTTGGAGTGCTGTGGTGTGGTTTGTCCTGATGTACTGAGCCCAAGAGCCTGAGTCTGCTCTGCAGCGCTGTGAGGGCAGCTCTGCAGTCCCTGTGCCCTCTGAACAGGCAGCCAGGGTTTTAATAAAGACTGGGAACTGTTTCAGATGCAGTGACAGGAAGGGACCCCTGGCACTGAGCAAGTGCCTGCCCCAGGAATCTCAAGTTTCCTAATCACTTGTTTTACAGGTCATACTCTGCTTTTTACAGTAATGGGGAAGTGCTGATTGAGTTCAAAACCAATCTGTCAGCTTGATGGTACAAATAACAGAACCTGGCTGGCAATATATCTGTGAGGGCTCCTGGTTCAGATATGAAGGGATTCTTTTCCAGCTGATAACTTATTTTCAGCGCACCATTTGCCTCTCAAATCTCCTGGAGTCTCATAGCATCCCCGATTCCCTCTGCTCGAGCTAGAGCACAGCACTTGGAAGAGCAGGAGATCTTGGTGAGTTTTCTCTTCCTTGCTATCAAGATTCACTTTATTCCTGGTCTGAAGGTGTTTAGCTTCAAAGAGTAAATATTAAATATCTTTCCCTTGAGTAAATGCTATGTGAGCAACAGGATCTATTCTAGACCTGTCACTTTCTTGTACTTAATACCATTACTACTGTTGTCTTGAAAGTGTCTCGCAATACTATGCCTACAGTAGAATTTCCTCTGCGTTATTCTAGGTTTTTTTCCCATTTTTCCAGTCCGTGCTGTGATACAGTGCTGCAGGCTGAGGAGAAAAGCTCTTCTGTCCTGCTTGCTTCCATCGCTGCCTCACTTGAGCAATCCCTGCTTATGCTGCGGCATGGAGATGCAGGCAGCTCAGAATACACTTTCCTAGACCTCAAAACTTGCCATGACAGAGCAAGAGTGTCTGAGACTTTGCAGTAACTCCAAACATCAGCATGCCTCCCCGTCCAGCTACCCCACACCTAGCTCTGTCTCCTTCCCTGGCTGCTGGCATAAGCCACGTGGCACACAGGCCTCTTTATGTGCTGGCTGCTGCAGATGCCACGGAGCTGGCCCGGGACCCAGAGCTCAGGGGGCGTGGGAGGGTGATGGTGCAGCACGAGACACCCACGGTGGCCTCGGGGAGGTCCTCATCCTCAGCCCACTCGTTGAGGTCAGGGTTGTAGCACTGCACACATTTCTGATACCTCTTCCCGCTCTCGTTCCAGCCACCCACCAGGCACAAACGCCCCTCAAGCAGAGCCACCCCGGCCGTGCTGACCCCGGTGGGCAGAGGCGCCACGTAACTCCACTGCCCCGTGAGTGGGCTGTAGCACTCCACAGGCATCACGTCCACCCGCTCGCCCTGGGGACCCAGCTGGCTGCCACCCACCACATACGCTCGGCCGGCCACGGTGGCTGCGCAGTGCCATCCCCGCGGGGTGCTGAGCCTTGCCTGCTCCTTCCACGCGTCGGTGCTGGGCTCGTAGCAGCACACGGTGCGGGAATAGGCATGGGTGATGTAGCCGCCGGTAACCAGAAGCTTGCCGTCAATGACAGTGGTGGCGTGGCAGCAGCAGGGTGTCTCCAGGCTTGCCTTGCTCTGCCAGCTGTTGGCAGTGGGGACGTAGCACTCGACAGATGCCAAAGTGCCCTCGGCGTTGCGCCCTCCGACAGCGTAGAGGAGCCCATCGCAGGCGCTCAGGCTGAAGTGGGTCCTCCTGTGCTGCATGCTGGCCAGGTGCAGCCAAGTGTTGAAGCGTGGGTCGTACCTGGGGGACGAAGGGCAGATCTGTCTGTCCAGGATTAGCATCAGAGCTGTGGGGGGGCCTGCCAGACATCTGCCTTTGGAGGAGACAACTTGTGCTCTGGAAGAGCCTCTCTGTCCTCTCCAGCGGTAAAAAAGCATCTGGACAGGCAGCACAGATGGAGACAATGGCACTGCATGGGACTGGATCCTACCTGTGACTGCTGGGGTTGTTGCTGCTCTAACCTTTGGGACAGCCCAGCATTGCTCCTGCCACCACAAGCTCAAGCCTGGCTTGGAAACGGCAGGTGCTGCCGATCCTGAGGTGTCCCCAGGCACCGTCACTGTCCCCCCTGTTGGGTCTTGGCAGGTAGAAGAGGACCTCGGGACAGGACTTCCCTGCCCATTCTGCCAGGCCAAAGCCAGGCACATGACAACAAGCCGGCTCCTTGTGTGCCCACGAGATGGCAGAAGGAACTGGAACTGCTGTGTCCCCAGAGCGATGCCACGGGGACTAAGGCCGGGCTGGGAAAGGTGGGTAAGCTACTGGCTAGAAACAGAAAGACCTGCCAGTGGGTCCTGAAACCTCACTTGTTGCAGGAGAAAGAGCCCAATGACAACTCCTAACAGAGGGGTGGTGATCAGGGGCCATGAAGGGCTGGCCTCGAGCAGTGCCGACTACGTTGGGTGTGGAGCCTCAAGTGGCTGAGCCAAGCCGTAGGCAGAACCACTGGGAAGTTCAGCTTTAGGTTGCAAACAAAATACTGCATGTCAGGTTGCCATGGTTACTCCTCATTTCTTTGAATAGTAATCCCTTGGTGATCCAGTGACAGGATTATGGGGATTTAGGAAGCAAACCTTGTCATTTAAATGATGGAGAGAGAAATGGAGGTGGAGAGAAGAAAGCCTGAAGGGCAACAGGAATCCTACAGACAGTAAATCTACCTTAAAAGGAATCCAGGCAAACCAGAGACTGGGTCGAAGCTGGCACTGGCTGGAGAAACAGCCAGTGGTTGACAAGCGTCGTTCCCCAGAGTAACAAAATGGGTTACTTCTAAATAATGAGGGCTCCCATTTCTCACACAGACCAAACTCCTGGAAGTGGTTTCCAAGTCTTGTGTCTCACAGTCCAGCACCCTGTGCGGGGCCTCACTGTGTTTGTCCCTCCCTGGCAGCATTATCCCAGAGGCCAGACCCACCTCCTGGTTACTGCCAGCAAAGAGGAACCTTTCTGACACGCTTGTCCCTCACCCCATGAGGGATGCTGGGGCACAGACAGACATGACACAGCTCTGAATCCCTCCACAGGGTCTTTGTGGCCAGGTGGAGCCCATCTTACCTGCTCAGGCTGCTGACAGCATGCTTGGCCTGGTTCCTGGCATCGTTTTGGTCTTCACCACCCGCGACGTAGATGAATCCATCCATCACCACCACGCACTGGTTAAAACTTTTTGCTGGCATCTCTGTCAGCTTGTTCCAGTTTCCCTCTGCATCTCTGTAGCTGATCTCCCTACTAAGAGCCTTCTCAGTCAAAGCTGGACGACCCCCAACTGTGACAAGCACCCTCTGGCCTCCCCGTATCCTGGTTCTCCGAGACTGAAGGCTGTTTTGCTGGTGGGGGAGCAGGTGGTAATTCATAGCATCCACAAGGAGCTTGTGGCACTGCGGATCTTGCATCATGCGTGGCACAGGTTGCACGTGGTTGACCAAGTCTGGAGCTGAGATTGTGCCAAATCGAATGTTGCTCAGGAGGTCAGCAGCATATCGGACCCGTTTTGGGTCAAACTCCAGCCACTTGACAGCGATCTGGAAGGCTGCAACCTCGCTGGGTATCTGCAGACCATCATCCATCAGCAGCTCTTTGATCTGATCGAAGGGGAGTTTCATGAACTGGTCAGTCTTGGAGAACTCCAGGAAGTTTTCCCGGATGAATTTCCATGTGGCGTCTTTCACCTGGTTGAGGCCATAGGTGGCCGAGATGTTGGTGATGTAGACGCAGTTCTCCACAGCCATCTCCCGAACAAGGAAGTTGCTGCAAATATTCAGCAGTGCCGGCACCTGCAGCTGGGTGGCTGCGGCGATGGTGCTGCCGATGGTGTACAGCGAGAGGCTCAGCTTCCCCGTGTAGGCATAGGTGATGATGGTGGTCAGGCCCAGTGGGGAGATGTCATGGAGCTCCACCCGTTGCAGATGAGGGTCTCTCTGCAGCAGGCGGTAGAAGTACTCACTGCAGGAAGCCAGGATGAGTTTATGCACCTCGAAGGACTTTGTTTTGGTGGCAATGGTGAGATCGCAGAGGAACCGCTTCTGGCGCATCTGGTTCACCCCCTCCAGAAGGCTGGCTCCGTGGTCTGGCGCTTCAACTTCTGTGGCCGTGCAGTGGAAGCCGTTGGAGCTGCTGTCATACAAACCATTCAAGTGATTGAGGTGTTCAACATCTAGCAGAGCATCTTCCACCATCACTGAGGTGATGGATGCATCCTCTTTATCCACCTTGGGCTTCTTGGGGGTTTTCCTTTTGGGTGCCATCTTGGCAGAATCGGAACAGGACGTGGTAAGAAAGGCAAAGTGAGGAGTGTTGTACAGGTGTCCTTCTGCTCTTTAAGACATTCAGTTAAGCAAAGGAAAAACTCCCACTGACTAATACGCTCTTTAGGTCAGGGCAAGGGAAGAATGGAAACTGCCTCCTAAGCCCTGTACCCCTGTGAGCTGCGTTAAAGGCATTGAGGGCCGTGACTGCAAGAGGGGATCCTCAACTCTCAACCAGTACCAGCACCTTTGTTGCATTAAAAAAAGGACTGGGGATTTTGGGTGGTTGCCATGGGAAACTGGGAGCACCCACTGGTTCCTGGGGTGTGGAGCCATGCTCAGCCCCACTGACAGCTCTGCTGTCTGGGGTGACACAGACTCCAGGCAGAGCAAGGCAGCAATTGCAGGGTGTATTTTGACTGACTCAAGCGCATGTCAGATGGGGTGAATCAAACCCCAGCAGCTCTGACAGGTTCCCACACAGCAGCAAGGTGAGATGAACCCCAGCACTGCAGAACCTCATAGCAAAGGGGGTTCATTTCTCCCTCAGCCTCCTGGGCACAGCAAGGCACTGCTGGGTAGCTAGTGGGGCCAGCTGCCCTTTGGGGTGACCAGTTCAGAGTGCAGGTGAAAGGCGGGAAAAGAAAAATCAACAACAACAACAAAAGTCCAGCTTTTGAATGTTCCCAAATTCCAGTTTGAAACCTCAGTCTGAAACTTGGCAGTGACCTCAGCTCCTCTGAGGGAGCTCAGAGCAGCCAATATATGAGGGAACAAGTCTGCCAGCCAGAAATAGCTGTTACTGCGCTGTCTCACATGTCTGGGTACTGTTTATTACACTTGGCCATAAAGATCAGGTTTCTTGGAACTGAGTAATCAGCTTGTATTTAGCACTGGGCAAAGAAGAAGGAGGGCATTATGAGACTTCAGAAAAAATACGGAGAAAGGAAAGTTTAGCAAAAGCTCCTGCCAGGAAAGAGGACTCAGGGCCGAGTCAGAGGGGCAGAGCAGCAGTGCCAGCCCGGCTGAGCTCAGCTGTCTGGGGTGAGCAGAGGGAGCAGGGATGACACAGAAGCCAAGGGGATTCAGGAAGAAAGTCCCAGGCACTTGAGCCATCCCTGGTATTGTGGTGTTTCACAGGACTACCCCAACTTACACTACTGAAAGCTCATCTATCACAGTGTCATATCCTGGAGCAGGCATCAGTCCTTCTGAAACTGGGACGCAAATGCCGCTCTCTGTGTTTGAATATGAAACACTTTCTGACACCCAGCTCAGGATTGGGAAAAGTAACCAGGATTTACCCTTTCAGAGCAACACTTCTATGTCTCCAAACATGCATTTTGTTCAGACAGTCCATTCCCCAGGAAAATTTGCAGTTTCAGCTTTTCAGCTGGATTTGAAGTGAAAATACATGTTAAATATTGGAATTTCCCCGGAAATTAAAATGTTTTTCCAGGACTTCTCTCCAGATCCCTCAGACCTGCATCTCTCTGAGGTACAGCACTGTAAAAACATCTTTACTGCTGAACAAACCCAAAGAGAAGGAAAACTTGTCCTGGAGAGGAGGTGACCATCCTGCTGCCCCCATGCTGAGCCCGGTCCCAGCAGGATAGATGGCAGGTTGAGGTTTGCAACCTGCTGGGGCAGCAGGGTTTGGCCTTGTGAAATAAGTGACCTGGCTGTCAGCTCCCACCAGGCTGTGCTGAGGTTGTGCCCAATCCCTTCTGCTCCCCAGACTGCCTTGGTTTTAGCCTTTTTTTTTTTTTTTTTTTACAGAAACAAGCAGTGTGTGCTCTGCAGCAAGCCACTACTTCTGTTTATAAACTGCTCACCCCCCTTTCAGGGGCTCCAGACCCCATTTTAGAGAGGTGACACCAGTTTTCAGCAGCTCCTGTGGGCCTGGTGTAGAGCCCAGCATCACAGATGGGCAAGCTGATCTCTGAAAGCCTTCTCAACTCCTGGAAAACCCAGCAATGCAGCTGGCTTTCTCCATCCTCTGTCCACCCAGCAGAGTAGGCAAGGAGGGAAGTTGTTCCTGGATAAAATAGAGGTCTTCTAATTGCATTACACTTCGTACAAGTAGTATGGAGCCATGAGAAGTTTTGGGCTCATATTGATGTCCGTGGGATCCTGCCTGTCCCCTTTGGTCACCTTTGACACACTCTGATTTGAAGCACGTGCTCATGTTACTCCAGTGTCTGGCTACAGGAGGGCAGAGCGACCTTTACTACCTGCAGTTAATTTAAAATGGGACATCACTTCTGCTTCTGATTGAAATACCACTGTTGTGACTTGAAAGGGATATTTTTTCCTACAGATTAATCCTGGTTGCCGGATTAATCTAGGGAGCTGGAATGGTTTGAAGAGATCTCAAAGGGCCCAGACAGAAAGGGGGGAAGACAGGGCTTTTTTCTAGCTGTTTAAACTTCTCTTAAAAGACAGTAGTTGTCCTCACATCCTTTCAGTGCTGTTACTCTCAGCCTTGCACCATATTACTGGGCTAACAGCAAAGCAGGACTACACTAGGGGATACTGTGTTTTCAGTTATGTCAGGCTTATTTTCTTTAATATCTAACCAAATAGACAGAGTCCCTCTCCTTTACCTGCTGGTGCCCCCAGCCCTGGGTTCAAGCAGGGTCCAAGTCAGCAAACACTGAGCTGGCCTGGAAAACTACCTGGACACTACAGCTCTGGGCACTATTTTGCTGCCAGTAATTCCTCCAGCCCCGTTTCAGAAAACAACAAAATCTTTCCCCATGCCATTATTTCCATTATTCAGCAGTTCCCGTGTCCCACACAAGGTCTCTGCAAATCCTGCTAGGCGAGCCCTGGTTTTCCATGACTCATCTATAGGCTGGATCTTCTCCTTACCTTGCTGTTAAGACCGGTTAGTCCAAGGGGAAGCTCTGACCAGCACAGGGCTCTGCAGGTTGAGACAGAGACCCTCAACTTTCCCCACACAACATCCTCCTCCCTCCTCTCCCCTCCCAACCAGCTGACTGCTCTTATCACTTCTACATTTACAGCGGGCTTTTGAGGTGATGTGAGGACAGCCACCCTCAGCTGAGTCCCGAGAGACATGGATAGGGCTGGATTCAGGTAGCGTGGCTCCAGCCAAGGGCATCATCACAGCCAGCACCGGGAGAAAGCATTAAACCACAGACTGGGCATGATTACCTGGCTACTGCCGAGGGCAAAGCAACAAGGAGGAAGCCAAAGGCCTGGCTCCATTCCAGAGGGGTTCATCAGGGCATCTGGGGATGATCTGAGGGGGCATCACCCTGCTAACACCTTCCCCACTCTCCTGAGTGGAGGATATGGCAGCTCCGAGGCGCTGGGCCTGGGCAGCTGCAGCCCCTCTCAATTTACGTTTGTCCGTAAATGAACCTGAAAACCTACTTTCCGCTCACTCCCAACAGCGGTGGTGGAGCCGTTGGCCTTTGTGATGCAACGAGAATAGGTATGAAGACGTATTTGTCTCGGGAAACACTGTCCTGACCGCGGTGCGCCGGAGGCGGCACCACCGCCTCAGTGAGTGGCAACCCCTCTGCCCTCAGCAACGCCCTGCCAGTACTCAAGATGGCGCTGCCCGCCGTCGCTGCCAGGCTCCAAGACGGCACCCGTTGAACTCTGCCCGCACCCGCAATGGCCGCCACCGACCGGGGCAACGGCTGCGCCTCTTCCGTTTCCTGCCCTCAGCCAAGATGGCGGCGGCGGCGGGCAAACGCCGTGTGGCCAGCGGGCGGTGAAGCCGCTTCCGCCGCCGCGGCCTCTCCAGCAGTAAAAATGGCGGAGTCGGTGTTGGAAGTTGTGGGCAAGCTGCAGTCGCGGCTGGCGGGCAGCTCGGAGCCCAAGAAGGTGACGGGGGCGGCGGCGCGGCCGGTGCTTCCCTCCTCTCCCTGGCGGGTTCGGCGCGGCAGGGCTGGGGGTCGGGAGGGCCCGGGCCACCCCGCGGGGGGCGCGGGGACCGGGGCCAGGCCGGGCCTGCACTCCGCGCTCCCCTCCGCTCCTCGAAGTTTCCTGCCTGACCGGGGACGCGGGGCCGCCGCCTCCGAGCCGCGACAGCGGGGCAGGCCCCGGGGGGTTGGGGGGGGGGGGGGGGGGGGGTGTTGTCCTCGGTGGGAGCCCCTCGCGTTGCTGCCAGCCTGTGCTGGGCTCGCAGGCCCCGGCTGCCCCGCGGGAGGCCGGCTGCAGCGGGCGGGGGGTTTTTGCGTGGGGTCCTACCCGTGGCACGCCAAAGGGGGTGCGGTTGGAAAGGCAAGTGGGCGACGGGGAGAACTTGCCGGAAGAGTCTTGCCCTGGTGACGTGTTCATGGTAGAAGAGCCGCGGTGCCCGCATGAGCCCAGGCGGGAGGTGATGGGGAGTTGCATCCCTGCTGTGGGACCGGGACCCGTTACCGGGCAATTGGGATCTGGGCAAGAAGTTGCCAAATTCTAACTCTGCCCCAGCGTGGGTTCTCTCTCTCTTGCCCATCCCCAGGAGGGAACGTGTCTGCTGCCAAAATCTGCTGCCCGCAGCAGCTGTCGTGGAGCGGCTGCCGTGTGCGCGCTGCCCCCGTCTACGCTTGTGCTCGAATCCGTTCAGTGACGTTTGGCTGTGTCTGCTGCTGACAGCAGCTCTTGGTTCTGAGCCATTGTTTTGCCAACTGAAACTTGGAGTTAGGGTCGAGCTCAGGTGTGGGCCCACTGTGTGCTGTTATCTCATTCTCCAGGATGTCATATTTTAAAAGGGGAGCATCTGTCATCACTATTTACAGGTGTTTGGTTCATGTTTCACTTAATTCAGGTGAAAGAGGAGACAGAGAGGGCTGTGCAGCCACTCTGCAAACTTTAACTGAGGCAAATTCCTGCAAAACCGCTTGCTTTCCAAGACCTCGTGCTGCCCGTGAAGAACGATGGGTACTGAAGTGCTCACGTGCTGACCCTTTGAAACAGAGGCCACTGTACCCAGCTCCAGCCTAACTGGGGGTGAAGTGATGTAAGGGTCTGGTTCTTTTTCTCACCCAAGGCCAGAGCAGGGTTTAACTGATGGGGCCACTAAATGAGACTGCTGAGGAGTCAATGCCTGGGCATCCTGGGCTCCGTGGTGCCGGGAACACCCGCAAGACTTCAGATAGTGGCTCAGCATGCTGTGCACAGAGAATTAGTGCTGCTGTTTCCTGACCCTTGTGTCAGTTTGGGGCAATAACTGCTCGTCTGTGTTTCTTGGGCATTGGAAGTCTCCAGGCACTATTTGCACAGGCTGACTTTTTCTCCAGTAACCTTGCAGAGTTGTTTCTTTCTCAGTTGATCCTATGCAGTTTTGCAAGGGGAGGGAGAGGTGGTAAGCATTTGCAAGCTGTTACTAGCTACGTTAGTGACTTTAAACCTTTTCCCTTCCCCAGCAGAAAGGTCCCATGACTCTTTTTACTCCTGATTCCTTTTCAACTATATCCTCAGAAATATTGGTGTTTCTAGACTTGAATTTAGTTGCCATTGCCTTGTCTTGTCAGATTGTGTATCTTCTGAGCACCTTCCTATGTCAGAAAATGTCTTTTGGTTCTTTTGCTACAAATGTTTCCGCTACAGTTCTGTAACAGCTACAGCCTTACCCTGTCAGGAGGACAAATCCATGGCACCCCTGGGTGCTACCCACACATTGTACCATTTCCAGTCTTTGGTTTTCTTGCCTTGCCCTTTTGAAATATTTTATCAGTAATGCGAAAGAATATTATTTGCCCAGTATCATGTACAACTTTCTGTTTCCTTGTTGAAAGGTGTTAAGTATTAATATTGGTTTTGAGTGAAAATTGGGCTGCTGGCACAGAACTGCATGAGTGAAACTTTGGACGCTACTGTAATGGTTTAGAAATGGTGTTCTTTTCCATCAGAGAAGATACAAGCTCTGCTGAATGACTGAGGAAAGAAAGAGAGTAAGGGAAACATGAACATGAGAGCATCATCATGGAGAGGAAGAGGCCAGGCTGTGCTGTAGTAATTTGATATTAATGTGTGTTGTTAGTGTTGTAACGGTCTGACTGACTTCTTTTTAGAAAAGAAAACAGTGCACCCATGTTAAACAAAACTTTTTGAGGCTGGAACTAAGTGAAGTTTTTATGGATTGTGTCTTGTGGCTGACTGAAACTCTGCCCTACGCTGAGGTGTTTTAAAGAGCTTTCTCGTGTGTATTTCATCTGGTGTCTAGCACGATATGAGCCTTGTGTTTTCTGTCTTCTACTTGGTCACCTTTTTCTCATAGGACTTGTAGGATCTTGGTTATTTCTGACATGAGCTGCCAGATTGGAGTCTGCCTGGCTGATTTCAGCTAAAGGCAGTAGAATGTACTCCGTCAGCTTGTTTCCATAGAAAACACAGATTGGTACAAGTTCTTCAGCCTCACTGCATCAGAGTTGTCTCACTTGGTGTGTCTCGTGCATGTGAACCTGTGGTCCACAGAGGTTGCAAGCAGAGCAAGGTTTTGCTGTGCTGTGCGAACACAACTCCCGAATCCGTCCCTACTCAGATATTGCCAGACTGCAGGCCACTTGGACAGCGTCAATAAGCGCAGGTTTTGGTATCTTAGATTGTCAGATAAGTGCATTACTGATGACGCAGGTAACAAAAATGCCTTGTTTCCTGACGGCATCATTTTGAGATTTACGACTTGGCTGGGAAGTCTGCTGCTCAAACTGTGTTAACAGTTCTAGTGAGTGTGCAGGCATAAAAGCTTGGTAAAGTGACACTTAGGCAAAGGTATGTGTATAGTGGCCTCTCAGAAAGGCAGCTCTTGTTTGTATTTTTTTTTTTTGTGTGTGTGTGTGTGTTTTTTTTTTGTTTTGTTTGGGTTTTTTTTAATTTTTTTAAGATGTGTGGAGGTTTCCAGCCATTGACGGCAGTGGGTGTGGAATAAGCCAGTTCCCTGTGAGATGTGTTCTGGATCAAGTGTGTGCGTCCCCTGGTCTCAAACCACCCTTTCTCTGCCTATAGAAAATCCAGAGGTGAGCTCTATTGAGAGTAGTGCTTGTCTTCTTGGAATTCATCTCGAAGGCAACAACTAGCTAAAGAGCAAAAAGAGCTGTGGAAGATGTTACAGTGGGGTGTAGCTAGAGAAAAATCAGGAGGTGTTAAGGATACCATAATGAATTTTCTCTTGACTCTTTCTCTTGTGGTAGGATTTTGTAAGCTCTGAAACAACATCTCTAGGTGGGGAATCGCATTACAGAGACGCTAGTGTTTTAATATTGTCCCGTTTTAGTCTTTTTTTTTTTTTTTTTTTTTTTTTTTTTTTTTTTTTCTCCATCCTTTGAGCGCAGTAGTCCAAGCCCCTGCGTAACCAATGCCAGATTAATGTTGGCCTTCCCGAAAGGATCCCGACCTGTGAGCTGTGGCAGGCCTAGCCATGGCAGTGTGAGGGGAGGCAGCAGACATGGGCTGTGTTTCTATCTCTGCTGCTTCTGTTTGATGGCTTTGCTTGCCAGTGGGCTTGTTGAGCCCTAGTGCTGACAAAGTAACAGCGGTTCTGAAAACTGAAAGGACATTGGGATTTTTAGTTCAACTGGCTGCACTGCCACCCCCGTCAGTTGAGGTAGGTTCTGGGGCACAGTACCTGCCTCAGATCCCGTGAATCCCGGGGAGACTCTCTGCTACCATGAGCCTGGAGTTGCAGGGACAGAGGGCTTGAAGACCTGGTTAGCTGTGGTTACAGCACAGCTAGAACTGTTTCATCCCCCTCAGCATCCCAGCTCAAGAATGCTGAAACACGGTGTTACTGTTACTGTTGGTATTTCACTCTTCTAAATATAATGGAGATGGGACAGTGATTTCTGGTGACAGGAACCATCCTGTGGTTCTGCTTAAGCCTTATCTCTGTGTCGAGGAGTATTTTCTCTCTGAAGGTAATAGCACTCATTTAAATAGGTTAAAAGAACTTACTACCTTCAAAAGGAAGGAAACCTCTAAACCTCTCTGATCCTTGCACGGTAGAAGTGGGGGTGATTGGAATAGCTTAGGCTGACAGTGCTAATTTGGCATGAGCACAGTGCTTTAAACAGAAGATCTTCTGGATCAGGGACAGCCCTTTGTATGGCATATAGCACAGCAGCACTGAACAAAGCCTGGGCTGTATAGGGGCTATAATAATGGGGATGCTGATGAGGCTGGTCTGTGGCTATAGCTGATCTGCAGGAAATAATGTGAGGGGCAGTGGTGCTGTCAGATGTGCGTGCTGCCATGTACTGTAACTAAAAAGTCAGTAGACGTCTCAGTGAAGTGATGTCCCAGAGCACCTGGGTGGCCGAGGTACAAGTACATCCCCTTCAGCTGCAGCCCCTCTCTGGGGTGTGAGTCAGAGAAGGCTTCTCTTCCCTCCCTGGCCTGTGGAGCAGCTGTATGTGCTGGCAGGGCCTCACTTGGCAGCGTTTGCGTGAAGGAAAACAATGTTTTTCACTGGTGTATGGTGAAGGGAAGGGAAAAGAGTGGGGCAAGAGGCAGTGGTTGTGGAAGGGATCAGTTGCCTTGTTAGCACAGGCTATAGATGAGAGGAGAGAGACTGTCAGCAGCACTGACAGAGCAGAGGGTCTGCTGTGGAGATATGGGTTCTCTCTTAGAACTTAAGAGCATCTAGAAATCTTCCTGTCCTCAGTGTCCAGCTTGCAAAACTTCAGCAAGGACTCTTTAATATTGTTTTTCTTCTCCTCTCAACAAGTGATGTGATTCTCAGCACCACCTTCTGAGAGCCACAAACTTCCGAGTACTTTCTTCCACTTGCTGTGCAACAGAATTGTCTGTTTCTGATGCTTTAAGCCAAAGTTAATTTGCAGTTCTGTGTGAAGTAAGTATTAGTATTGGAGCGTATTTTAAGGTTCTCAGATGGGCCCTTGTAGGCAAAGAGATAAGAATTTGTTTACAGTTGGCCCTTGTGTTCAGCTTCTCAGGAGCTTGATTTGGAGGAAGACAGCAGCCGTCTGCCACTTGGATTTTTCTAATAAGCTCTCATGCAGTGCAGAATTTTATTCATTTCTAATTGCAGTATGCGGTTCAGTATGAGAAGTCTGAACACTTTCCCTCTTCTCTCTGCAGCTGCTGAAAAGTCTGAAGAGACTGTCTGAGTTGCCCATCACAGTTGACATTCTTGTGGTAAGAGCTGTGAAATCTCTCACGTTTTCATCGTGTCTGTCAAGTCACAGGATAGCTGCCACGGAGATGCTGCTTTCCCTGGAACACGGCTCGTTGCCTCGGCCACCTGCTACAGCACAGTGTCACAGGCGCGATTGTGATGTGGTTCTAGAGATAGATCCCAGGCACGGGGAAGGAGTGTGTCAGAGCAAGTGTGAAGCCATGGAGGACAGTTTGTCATGCTCAGTTCTTCCAAAAGCTTAATGCTCGACTGGGATATGAGAGTTGGAGCAGTTCCTAATGATAACTGGATCAGCATGAAATTAGAAAGCGCTAATCCTTAAAATTATTAGTGACTTGTGTCTTCAAACTTACCAACAGCCATGGTAGATACTGTCTTGGTTTATTAATACAAATAATTAGTGTTTGACTAAGGTAGAGCTAAGTCTTCTTTGTTTTACTGACCTGTAGTAAATGATATAATGTCTGCTGATGTTGTGGTGTAAGCCCATCTGGCAGCCAAACACCGTGCAGCCACTCGCTCACCATCCCCACCCCTGGGGAATGGGGGCGCAAGTTGGAGGGGTAAGGGTAAGGAGACTCAAAGGTTGAGATAAAAACAATTTAATAATTGAAATAAAATTAAAATAATAATGGTAATAGTAATAATAGAACATACAAGTGAGTAATGTACAGTGTGATTGCTCACCACCTGCTGACCGATGTGCAGCCCGTTCCTGGCTAGTACTCCCAAAGAGAAAATCCTGAAACCACAATCTCGGAAGCCAGAGCGAGCTACCCAATCAACCCTTATCTATACACTGAGCATGATGTTAAACGATAAGGAATATTGCACTGGCCAGTTTGGGTCTGTTGGTTTGGCTGTGCTCCCCGCCGGCTTCTTGTGTACCTGTGCCCTAGCAGGACTTGAAATCAAGGACTTCTCAACTTCTCTTGGCAACAACTAAAAACATCAGTACACTATCAACGTTCTTCTCACATCAAATCCTGTACTGAACCCAAAACACAGCACTATTCTAGCTACTAAGAAGGAAGGTGGAAAAAAAAAAAAAATAGCTCTATCCCAGCCAAAACCAGGACATCTGAAAACATAATATATATATGATAATTTTGCAATTAGATTGAGGAAGTTTATTTCTACCTAGCCATAATAGCGGTCGGCTTAACTTTGTTCACTTTGTAGGAAGTTTAGCAGAGGTAAGAATGCTGACTGTTTTGCTGAGATTAATTCATGTCTTGACTCTTTCCTGAAGGAGACGGGTGTTGGGAAGACTGTGAACAGTTTACGGAAACATGAGCTTGTAGGAGACTTTGCGAAGAACCTCGTAGCCAGATGGAAGAAGCTAGTGCCAGTGTCCCAAGAGGCAGACAGGTAAGTGAACCTGTTTGGTTATCTTGATGGATAAGCTTTGTTATATTTTTTGCAGCGGAGATTATAAACTTCTGTGACCAAGGAAACAAAGCGAAGGCTCTGGAAAAACTTGTAACACAAGTGTGCTAACTCTGCATGGGGTTTTTGCCTTGTTTTGGCATAAACTTCCTGCCTCTGCTAGCCACCGAGCATTGGGTTGCTGACGGCTGCAGTTTTGCATGAAAGTAGGGGCCATTTTCAAGAATTTGCTGTTTGATGAAGAGATTAACAGTAGATGCCAGAAAAGTGCCCTTAATAAAGCAAGAGATGCGATCTGCTTGCTTCCCATTTTATGGTGCTAAAGAGAGGAAGTTCTAGGCCCAAGTAAAGGAAGTGGCTTGCTTTGAAAGGCTTTTATGTGCAAAAATCCTATGGAAACTGAAAGTTAATGCTAGCAAGCATGTTGTAGTAACAAAGCTGTGTTGAAACCAGCAGTGAGATCATTTAGACATGGGTGATAAATACCCAGTTATTCATGATAATTTCAATAGCAGTGGTATCCCTGCATGTTTAGCTGGTGAACTAGGAGACGTGTTCCCCATAGGCACCACACAGCCAGGAGCGTGTAGGCATGGGGAAGTCTGTACGCATCTGTCTCCACTTCCGAGTGAACTGTGAAATCTCTAGTCCTAAGAAAATAAAAAGGCTTCATTAATTCCTGCACTAGAAATTAAATTTCTAAATCCCTGTTACTGTGCCTGAGAGAATTAGTGGTATTCTTGCCACAAAACTACCAAAGAGGAAAGTCCTGTCACGTCAGGAGAGATGCTGGAGCGGAGTAAGGCAGCCTGATCTGTTGCTCTTGTAACAGCCAGTGCAACTAAGAGAAGGTGACGGGTGATAGTAGTAGGTGACTCTTCTGAGAGGTGTGGAGGCACCGTCTGCCAACCTGAGGCACTCTCTACAGAGGTGTGTTGCTTACCCAGTGCTCATATCAGGGATGTCACCGAGAGGCTACTGAGCCTTGTACAGTCCACTGACATCTGCTGTTTCATATGGGCACCAGCGATACAGCCAGGAGCAGTCTGAGAAGTATCAGGAAGGATTACAGAGCCCTGTAAGTGGTGGTAGGGACTCTGGAGCACAGTAGTTTTTTCATAAATCCTCCTGGTCAAGGGGAAGGGGTTTGAAAGGGCCATTCGAATCTGGCAAATCAACAATCGGTTACAGGACTGGTGCCACAGCCATGAGTTCAGATACTTAGACCATGGGACTTGCTTTGAGAAATGTGGTCTGCTGGGGGCTGATGGGGCCCATCTGTCAGAGAAGGGGAAGAGCATCTTTGGTCATAGGCTTGCCAAGCTGGTGAAGAGGGCTTTAAACTAGAGATTCTGGGGGAAGGGAACCTCAATCCATCCTACTCCTACCAGCCTGATGCCAATGCCAGCAAAATATGCCCAGAGCCTGGAGAGGGGTCATAGGTCAGGAGAGCATCTGAAGAGCAGCACAGAGGAATTCCAGCCAGTAAGTCAGCCTCATCAGAGCCCAACAATGGTCTGGGGGCTGGAGCAGCTCCCCTGGGAGGCCGGGCTGAGAGAGTTGGGGGGGGTTCAGCCTGGAGAAGAGAAGGCTCCAGGGAGACCTTAAAGCAGCCTCCCAGTGCTTAAAGAGGGGACAGGAAAGGTGGGGAGGGACTCTGGATCAGGGGGTGGGGGATAGGATGAGGGGTGATGGTTTTAAACTGAAAGAGGGGAGATTTAGATGAGATCTAAGGCAGAAATCCTTCCCTGTGCTGGCCCAGGGTGCCCAGAGCAGCTGTGGCTGCCCCCACCCTGGAAGGGTTCAAAGCCAGCTTGGGAGCACCCTGGGCTGGGGGAAGGGGTCCCTGCCTGGGGCAGGGGGGTGGGACTGGATCATCTTTAAGGTTCCTCCAACCCAAACCATTCTATGATACTATGAAATACAACCATAGTCTTCTGTAAGAGAGGTTCCCATCCGCATGGTCCATGGGGAGTAGCTCTTTTTGTTCGTATTGGAAAGTTTTAAACTAACTATTTTGTTTTCTTATCCCTTCAGAAATAACCTAGATTCTGAAGACCGTGACTATGAGAGGAGCAGCTCAAGTAAAAGACATCACGAACCTTCCCTCAGAGAGGATGAGGAACCTGAGCAGGAGTATTCAGAACCCTTCCAGCCATCTTGCAGCCAGTCCTATAGCCCAGATCATAGGGAAAAGAAATCCAAAAGGTATCCTAGGCCTGAGAGAGCCCATGAGACTTATGGCTATAGCAGCCACGAGGGGAAGGGTTGGGGCAGATCTTCCCCAGTGCTCTCTTCAGATCAGGAGTACTCGGACTATGGACAAGCTGTGTCACCTGAGCCAAGTGAGAGCCCTCAGGATATGTACACAGACCCTTATGCCTCTGAGGAACAGGAAGAACCAACAGTATTTCATAGGAAAGCCAGTAAGCGTCACAGCTTTCAGGAGAAACTGGGGGGAGGCCGGGAGAGGAACCCTGAAGAGTTCTATGACAAAGGGAACGTGAGTCGAAGCAAAGAGCACAAGTCTTCTCACAAGAAGCAGCGACTTGTTGGCAGAGGGGAGGACAGGACTTCTGCCTTCAGCCCTGAAAGATTGCACAAGACCTCTTCTAAAGAGCAACTCCAAGAATCCCCCATGGCAGGGGCCAGCAAGGAGAAGCAGAGGATGTCAGATGGCGCCAAGAAGGAGAAGAACCGAGAAAGCAGCACCTCCAGAAAGGAGAAGTTGCACATGTTGCCACACTTGGAAGAGTCTTTGGACAGCCCTGCTAAGAAGCAAAAACATCGGGACTCTGAGAAGAGTAAATTGGAAAAGCCCAAGTTGAGCCTGGAGACCTCTAACACAGAGCGGGAGAAACGGAAAGCCGAGAGTGACTCGTCAAATAGGGTTAAAGAAAAGGGGATTTCTGGGAGCTTAAAATCTTCAGAGGGGAAGCGCAAAGTCTCTGATACGGACAAAAAATCAATGGGCTTTTCCTCCAATTTTGGGGAGGGGGAAGTGGAGGATGAATTTGAACAACCTACAATGTCCTTTGAGTCGTACCTCAGCTACGACCAGCCCCAGAAAAAGAAAAAGAAAGTGGCCAAACCCTCTGTGTCAGCTGGAGAGAAAGACCGAGGGCACAGCAAACAGAATGGATCCAAAGCCAGTACCAACAGCTCAAGCTCGAGTCGGAAAAGTCCAAGCCACAAGCGAACAAGTGAGAAAAAGGCAGAGAAGAAACTACCAGAGTCTCCTAAACCAAAGAGGGTAAGGTTTTGAAGGATCTGAAAGTGAACAAAGAAGGTGGGATCAGCTGCTCTTGGTCCTCTGCCGTCTGGGGCTTATTAGTTTTCCCCTTGGAGGTACTGGGCTGTGTTCTGCATCAGGGTGTGCTTGCAGTGTCTCATTGGTATCTAGGTCTGTGAGTCCTGGTTCCTGCTGGGAGACACTGTGTTTCCTATGCTTTCTGCCGCAGGCGTTGCTTTCTGCTGTTAGAGTGGACCTCTGCTGGAAAAGTGGGTGAAGAGGGAGGGGGAAAAAAGAAATGCAGTAGGCAAACCCCTGTCAATTTAAAAAATGGGGAGAGTAAAGAGAACACCTTCAGCTAAATACTTGTATGAAAGCATATTGGACATGACACACTCGTTACGCCTGGAGAATATCTTTAGATGTGAGTCAACTTAGAATCCAGCCTAATAGGCGATGCATCTCCACCTGCTAGCAAGGTTCCCATGTCTCTCCTCTCAAATATTTATGCTTCTCTAAAATGGACCTTTTGTTATCTATACTGGTACTACAGTTTTGTTAACTAAATCTGCTGGTCTCCAGAAATGGGGGAGAAATGGGAGGACTGGTGTTACAATGCATCTTATTCTAGAAGACAGACCTTCTTTTGTAAAAGCTTGAAAAACAAGCAACATTTCTGTACATATTCATTGCCACATGGGTGCCAGGGTTTTGTATATAAACAGGGATGGACGTGTAAAACTTTTAATGCTTCATCTTTTCACTTGACTTTGAAACGCTTTGCTCTTCAAAAAGTGTTTTTTCTAATCTTAGCAGCATTTTAAAATCCTGTTTAGACGTTCATTCTAAAATTTTGATATGAGGCACTTATTAGGTTTCCCTCAGTTTGTGAGGTTACCTTCTCCACCACCACTGTGAAGTTTTTTTGCAGGAAGTGGGGAGGAGAAGAGACAGAATTGGTAAATGAGTATTTGAGATCAAGGAAATATTTGTGTCAGCTTTCTCTTCTGTTTTTTCTCTAGTTTTTTGCATTGTTAATCTGACTGGGGTTCTTGCCAGAGGCTTTCAGCATTGAACCCAGTAGGTTAAAGATGTGGATGGCTCTTACTGGAGGTAGCAGAGTGATTCAGATCCCAAATTTTAGCTTCTTTGTATTGACAGCCTAGACAGAGCCACAGTACTGTGGCAGAAGCACAGCCTCCCCCTGAGGCTGTTTGCTGGTGCAAGCTGATCAGCCTTGAGTGGCTTATTCAAAATATCAAACAAAATGCAGTTCAGTGCTGTTTGTAGGCTGGCAAGATGTTACATTCTCCTGTGTTCTCTGCTTACTTGCATCTACATCCTCTCCTTCCAGATACTTTTAGATGTGGTACCAACGTTACCAGACATCCCACTGCCCCCGATCCAGGCCAATTACCGCCCTCTTCCTTCAATCGAATCCATTTCCTGCTCCCAGACAAAAAGAAAAGGTATGTTGTGCAGGAAAATAGATTTGAAATGGGCTGCAGCTGTTGTTTGTGGAAGTGGATGCTTCCTGGGTTCAAGTCTTTCCGTTGGGTTCTTGTGTCCTGCCTCTGGTGCCCTTTGCCTAGGTTTCAGAAAAAGGTAGCTGCTTTCCCATGTGCTTTAGCAGAAATGAGGAAGATCCTTTGCTGACCTTCCTTGAGTCTTGGGCTTTGGACTTGCCCTTCCTGAACTAGGTTGCAGGTATCTTAGAGAAGACTTAGCCCTTTGGGTTGCTTCTGGGTGACTCCAATTTGTCTCCTGCGCCATTCATCAGGGTGGGCTTTTCTCTGTTTCCTTCTTACTCCGAGTCTTTCACTTTACAGCAGTGTCCTCACCAGTTGAAGAGAGTGAAGCTGGTTTTACAGGCCGCCGCTTGAATTCAAAGATGCAAGTGTATTCAGGCTCTAAAACTGCCTACCTCCCAAAGATGATGTCTTTGTATCAGCAGTGTATCAGAGTCCTCAGTAACAACATTGACTGTAAGTACCTTTCCTCATCTGTATTAGTCGTGTTGCCGTGCCGGTATACTGAAGTCTTGGTAACTTGTTTGTGTATATACCAGCAGCTTCTGGTTTGGAGCATGTGAACAGTTAATTGCCCCTTGTCACAAGGCAAGCTAACTAATAAGGGAGAGATATCACTGAAAGCTCAGGTGCTGTAGGAATCAGCACACAGTGTGCTCTCAGGGAGTGCTGAAGCACCAGAATAGTGGTAAACAGAGCTTTGGATAGGCACTTAACTTAGAGATACTGGTGCCTGATGACTCACTAGAGCTGTTGCACCTATGGTTCCTTTCTTCTTCCCCTCATCTTGTGTAGTATCATGCAGCAATGTAGCTTTTTTTGACTGCATTTCAGGGTATCAAGCCCCTTCCTCAGCAAGGAAGGAGCAGGATAAATACTCTGTGCATCTTGCTTCTCTCTAGCAATCTATGAAGTGGGTGGTGTCCCTTTCTCAGTGCTGGAGCCAGTATTGGAGAGATGTACCCCAGAGCAGCTGTATCGCATTGAGGAATGTAATCATGTGAGTGCCTTGGCCTGGGGAAGGGATGGTGACACACAGGAGTGATGTTCTGTCCTCATCTGCAATAGCAGACTAGTAAAGAACAACATTCTTTATAACAAGAGGTGGATTTTGCTGGTCCCGAGTTCCTGGATTTGCCATTTGCCCATCTCTTGCTGCAAGTTGGCCCCTGAGCCGTCTTGCCCTCCGTGGTATTCCAGTGACACTGGCACTAGCTGGTGCTGAGGGGAAGGGCAGCGAAGGCGTCAGGGAGGAACTCAGCTTACATGTGGGTTTGCTTCAGGTCCTCATTGAGGATACGGATCAACTGTGGCACAATCACTGTCTCCGAGACTTCAAGAATGAGAAGCCAGAAGAGTTTGAATCCTGGCGGGAAATGTACCTTCGACTTCACGACGCGCGAGAGCAGCGGCTGCTCATGTTAGCACGGAACATTGGCTCAGCTCATGCCAACAAACCCAAAGGTAAAATAGGACTGAATGATCATAGAGGGGTCTGGGAATGCTGCCTAGGGAATGTTGTGGTCTGTGAAAGGTTTTTTGGAATGACTGGTTTAAATCTAGTCCAATTTAGGAGTTGCTTAGCTCTCTGTTCTTTATGCAGTGGCCTTTGCTTAATGGCTTAGCAGGTGCTTGAGTTCATTGACAGTGTTGTTGATGCAAACTAGACAAAGCAACACTTTACAGCAAGAGTGTGTATGACTGCAATGGCACCTCCTGTTCTAAAGTGGCTTCTCTGTGCTGGGGTTGAAGCAAACCAGGGCGGGGGGAAGCATTCCTGTTCTTTTGGTGAACATAAGGAGAGCTACTGACCCGATCACTCTGATTTCTCACAGCCAGTGTTGTGGCTGCAAGAGGTTCAGCCCTTAGGGAGGAGGCTGTCACCAGAATGGATGGATTGGGGAGAGGTGGTTGGAGCTTGCTGTAAGAAGACAAGCACTGAGGAGCCTCCTTTATAGTAAGCTGGATCTAAGCAGTGTTTCCCTCTGACCTACAGGTAGAGTGGCCAAAATGGCATTTGTGAACTCTGCAGCAAAGCCTCCTCGGGATGTACGAAGGAGACAAGAGAAGTTTGGAACGGGAGGGCCTCTTCTGCCAGAAAAGACCAAGTGAGTGTTTCTCAGTAGCACTTGCTGTTAGGGCATCTTTTCCTGTGGGCTCCCAACAGCTTCCCCCTGAAGCTCTCCATCCTGGCAGGGAAGGATACTGTGTGTCTGGGAGTCCTTTGGCGGTGAAACCTGTACTGTAATAGCTGCCTTTTGCTGGGAAGCATGGAGATCCTGGTCACTGCTGGTTCCGTGTGGTATCAGCCATGCTGTTGTTAACGAATGTGGCTTGTGTCTGAAGAATTGCATCAAGCCACAGTGACTCCTCTACTGAAATGTCTGTTCTGTCTCTGTTTCAGAATAAAACCAGTCCTGTACACGTCTAGCAAAAGCCACACTCGTGTGAGCGAGGAGCAATCCTATGATGGGCCCAGCACCAGCAGTGCCCATTCTGTCCCATCTTCAGGTAGCACCTTCTCCTCCTATGACCCCAGGAAGCCACCAGTGAAGAGTAAGTACAAACTGCAGAATATCCATGTGGTTTCCTAGAGCTCCTCCTTTACAAATGCACTAACCTGCTGCTTCTGCTGTAAGAGAAATCCAGACTGTGCAGGAGGGTTGATGTTGGTGGCCTCTCCATAAGGAGAGGATGGTAAAGTCTCTTCAAACTCCTTGTACAAGAAAAAACATAGGGAAACAGCCAATTCACCTGCCTGCTCAGTGCTGGCTGTGTCAGCTTGTCCTAATGGTACTAGTGAGGCAGAAACCTTGCCTTTCCCCTACTTCTGTGTCTGTCCAGCTGTGTGGCACAATGAAATTGTAGCACAGCTCCCTTGGAGAGGAGGCAGGGAGAGTTTAACCAGAGATCTGTGTTGTTGCAGTGCAGATAGGAGAGCAGGCTCTCCTCAGTCTGTGACCTGAAAATATGATAGGCTGTGATCAGGGAGCATACGCTTATGCGTGCCTTACATCTGCTTTGCCAGGAATGCAGCTTTGAATTGCTCTATGCTCTTCTAGGCTGTGACTTCTGCTTTAATGTGTGGGTTTTTTGTTTGATTTGGGGTTGTGTTTTTTTTTTCTTTCTGTTGCAGAAATTGCACCCATGATGGCAAAGACTATCAAAGCTTTCAAAAACAGGTTCTCTCGGAGATAAGTTTGCAGTGCAGATTTGGGACTTTCCCTCTCATGGGGGAGTGGCACTGAAGGGGAGAAGGTACCCAAACAGCCCTTTTCTTTGAACTCTTTGGAGGCTGCAGCTGCTGGGAGAAGCTTCGATCTGCACAAGACGACAGCACAGTATTTTATCTCTTATTCTGGTCCCTTTCTCAGTGTCAAGCCCCTCTCTTTTCCCCCTGCCCTTAACATCCTGTTTCTGGCTTTGTCATCCGTCAACAGAAGGGTGTACAGAATCTCCCAACACAAGAAAATGTGAAGTCTTGGCACCTGCTGAGAGTGGAAGATCCAGAGACTATTTACTATTTAACCTCTTAATAAATTATAAAATGGTTTTAATTAATATTTTGCCCCTCTATCCCACTGGTATTATTTATGTTGCTCCCAGTAGTCCATCCCCCCCAAGCCAGTACGAGGGCCAGCCTCTCTGACTGGAGCTGGCAGGAATCCATCTGTCTGAGTGGATACTGGGTGTCATGGGAGTCTTTCCTTGTGATCTGGTACCTGCTGGGCCCAAAGTCCCACCTGGGCTCTCAGACAGGTGGGACCAGTGGCCCATCTGCTCGTTGGTCCTTTGGCAAGAGCATCAAGTCCTGAGGCTTTGCTCTCTACTCGTATATGTTAATAAAATCTTAGCTCTCCACCTTCTCTCTGCTCTTACTGTAGATCTTGTACAGATGCTTACATTGTTGTGCAGGGATGCCAAGAGCCATTGGGGACTCTTTCTTCTGCTGCTGTTGTCTTCTGCTGGCTACTGGGAATAAAAGTATGAGGGATTTGGGGAGAAATTTTACTGTGCACCAAGTCAGATTTTAGCTTGCTTTTTTTTTTTCTTTTTTGTTTGTTTGTTTTGGAGAGAACTAGGGGACTTTGCCTCTGGAACTGAAAACAGTTTTTAAATCTCAACGGAGGCATCAGTTTGCCTCTTTTAGTGGAAAGAAGGAGTACTTTTATCTAGTTTTCTGTGTGGAATTGGGAAGGATTTCTTTCCCATTTGGAAGCTGGTGCTTAAATCTGGTCTTTACGCTGTATGTTTTGCTCTGCCCCCTCTTTGGAAAAAGCTTGGATTTTAGTCTTTGAACCTGAAACCACTTGACTGGTGTTGGAGGGGAAGTAATGGACTGTGGTTTGTTATGTAATGTGTACATACTTCATAGCAGTTCAAGGGCTGTACTTGGTGTCTGAGGAACTGGATATCTGCAAGGAAAAGGTGTGTGATGTGACGCAGGGGCTGGCGGCAGTGTGAGGCAGTGCCATGGAGTGCAGCTGCTCTGGGGAGGTCGGGAGCCCGAGTGCTGCACGAGGTGTGTGATTTCAGGTGGACTCGCTGAGGCTGCTGCAGAGAGCAGGAAGCCAGGTACAACTAGCCACTTGCTCTTAAATGTGAAGCTTTACTGTGGTGAACATTTCCGCTTGAGGGTTATGTCTGCCTCGAAAGCAAACTTCCCCAGAGGTGGTGCCAGCAGAAGATGGAGTTGGTTGGATCCAGGTCCTGTGGTGAGGGAGCTGGCCTTTCTACTAGGGCTCAGAGGTCCCACGGGATCGGGGAGAGCTTCTCCTGTTCCAAGCCGTATTTGCTGCCCTAGGACTTTGCTGTCTAGGTAGAAACGGTGCTGGTAGTGGCTGCTGTTGGTGGTGGCAGCTCCTGGGAAGCTCTGTTGCTGGCTTACCGTGGCTGCCAAATCCCAAACTGGTGGAGTTGTCTGTGCACACTGACTGGCAGAAACCTTACTGGGAAGAGTCCTCCCTGGAGAGCTCTAGAAAAGTCCCTGTATGCTTCTGGTTTCTGTTGGTTTTCTTCTTTCTTTTTCTCCTTCTTTTTCTTCTTTCTTTAGAACCATTCTGAACACCTGTCTCTTGTTTATTTGGTCTGTTCTTTTCTTATTTTGAAGGTCTTGGAAAAATGTTCTCAGACTCATGTGCTGTAAGTTTGTTACAGTCCCAGATGCTTTAATGTTACCGTGCAGCATTTCAGTCTGTGTTGTGCTGTAAAGTAATGGCTCCTTACTCTTGCATTTTTGCTGTATTTAATTTTGCTGTATTTTTAATTAGGTAACAATATATTATCTTCTGCTGATCATTGTGCTACCATTTATTTCCCTTCTGTACTTGGGGTAGGGGCAGAGGGGAGGGAAGGGGAGTCTGGCATTGTGTTCAGGCCCCGGCGGAGCCTTCAGCAAAGGACCTGGGTGAGGCCCGACAAGAATCTTGGGGACTGCTCAACTGCCACTTGGTTAATACTAGAGCTGGGTCTTTGGCTTTGGGTATTGCTGTTGTGGGGTGATGTACCTTCCCCGCTGGAGCAGCCTCTTCTTTGCTCATGGCTTTGCCAGCTGTGTCTGTTTTAGCTTGTCTGGATTGCAGGAGAGGGTACAGAGAGGATCGGGTGCAATGCTATGTCTGAATTGACTCCGCTGGGTGCTGAGCTGGTCCCACTGGTGCTGGGACTGATGCCAACCGCTCTCCCTTCCCTCCCCTGCCTTTTGCTCAGATACTAAAGAAGAGATGGACACCAGCCCACAGCTGGAAAGAGAGTTGGGTTACTTCCATGAGACAGCAAGGAAGCAAAGTCTGGGGCGAAAGCGCTTGCTCAGTTCCCGGTCTCTGAGGGCCTGGGCTGTCACACCAGTGCCATGTTTCAGTGCTACACTGCGCCTGGAGGCACTGAGCAGAGCTGCTGCCTCTTCCCCCGTTGCTGCCCTGCTGGCGGTGGGATAAGGGATGGGGGCAGGAGGGGGAGTAACTGGGACTTGCATTTGTATTTTGGTCCCTGACTGTGTATATACAATTTTCTATGTTCCTTTTTTTGTGGTAATGAAGATGAATATTTTAATTAGATAAGTTATATGAAAAGAGGAAACTCATGTCCCAATAAAAGGCAAACCCTGGACTGTGTCTGCTTGTCCTTTCCCGTCTCTGAACCATTTCCGTGACACAGGCCCCTGGCCCTGCTCGGTCCCTGGGGCGGGGGGGGCTCCCGTTCCCCCTCCCGCCTGGAACCAGCCCCTTCTTAACCCCAGCGGCAAATTCTCGGCGCTGCTGCAGAGCATCTTTACTCCTCCCCTGGCGGCGGGTGCCGCCGGTGCGGCCTGGCCGGGGTCGGGACCGGGGCCGCGTCCCCTCCCCGGTGTTCGCTCTGCCGGGGGCCGGACACGTGCAGCGCCAAGCACCGCCCCCTGGCGGGTGGGCGGGGCCTCATCAAAGCGGGTGGGCGGGGCGCCGGCGCAGCGCCCCCGCGGTGGGCGGGGCGAAGGCAGCGCGCAAGCGCGGTGGGCGGGGCGCGGCGCGACCATGGCGCACGGTGCCGGGCGCTGCGGCTGTTGCTGCGGGGGGGAGGCGGCGGCGGGTGGCGGCGAGCGCGGCGCGGCCTGGGGGCTCTACCTGCGCATCGACCGGCAGCGACTGCAGTGCCTCAACGAGCGCCGTGAGGGCAGCGGCGGCCTCGTCTTCCGCGCTTGGGAGGAGCGCGGCGACCGCGCCCAGGTGGGGCCGGGGCCCGGGCCCGAGGAGGAGCCGGGCGGTGCGGGAGAAAGCGAGGTGCTGTGGGTCCCCGCCGAGCCCTTCTGAGGTTTCCCCCCAGCCCCCCCCCCGCGCAGCCCTGACCTGCTTCTCTCTCTCCCCAGTTCGTAGAAAGCGACGATGATGAGGAGCTTCTGTTTAATATCCCGTGAGTTCCTTCCCTGAGCTCCTCCGGCGGCGTTTTGGCTGCGGGCAGGGCTTGCGCCTGGGCGCGCCGGTGTGCTCCTGTCACTGGGGCTGATTTGGAGAGAATCGAGGTGAAAACGCCATTTCTGCGCCTCTTGGCAGGTTTACAGGCAACGTAAAATTAAAAGGAGTAATTGTGATGGGAGAAGATGACGGTACGCATCCGGCAGAGATGAGGCTGTAAGTAAAAGGAGCATTAACTTTGCTGGAGTTTGAGCTGAACTGGTGAACTCGTAGCTAACGGGAGCAGCGATTCTCGGGGTGTTGGGTGCGCAGTGTGGGAGAAGGCAGCGTTACTCTGCAGCAGCTCCATCATTCCAGGCACCTGGCAGGAAAGAGAAGCTGTAGCTTGTACAAGGGTGAGCGTGGCTGCTTGCTGCCTTTTCTCTACAGAAACAGGGTGCTGATTTTGCTTAGCAGAGAACATTTGGTCGAGATATTGGCTGTGCTGTGAAGAACCCAACCCGCTGCTGGCTTAGCGGGCTGCAGAAGGATCCGTGGGCCAAGAGGGGTTACACTTTGGGGGGAACTGAGACCTGGGAGGGCGGGACACAAGTGACGCAGTGTCCTGCAACCAGGTGAGGTCTGTGAGGCTCTTTGCAGTTCTTGCTTGCGGGGGAGAGACACACCTCTACTGAGCCCCTGTTTTCCTTGATCCCCAGTGTACTGGGATCTGGGTTTCTTCGTGTACCCAAGCGTGCCGAGATCTGCTTTGTTCCTCACTCCTCCTTGTTATTTCTTCAGGGTGTTGGGTATTCTGGAACGTGATGATGCTTTGTGGTGGTGTTGGTATTTTCCCCCTTACAAGACAAAGCAAATCCAGTTTCTTGTTGTTGAGAAGAATCCGGGTAGTGCTAATGGACGGGGACAAAACCAATTAGCTGACCTGGATGTTAACAACTTCCTGGGTTTCCTCCTTCTCTTCCCAGGTTCAAGAACATTCCTCACATGTCCTTTGATGATGCAGGCAGGGAACCGGATCAGACGTTCAGCCTGAACCGGGACCCGACGGGCGAGCTGGAGTACCCCACCAAGTATGACATGGGGCTGGGGGCTGCAGGGGGGCTGCTCCTCCCAAGCGCAGGAGCCTCTGGTGCGCTGCTGAATTTTGAGAGTTAGCAGGGGGCAGTTCCTTCCCTTGCATCTCAGAAGCTGCCCACAGTAGAATTTATCTCCGTCAGTTCTGTCCTGCCCTTGTCAGGCGAGAGCTCTGGTCTGAAAACCTCTTCCCTGGAGGCAGGGGGGTGCCTGCCCCCACGGCCCAGCACTTTTCGGGGTGCAGGATCATCCTGGTGTTGCACCCCCTGCTCCTGGCTGCAGTGACAGCTTGCTGCTGGCCCGCTCACGAAGGAAGCTGCTCCTTCTGCACCCCCAAGTTATTTGCTCCCACATCTGACCAGGGTTTGGGTAGGAGCTACGTGTGGTGTGGGGCCACGGTGCCATGCTGAGAGGTGGCAGTGCAGCTCATACACACAGCTCCGGTTTCAGAGCGTCTTTTCTTTCAGAATTGCCCGTTTCTCCAGTGTTTGCCACCTCTCCATCCACTTTCCGAAGAACTTTGGAGCGGAGACAACAAAGATTTTTTACATAGGCCTGAAAGGAGAGTGGACAGAGGTAGGTGAGAGCAGAGATGAGCAAGACTGTGCTGGTACTGGAAAAAGGACTTTAAATCTTAAGTTGAGCTCTAGTGGTAAGGAAGAAGTGGGAGTAGCGTGGGGGCATCTGCTATGAAAAGTCTGTAGGATGGGAACCTGCTCAGCTCTTGCCAGTTCTAGGAGGGAACTTGAATTCCACTCTCCTCTGGACTAACACATTTAATCTTAATTCAGGCTCATCGCCACGAAGTCACCATCTGCAATTACGAAGCATCGGCAAACCCAGCTGATCACAAATTGGAACAGATCACCCCACAGACTCACTTCATCTCCTAACAGCGCTGCCGACCATCTCCTGAAGGCCGCGGTGCGACTGTACTGGCGTGATGGGCTGACTCGAACAGAAATGGCTTCCCAAAGCTCGCGGGAGCGTCGGATCAGCTTTACGTTTGGGTCTTTGCCTGGGGGAGCAGAGCAGGGCGTGTGTGCAGCGCCTGGCGGGGGGTGGCTGCGCAGGGCAGTGGCGCCCTGGGCCTTGCAGAAGTGCAGGCTGTTTTTTTTTAGGCAGCAGCAAGCTCGTGTCTAGTAGCGTTTACTTTTCTGCCTCCCAATAAAACAGCCAGAGGTGCAGAGCTGTGGCCTGCTCACCCCGACCCCGGTTCCTGAGTGGGGGTCGCGGCGGGGGGGGGGGGAGGCTCCGGGCCGCGGGTGATGCTCGGCGCCTCGCCGGCGGCAGCGTGGGGCCCGGGCCCTTGGGGTAACGTCGGGAACCGGAGTCTCCCGCGGCCTCTCCCCGCACTAAACCCGCAGCGGCTCCCGCCTTGCCCTCCCCGGCGGGGCCCGCGGGGAAAATGGCGGGTCCCCGAGGGGCGGCCGCCGCGTCACTTCCGCCGCGCTGCCCCCCGGCTGCGACCCGGCGGGCGGGACTTCCGGTGGGAGCGCGACGGGGGAGCCGGGAGGAGAGCGCGCGCCGGGCCCGCGGGAGAGGTGCGGGGAGGGGACGGGGGTGGGGGGGGAGCGGGATGTACCACCGGGGCGCGGCGGGGGAGGGGCTCCGGGAGGGCTAGGGCGGGGTGAGTGGGGCCCCTTCCCCGCGGCCTCACGGGGGAGCGGGGCGGTAGCTCACGGGCCGGTGCAGTGCGGGGCCGGGGGGGGGGGGGAGGGAGGGGGAAGTTCCGTTAGTGATGCCGGAGATCCGCGGCTGCGCTCCCTCCCCCCCCCTCCCCGCGCTGGGTGGGCCCCTGCAGCCTCGCGCCCGCGGCGCCGGTAACGGGGCCTGTCCCCGCAGCGCGGAGCCGCCCGCCGCCGCCTCCCACGCCCAGCGGCTTCCGGCGGGCCGGTACGAGCTCTCCGGCTTTCCAGCCGTTCGGGAAATATCCCCTCCCCCCCTCCACACACACACACGAAAAAAAAGCCTCATTTCCACAGAAAAATGGCGTTCCCGTGTCCGCCGCGGCAGGCGGGAAGCTGACGGGGCGGCCTCGCCGTGCGTGGGGTCCAGGCTGGCTCCCGCCTCTCCTCATCCCCCCGCGCCCAGCTACGGGCCCTCCCGGCCGGGTGGGATTTCTCCAGCCTCCCATTGACTTTCCCTCCCTCCCGGTTCGGGCCTGCGGCACCGGGAGACGTTTATTACGGCGGTGGAGCGACTTGATCCCCTCCCGAGACACGTAACTCCGGGGCCAGGCTGTGGGTTTCCCACTGGCATCCCCCGTCGTGGGCAGGGGGTGGGTGTGGGGTGCAATAGCTCTGGGGTGGCTACTGAAACAGCCCAGACTGGACAAAAGTTAATTTATTATATTTTGGGTGTGTGTGTGTGTGTGCTTTTACACCCCTTTTTGGGGGCTTTATCCTTCCTGTGTTATGTTTTGGCCTCAGGGCTGCCTCTGCTCGAGCTGTTGTGGTGGCAGCCATGGACCCTCCTGTAGATTCCCCCTGGAGTGGGGCAGAAACACCCCAGAGAAATCTCGGGTGGCCTGTGGGGCGCTTCAGGCAGCCTTGACCCTCAGAACCCCTCTTTTCCGCAAAGCTTCTGCGAATCAGGCACAGACATGAGTCTCTTGTCTGCCCAGGGAGCACGTTTCAGCATCTCCATCTGTCATGGAAGATGCTTTTATTTATGCCTCTCCTTGCCAGGATTTTTGGCAGGTACTCTTTTTTTTTTTTTTTTTTCTCGCTGGTTGTTTTGACCCTGGAGTACACACGAGCACGTGGGCTGCGCGCCTGCGAGGTTCGCCAGACCCGAGGAGCTTGTTGTTCCCTGTGTTTTTATTTGAGTCGGGTAAAGAGCTGACGAACAGTTGGTGAAACAAGTCGGGCAGGTCTTGGTCCGGGCTGGTAGAGGAGGCGGCTGTTTCTGGTGGGTAAGGCTGTCTGTTGGGATACCGGGAGTTTGCGGGGGGTTCATGTAGTCCTGTACCATCCAAAACCTTCTGGGAATGGTGCTTGCTGTGGGATGTGAAGACTCGGGCAGACCCCGGGGGGCTGATCTTGCTCCTGGCAGGAGCTGGGAGACTGGTCTTGCTCCTGGGAGATGATGGCAGCGCTATAAACGTGCTCTGATCTAATTAGTCCTGGGCGGCAAGCGGGGGTTAGGGCCTGTCAGGCGATGTGCCATCGTTTTAGTGATTTGTGCTGCACTGGGAACAAATACGGTCGCCTGTCGCCTCCGAAAGCGGTGGCATGGGGGCTGTTACGTGTGACCAGGATCCGGGAGGTGATAATCAGCCCTTGGTGCTGGCAGGAGGCTGTTGCAGTGGGGACAGGGGCGGTGGGCTGGGCTGGCTGCCTGTCGGGGAGCGAGAGGGGATGCCACCGCTGCGGGGGGGGCGTCGGGCTGGCTCTCGGGCCAGCGCCCAAACGCTCTGCTTTATCCCTAAATAGCTCCATAAAAGAGGGCCGGACCTTTTATTAGCGCTGCTGCGTGCCAAGGGCCGGCGTTTCCTGCTTCCCCGTCGGAGCAGATGTGGGTCAGGCTCCTCCTCGGCTCTGCCAGCAGCCGGGAAGGGATGCTGAGGCTGCGCGCCGCCCGGCCGCCCTCTGCCCACGTCCTTACAGTCACAGAAATAACTTTGGCTTTGAGGTGTAGCAGAAAGAGCTAATTTTAACACTTCCAACACCCCACACGCGCATCCCCACTCGCATCTGGTGCTGCGACATGGAAGGCGGTTGCTGCTTCCTGGCTCTCTGGTGTTGCCAGGCCGGGGACGGAGTGGGTCTGTCCCAAGGGCTTAAACATCAAAGCCTTCATATCCTTTTTAATTTTCCCCCAAATAGCCAGTCCCTCTGGAGCAAATAGTCAGGGGGGAAGAGGGGTTTATTTTCCTGCCTTACCTTTGTCCCTCTGTCCCGCAGGTGCCAGTGTCTGAGTCCCTCTCGGTGTATGTGTGGTAACAACATGTCTGTCCCCCTCCTCGCTGATGCAGTGACTGTCTCAGGGGCAGAGCGGGAGACTGCTGCGGTAAGGGTCAGACCCCCCCCCCGCCTCACCTGCTTCTTCCCTTTTAGCAGTCTTGAAGATAGGGAGCTGCTTCCGTGGGGTTCAGAGGAGCCATGAGCTGAGCCCGTAACCCCTCAGCTCTTCAGGTTTACATCTTGGGGCATCAAAGGGGATGCAGGACCAGCAAGGTCTTATCTTGCTGGGGAAAAGTAACCGTCCTTTGGGCTGGGTTGTTTGTTTCTGGTGCTTGGCCCAGTGCAAACCAGCCTTGACCTGCAGGGAAGTCAGTGGGAGCTGCATCTGATTTGGCTATTTAAGCTTTGAAAAGTAAATCCCCCCCCCGAGAAAATCCTCTGTCTTTCCCTGGAGCCTGGCAGGCTGCTGCCCCTCTGCTCCCCGTTGCTTAGGGGTTCCTCTCGCCTCAGATGAAAAACCTGCAGGGGTGGGTTTTGTGAATCTTTGGCAAGCTCAGCCCCTGCTCAGTGTGGTGCTATGCGGGATGATCCGTCACTCCCCGGCCCTCTGCTACTCTGGGCAGCCAAGGGGCCGACGCCGCCCACGGACCTGGCTGTGACAGCAGGCTCTGTGGCATGATGATGATGATGATGATGATGATGTGCCTGTTCCACCCATCCGTCATGCTCAAAGCTGCAGACATCTCATTAGTATCAGCTAATTTCTGCCTGTTTGAGTCTCTTCTAGTTAGTGACTAAGTGGCCTTTTGCTGCTTCACTGCGAGCCCAGCCCTGCCTCTCTCCCAGGGCACCGGCTGTTGCACCAGCTAATTCTTTTGTTTTTCTGCTTAATTTAACAGGTCATTTTTTTACATGGCCTTGGAGACACGGGGTGAGTATTCTGGCTGTGACACGTGGTTTGCTGAACACAGACCCGGGCCTGGCTGTTTGCTGCGAGCGCCGGTGCTGCTTTCCCCAGGGGCAGCTCCAAGATTTGTCTGGGGCTTTGAACTCGGTCTGATAGCCGTGCCTGCGCCACCCTCGCAGGGAATCGCCGGCCAGCAGCTGTCTGCACTTGAATATTTATGATCCCAGCAGCCTGGCAGCCCCCTGCCTCCTGTGGGTTTTCTGCTTTCTTTAAGTTAAGCAGATAAGCGCTGCGGTTTTTCCAGTCCTTGGGAGGGCTGGGTGTTGGGTTGTGTCTATGTGAGTGCATCTCTCTAATGTGCAAGGCCACCTTAGAGGGCAGCGTGGGATAACAAAGGACATCTCCCTGCACAGGGGATTCTCCCTCCTCCCTTGCTGGTAGCACCTCCCCTGCCTCCAGCTGTGGGGCTTTGTGTGCTGCCTCTGCCCTGCCGCAGAGATCTGTGCTGGGGATTTGCGCTGGGATTCAGGCTGCTGGCATGGGCAGGACCAAGTGAAATAACATCAGGGCAGAGGCAGGGGGGGGGCAGCAGCCTTGGAGAAAACCGAAATGCTAAGGCAAGCCTTGAACTCCCTCCTCTCCTCTCTCCCCAGGCACAGCTGGGCTGACGCTCTCTCCTCCATCCGCCTCCCCTACGTGAAATATATTTGCCCTCACGCGTAAGTGCTGTCCTTGGGGGGGGCCGGGGTGGGCTGTGATGCTGGTGCCCGCCGCTGAAACTATTTGGGGAGGCAGATGGTGGCCTGTGCCCTCACCTACCCGCAGGGCTGCGCGGTGAGACTTCTCCCGCTGCGGCCGGTTCGTGCGGGGCTGCACCCCTGGCGTTTTCTGCCTGCAGGCAGAGGGGTTCCCCCACAGAGCTGAGCAGCGCAGGAGCTGCTGCTCTGAGTCTGTTTTCTCCTTCTTCCCGCCCTTTGCCTCTCCCCAACGGCTGCAGCGAAAGCCAAAGGCACAGGAGCTCCTTCCCCATCCCCCTGGTCAGGCAGGAAGGGGGCTCGGCAGAAAGGGGAGGAAACACTCCCCGATGTGTCCCCGGTGTCGACAGCAGCCCACGCCGGGGGGCACTCACTGGGCTGAGAGAGTTCTGCCGCTTCGCGTCCCCGGCAGCGGGGCCTCGGCCTCCGGGTGTCCCGGCTCAGCAGCTCCATCGGCAGACGGGAGAGGAACGCCGGTGTTCTCGGCAACACCCTGGCGCTGCCAGCTCAGCCGGGATCTGCTCGGGCCTCATGGCTGATCCCTGGGGTCACCTTGCAGCCCCCAGGCTGGGTCTTGGTGGCACTGACCCGCTGCTGTCCCTTGGGAGCCTGCAGCTGTGGGCAGGAGAGCCGGTCACCCCCCTCGCCTCGGCTCAGACTCGCTTCTCTTGCACTTGAACTAAAACACCCAAACTGTTTTCTCCGCAGGCCCCGGATCCCGGTGACCCTCAACATGAAGATGGTTATGCCTTCCTGGTCAGTGCTTTGGGTGGCAGGAGTGGTTGGGATCCTTTTGGGGGGTGTATTTTGAGGAGGGAGGAGGATGTGGGGACTGAACAGCCAAAATCCGCTGCCCCGCAGGAGTCAGGGGAAGGGCAGAGCACACCCAGCTCCCACCTCCCCACACCCTGGGTGCTGGGAGAGGTTTGGGGGCTGACCCTGCTTCTTCTCCCAGGTTTGACCTGATGGGGTTGACTCCTGATGCACCTGAGGATGAAGCTGGAATCAAGAAAGCTGCAGAAAACAGTAAGAGGCCTTGGGGAAGGGGAAGCGCCAAGCCCCTGGCCACCTCTCCCTCTCTGGGATGGGAGCAGACGTCCTTCCTTCCCCCTCTCCTTCCCCCCTGCTCTCCTATGACCCCAGCCCACCTTCTCCCTGGCTGAAGCCAAGTGTGTTCAGTCCCTGGGACTTCTGCACTTCCCTCTCCCTGATGTTCTGAGGGTCCTGTGTGTACCCCCAGGCCTCAGGTGCTGCTCTTCAGCCCCCCCCCCCCAACCTTTCACTGACTCATTTCTCTGGCTTCTTCCAGTTAAAGCAATTATTGAGCATGAGATGAAGAACGGGATCCCACCCAACCGCATCATCCTGGGGGGCTTCTCACAGGTGAGCTGGGCTGAGGTGGAGCCAGACTTAAGGGTTGGGTTCCCTTTTCCCCCTCCGAAGACACCCCTCAAAGGGACCATCGCTGGCGGTGAGGCGGGTGGGTGCTGGGAGAGGCGGGTGGGTGCTGGGTGAGCCGGGGCTGCAGATCCCACCCCCTCCCAGAGGCACTAACAGTCCTTCCTCCCCCGCTGCAGGGCGGCGCCTTGTCGCTCTACACGGCTCTCACTTGCCAGCACCAGCTCGCCGGCATCGTGGCGCTCAGCTGCTGGCTCCCGCTGCACAAAGCCTTCCCGCAGGTACCCTACGCTGCCGCCGCCGCGCGCGTCCGCAGGGAGGGTCTGGGAGGGGGGGGGATTTTCCCATCTGGAGTTCGCCACAGTGAGCCTGGGGCTGCTGGAGGCACGAGGTGTGGGGGTGTGTGGGGGTGGGGATTAATCCCACCTCCCTGCTCCTCCGACCTGGAGCGGGCGAGGACGCAGCAGAGATCAGGGGCTCTGCCGATGATCTGGTGTGGGCATCCGCCAGCCCTTCTGCTCCCCAGCCCTCCCCGCGCCCGCCGGGCAGCAGCTCGGCACCGCTGGCAGCTCTGCCAGGTGACGTGGACTAAAGCACCTGCCCCGCATCCCCCTCTCCCGGGGCACCCCCTGAGCACTTTCTTCCTCGCTGCAGGCGGCAAATAACGGCATGAACAAGGACATCGCCATCCTGCAGTGCCATGGGGAGATGGACCCCATGATCCCCGTCCGCTTCGGGGCCCTCACGGCTGAGAAGCTGAAATCTGTCGTCACCCCCACCAAGGTCCAGTTCAAAACTTACCCCGGCGTGATGCACAGTTCCTGTCCTCAGGTCAGTGCCTCGGGACGGGGCGGTCGGGGGCTGGTTTTGCCTTTGGGACTGACGCGGTGGTTCAAGCAGGGCAGGGAAATTGCAGAGTCCAGGACACATGGGATGCGTTTGCTCCCCGATTCGCGCCGGGGTGCCTGCGCAGCCCTCCTGCCCCCACGCTCGGGGCACGGCCCTTGAGGAGCCCCGAAGTGACGGGCTCCGTGCTCTCCGCAGGAGATGATGGCGGTGAAGGAGTTCATTGAGAAGCTGCTGCCCCGCATCTAAGCGGAGCCAATCGAGACTGTCGCAGGGCAGGACGCCGAGGTCGCAGCCGCCAATCTTTTCCCCCGTGACCTGTCCACTGCGAACGGAAGCCATGGCACCCCACCGCCCTCCCGCCGCGCCCCTGGCCCCCCGCCTCTCCCTGTCTCCTCGCCCCGCGTCCTCACCGGCTGGGGGGTGCCCCATCTCTCCCTGCTGCTCTGGGAGCTGAGATTGGAGCTAAGGCGAGTCTTGGAGTGGCCTTTTCTCTCCTCCTCTTGCTCCAAGCGGTTTCTGGGGGGGTCACCATCCCCTTGACTCCCCATTCAGGCACCGCAGCGGGTGGGTCTGTCACGGTGCGGGTGAGGTTTTTCTGTTGGGTTTGGGTTTTTATGTAACAGTATTAAGGGTGGGACGTGGCCCCGTGCGGCGGGAGGAGCGGTGCGGGCACAGGGCAGGGCTGGGGCACCCTCCAGAGTCCTCCGTGGCTCAGAGCAGCCCCTGCTCCTCCTCTGCCCTCGGCCCGGCCTCTCCACCGCTGCTCTTGGCCTCCGCTCAGGCGACTCACGGGTTTTCAATCAGAGCTCAGGAACCCGGGACTCTCCTGCCTCAAGGCCCAGGGGAGAGGCTCTGCTGTGGGTCGGTACCGCCGAAAGCTGCCCCGTCTCCCGGGAGCGGCAGAAAGGCGCCGCACAGCCCCTGCACCTCCTCGCACGGGGCCGCGGCCCCCCGCCCTGTCGCACACGCACACTCCCCGCCAGGCTCGCCCCCGCGCTCCGGCAGCCTCAGCCGTCGGCTTGTGGCAGCTCTGCCCTCCTCAAGATAATCGCCTCCTTCTCTTCCTCCTCCTTTCGTTGCTTTTACAATCTCCCCCTCAGCCCGGCGAGGGGTCCCAGAGGTGTCTCTCCCTCCCTTAGCCTAGCTCTGCGCCCTCAGAGCCCCGAAGCGCTGCCGTTTACAGCCGGCGTCCGAGCGGCTTTGCCACGGAGCCCGCCTGGCGCCGGCCCGGTCCTTGACGTCTCTCTTGCTGCTACTTCTCCTTCCCTTTGGACTCGGGCTGGCTCGGGGAGGGAGAGGAGAGGAGAGGCGAGGGGAGGCCTCCTGGCCCTCAGGGATGGCTCCTGGCGCAGCCGAAGGAAGCAGGTTTGCTCCCAGCCATCATCTCACCAGCATTGAACGCCCCGGGGGCTGCTGCGCCCCGGCCTGGGGGGGCTCCCTGTTCCCCGGGGCTGGGGGGGCTCTCTTGGCCTTTCCGTGTACAATCACAAGTTTTCCCGGGGTCCCTTGCCCGGCTGGCTGGAGGCTGCAGCCAAGGCTCCTGTTCTTTTGCTGGAGGGGAGCCCTGGCCATGCCGGTGGCCGTGGCTGGTTGGGGCACAGGGCTGGGACCATCCCCCCCGCCCCCCAGCAGTGCAGTTCCCTGGGCACAGAGCCCCCAAAATGTGGCTCCTGGCTGCCCCCTCCCCTCCTGTAGGGCCGAGGGTACTTGCTGTTGAGCAGTGCTGCCCTTCTCCTCACCTCTCCTCCATGGGCTGAGCCTGCAGCACTGTTGGGCCCTTCCAGGCTGGAGCTGTACATGTCTTTTAAAAAAAAAAAAAACACCAAAAAAAAATAAATAAAAAACACCACAAAACCCACCTAGCCTACGGGCCGTCGCTCCCTCCTGTGTGCTCCGGCGCTGTGTGGGGCCATGCCCAGCCCGGCCCCTCGCCCCACAGAGCCTCTGCCCGGTGGCCCGTGGCCAGCAGCGGGCTGTGGCCGGGCTGGGGGGGGCCAGGGCCAGCACCTCCGAGGGTGAAGGCTGCTCGGGGGGCGGGGGGGCTCGGCGGCGGCAGCTCTGCCCTCCCTCCCTGCGCAAAGCAATAACCCGCTCTGCGGAGAGTCGGATCTGTCAGACCCATCCTCGGTTGATTTCTTGAGTTGTTTTGGGTTGGGGTTTTGGTTTGTTGTTTTTTTTTTCTTTCTTTTTTTTCTCTTTCTCTCCCCGCCCCCCCCCTTAGGAAGTCTTAAACCAGCAAACCTGCTGCTGGCATCGGGGCAAGCCCGGCCCTTCCCCCTCGCTTTTGGGGTTCAGTCCTGCTCTTTCTTCTACTTTGTCTGTTTTAAAGCTGCTGTGCCCTCCCCTCCCTGCGCTCGGCAGCGGCTCGGCGGGGGGGATGTGGGGGAGGCCAGAGGGGCTGGGGGGGAACGCAGCTCCCCGCAGGTTACCTGAGCGCTGGCGGACAGACAGACCGACCTACTTGACTGTGAACTGGAACCGTGTGCGTGGGGGGGGCCGGCCACTCGTGGCCATCCTCGGGGCTGTGCTGGCCCCGGGGCAGAGCATTCCTGCTCGCTCCCCACCCGAGCAGCACGCGCCTGGCCGGGGCCGCGCTGAGCATCCGGGAGGGAGAGCGGCTTCTCTCCATTCCTCAATACAGCTTTTTTCAGTTTGGGTTGTGTTGTTTGTTTTGGGGTTTTGTTTTGTTTTGTTTTTTTCTTTCTTCCCACCCCATTTCTCTCTCTTTTGTCTTCCTTGTAAATGTTTGGGGGTTTTTGTGTGTGTGTTCCACAGAGTCAAATACAAGGTTAAATAAATTGTGAACCTCTCCCAGAGCTGAGCTGGCATCATTCGTGGGCGGGCGGGAAGCGCCGTCAGCACCTCCGTAACGGAGATTTGGGGAGGGGGGAGCGGATTCGCACGAGGCCCCAGGGACGTCAGCTCCGGCTGAGGGGAAGCAGAACAGAGCTGCCACTTAGAAAGTAAGAAAGTTTATTTAAAAACAAATCAAAAGCTCAATTCATAATTTAGTAGCATAAGTTATGAATCCAACTGACGGCAAGCTGGGCTGACTGCGTCATCCCCTAACGAAGCCGTTAGAGCTGCCAGTAATAAATAGGACCAGTATTTGACAGCTGAGCAGAGCCGGCTCCTGGGCAGCCTTTGGCACCGCGGGAGGAAAACCAGGCACTAGCCCAAGCTAAGGGCGGCGGGGGCGCTGCGTGCAGCCAGGCTCAGGAGCAGGGGGGAGATGAGGCCGAGTCCCCAAAACCGCAGTGAGGGGCAGGGAAAAGATGTGGGAGGGGGGAGAGGAAACCCTCGGCAGGAACCGGGCCCAGGGCAGCGGGTGCAGCAGGGAGCGGGCCGTTCCCTCTGCAGTTTGGGCTCGTGCGTTTTGAGGCACCAACCCCTTGAGCCCTGGGTGCCAAAGCTGGGCCCTGGCTCTGTTCTTCCTGGTGTTTCTGCTCTACGAGATGCAAAGGACGTGGGGGGGATGAGTGGAGAGGCTGAGGATGCTCCTGCCTTTCTGCCCCAGGTGAGAGGCAGGAGGGGGAGTGGGAACTGCACCCGGGATGACAACAGCCTCACGGCAGGGCTGGCCCGGAGCAGCCCACGGCAGCCCGGTGAGTGCCGGGGCTGCAGCTCAGTTCTTGCTGAAGCCTGTGGGATTCTGCAGCTGCCACCGCCACAGATCCTCGCCTGCAACAGGGAGAGGGGTGGTGAGGGGGGGCCAGGAGAGGGGCAGCTGGGGGTAGCGCGGCAGGACAGGGACGGGGATGCTCTTACACATCTTGTCCAGGCCAAAGGCGGCTTTCCAGCCCAGCTCACGCTCGGCCAGCGCTGGGTTGGCGTAGCAGGAGGCCACGTCTCCCTCCCGCCGGCCCGTGATCTTGTACTTGATCTGCAGGGAAAGCAGCACAGCGGGGTCTGGGGGCTCAGCGGAGGGGACGGGTGAGGCCCAGGAGCTGAGAGAGCAGCGCCTGTGGCTGCCGCAGACTCAGGCATGAGGACGGTTTAGGGGGGCCTGGGGGAGCAGCTGGCTCAGCCCACGGCCCTGCAGGCTGCAGGTCAGGCCTTACCTCCCTCCCTGAGGCTTTCTCCATGGCCCGGACCATCTGCAGGACAGAGTAGCCGGTGCCTGTGCCCAGATTGTAGATCTGGGAGGAGGATAAGGGACATGGGTCAGCTTCTTTTGCAAGGGGAGAAGAGCCATGCCCCCCTCTTCAGCGCCCCTAGGGCTGCAAGAGCCCAGCCCCACAGCCCTCTCGATACCTTACAGCCGCAGTTCTCCTTGAGCTTCTTCAAAGCAGCAATATGGCCCTTGGCCAGATCCACGACGTGGATGTAATCCCTGACGCCTGCAGGGACACACGGAAGGTGAGCGTGAAGCCGTCCCCGCCCGGGCTGCAGCCAGGCTGATTTGCGGCGCTGGCTGCCCCAGGGGCCGGGGGTGTCTCCGCTCCACAACTCACCCGTTCCATCGTCCGTCGTGTAGTCGTTCCCAAACACGCTCAGGAATTCCCGGCGCCCCACTGCCACCTGCGCAGAGGGACAAGCCCACGGAAGCCCCGTCAGCCTGTGCCCCAACACAGGCACTGCGAGCCCAGGGGGTCCGCAAAGGCTGTGGCGGGGGGTACCTGCGCCACGTAGGGCATGAGGTTGTTTGGGATCCCCTGAGGATCTTCTCCGATCATGCCTGACTCGTGAGCACCGATGGGGTTGAAATAGCGCAGGAGAACAGCGTTCCAGTCCTGGGGAGACACACAGACGTGGCTGGCTGGGGAGGGTGTAGTGCTCTGTGGAGCACACTCTGCTGGGAAAAGACCTCGGTTCCCAGCCCTGCGCGCCTCGGGGCAGCTCCTCACCCTCTCTGCTTTGCAGAGATCTCGAATCATCTCCTCGATGAAGTACTTGGATTTGCCGTAGGGGTTGGTGCAGCCTCCAGCTGGGTGGTTCTCATCCAGGGGAAGGTACTTGGGGTCGCCGTAGACGGTGGCAGAGCTGCTGAAGACGATGTTCCTCACGCCGTGGGCCTTCATGGTCTGGGGAGCAGGGACCAGCCCCCACTGAGCCAGCACACTCCGCAGGCGGCGGCTCCCACCGTGCAGGAACTGTTACAGCCCTGGTACAGGGCCTGGGCACGGGGAGCCCCACAGGGACCAGGCTGCCAGCCAGCACAGCCAGCCCAGAGAGCAGGATGACACCCAGCACCCGCACAGCCCTGAGCACCACATGCTGCCTCCCAGCTCTGCTCACCTCCAGCAGCCGGATGGTCCCGGTGAGGTTCACCCTGTAGTACTCCAGGGGCTTCTGCACAGACTCCCCCACTGCCTTCAGCCCTGCAAAGTGCATCACGGCTGAGAAGCGGTGCTGCAGAGGGAGAAAGAACCTGGCGTTAGTGCCACAGCAATAGCAGACAGAAGCTCCAGGCAGAAACCAGTCAGAAGTCTCCCCAGGCATTTCATTCAGCCAGCCCGTGCGATCTCCTTGGCCCAGAGGAACATTTTCTAGTCACAGTATTTCCTCAGCGTCGTCCTCCCAGCTCAGCTCCTGCCCAGTCCACGTCTCCCTCCTGGCTCCCACCCACAGCACAAAGCCCTCTCACCCCTCGGAGCCCACGAGACCACCTTGGGGCACCACAGCTCTTGCTCTCACCTTACTGAAGAGCTCCTGCAGCGCTGCCTCGTCGGTGATATCCAGCTCCTGGAAAAGGATAGGCTGACGCACGATCTGCTGCACACGCCGGAGGCTCTCAGGGAGTGCGTCTGCTCCTGGGGAGATGGAAGGGGGTGAGGCACTGGGAGAGCTGGAGGTCCCAGCACAGGCCAAGCCCCTTACACAGGAAGGGATGAAGGCTCTCCATACCTCGGATGGCATTGTGAAAGTTGTCTATGACCACAGGGACATAGCCAGCCTCCGCCAGCTCCAGCACACAGTGACTGCCGATGTAGCCAGCCCCGCCGGTCACCAGGATCTTCTCTGCCATGGTTCCCTGTGGAGAGGAAAGGCCCTTCAGTGCAGAGCACTGTGTGAGGTGGCCTGGGGTGGGCACGACAGCCAGGGACCCTGGGAGGGAAAGGGCAGGCAGGACTTGGACACTGGCACGTCAGCACTGCTCCCAGGCACTCTCTGCGCTTGGCCCGGCCAGCGCCAGGACGACATCCGGAGAGGAAGGCGCTGGGCAGGTTGCAGCACACCCTGCCGATGTGGTTCACGCCTCCCGGACAGGGAGGGTTTATCTGACACTTGTCACATGCTGGGGAAAAAGCCTTGTTCTTCCTGTTAAATCCAGTCAAGATCCTGGTGTGACTGGCTTCCTAACACCACAAACCCCTCGGGCTAATTCACCCCTAAGCACAAGGGCAGGGGCTCATCTAATGGTATTAACTTGGGTGGTCTCCTCAAGGGGCATCAGCTCTGTCCTCTTCCCCCATTCCATGTTTTTTTTTATCAGCTCTACAACTCCCTCTCTATATCAGTCCTAGCACTCCCTCCAGCTTCCTTCCCTTGCCCAGCACTGGCCCCATTCAACCCTGCACTGAGTCTCCAGACTATGGGGACATTTGCTGGCATACGTAACATGGAAACCTGAAAAATAACCTGCAAAAAAGCCCCCAAACCCTGGAAACTGAGGAGCAGCTCCTGCCCAGTGGGAAGGAGGGAGAATCCACTTTATTACCAAAGCATGTGGATGCAGCACCGGGAAAGTTTTCTCCCTGGGTGACTTTAGTCACTCTCAGAGCTGCATCTCAGGTTGAAAACCAAACCAAAACCCCTAAACTGCCCTGCCCGGTGTCCGCTGCCATCCCAGGGCTGCCCTGGCAGCCAGGGAGAGCAGCTCCAGGGGAGGCCAGAGCCTGAGCCAGGCAGGCAAGGGCTAGGAAGGCAAAATAATGCTACTTATGGCCGGGCAGGTGAGCAGGTAGCGGGACGGGGCAGGGGCCTATGGGATGTGGGAAATGGTGTGAATGTGGTACAGCTGCGGGGCAGGCTCGGCTGCGGGAAGGCTGGGGACACCCGTGGGTCTGGGCATGGGGCCAGGAGGTACCTGAGGAGCCAGGACCGGGGGGGCTGGGGGTCTCCTGGGGGGCTGGGGTCGGGCCCAGGGGTCCCAAGAGGGGCTGAATGTACCTCAGGGGCTGGATTTACCTCAGAGACCCCGGGTTACCTCAGGGGCTAAACGTACCTCAGGGGCTCAGGGTCACCTCAGGGTCTGAATGTACCTCAGAGACCCATGGTTACCTCAGGGGCCCGGGGTTACCTCAGGCGCTGGATGTATCTCAGGGGCCCCATTCACCTCAGGGGTCCGAGATGTGGGATCTCCCTACAGAAGGAGGGCACGGCAGCGCGTCTCTCCCCTCAGCCCCCCGCCCTCGGGCCTGGCTCCCCGGCGCCCACCGCCCCACTTTGCACCTCCCCCCCCCCCGACCGCTCACCCGCTGCTCCAGCCGCCTCCCGCTGCCGCGCTCGCGTTGCTCCTTGCTCCGGGCGCGGCCCCTTTAAGGCCCGGCCGCTCTCCCCGCCCCGCGCGGTGCCACGCGCACCGCTCTCCCATGGAAACGTGTCACCCCGGCTCCGGCTACGGGGCAGCAGCGAGGACAAAAAAAGGACAGGGCGCGCATGCGCGGGGCGGGGCATTCCGTCAGAGGGCCGGCAGCTATTGGCGCGCCGGAGAGAGGGGGCGGGGCCAGAGCAGGCAACCCAAGGGGAGGGGGCGGTGAGCGCTCGGCGCCGCAGCGCCCCCTGGCGGCGGGAGGACCCCGATGAGCTGCGGGTTTAACCGCCCCGATTTATTCAGCGATTCGTTTATTTCAGCGTTACGGTTTATTTAATCGTTACAGTTTATTTAAGTGATGTGGAGCGACTCGGAGGGACGGTCCCGTATTATACATGTCCAAGGCACTCTGGGACAGTCAGAGGAAGGTGCAGCATCCAGCTACACACCAGGTCCGCCCCACAGAAGGACAGGGAGTCTGCACTTGTCTCTGGCCTCACAAGTAAACTATTAAATAAATTATTTTAAATAGAAGATTGGGAGAGACATCTCTAGGACTAGTCTGCTGTGAGGAGTACATGTGTGTTTCACGCTATTTGCTCTCCAGGGATGGGCCACAGCCCACCATGATGCAGCATTTCCAGGCTGAGTGCTGGTAAAAAAGGCACTTGGAACCAAACTAGCAACCAAAGCTCTTTAACTGGTTTATTTAAACCGAATTTCTAATAGTTTAGAATATTAAATAATATGTTTATTGCTGCTAGTACTTAGAAGTATCTTACAACAGATACAGTGTGTTATTACAATCCCTGAACACTAAGACGGAAGGTCTGACGCTGCCTCTCGACACCTGAATGACGAAGGGGAGCCTTTCGATTTCGGTCTTGACACTCGTAGTGAGGAAAGAGAAGGGAAGAAGGGTCAAGCCTGACCTGGAGAAGTGCTCTAACTGGGAATGCTGTGGTTTATCCGTTGCTGGTAGTTTATGGCAACACAGGCTCGAGGTAGCAGTTACCGGACGCCGTTGGGGGCTGGTGCCGAGCTCTGCGAGAAGGCAAGTGCTGCAGCTGCTTCTTCCCCCGCAGACCCATCCACACCCTCCCTTCTCTAAGGCAAATGGCTAATGTCTTCAAGGTTGAATATAGTACTGTTGGTTTTTTGTTTTTGTTTTTTTTTCATTTCTTCATAGATTCTGGTGGATCATGCATTTCCTCTCAAGTGCTGAGCCTGGAAGAAGCACTGAAGATCAGAGGCAGAACAGAAGGGAAACCCGGCCAACGCTGGATCCTTGCTTTCTTCTTGATCCAAGGAGAAACTCAATTCAGAATCACAGTCTGCAAGATGCCTGGGACACTTTGGAATTGGTTCGTCTGCTGAGAGCATTGCAGATAAACGTGCCCGCGTCCATCAGCTTCTGCAGATCCACACCCTTCATGGGAAACAAAAAAAAAAAAAAAAGATACAACACACCTCAGTACTGGTTCTGCTACGTAAAGCTGCCCAGTAACAACTGGCATCACTGGGAGTCTATCAGGGGATGAGTGAGCCTTTAGAAGGTGCTTTAACGAGGCTCTGAGCGCCTGCTGCTCACTAGTGTGATTCTGAGAGAGAGGGTCAAATCGCAGAGTGCTGAAAAAGGGAGAGAAGGCAATGAGGCAGGTGGCGAGGGTGGGACTGATGTGGCAAGATAAGGCCCCCAGGCACAGGCAGGCTGACCTGCACTGCAGAGCCTCCAGCCCCACCCGCTACGCTCGGGCTCCCTGGGTCAAATCTGGAATCCCCGCTGAAGCCTGAGCAGCTGTTGTGCGAGGGGCTCGGCTGCTGCAGGCAAAGGCTGCTCACGCTTACCGTGTGGATCCCCAGGCCGTTCAGCATGTACACCAAGTCCTCCGTCGCAACGTTTCCTGAAGCTCCTTGGGCGTAGGGGCAGCCTCCGAGCCCAGCGACAGAAGCATCAACCACACTCACACCCATCTGCAAACAAACCCACTATCAGTAAACTCCTCTTAAAGGAAAACTGTGGTCCTGCTCCTCAAATCTACGGTTCACAAGCAAGGACAAAAAAAAAAAAACAAAAACAAACAAACAAAAAAACAACAAACAAATAAAAACAAACAAACAAAAACAAACAAACAAACAAAAATAACACAAAAAAAAAAAAAAAAAAAACAAAAAAACAAACCAAACAAGGAAAAGTGCTATACTTCAAAGCACAGATCTTACCTGAAGCGCCACCAAGATGTTGGCAAGAGCTTGCCCGTAGGTATCGTGGCAGTGAACAGCAAGAGCCCCAACTGGCACCTCTTTCATGACTGCTGTCAGCATCTCCTTCATGCTCCCTGGGGTCCCAATGCCAATGGTGTCACCGAGGGAAATCTCATAGCATCCCATCGAGTACATCTTCTTTGAGACCTGTCCAAAAGCCAGGACGCTTACTGAAAAAGCAGCTTTGTCATTCCCTTCCTCAGAGCTGGAGACCCGTTGCACAGCAGAACCAGTGCGTGATTCCCTGGAGCACAACAGCCATGGGGACAACAGCCTGGAGACTTTTCTCTGGGATCAAAAATCTCTCTGGGTCCCCACACATCCCTGAATTCCCCTGGCCATTTCAGCTAGACTCAGTATTCCCTCCCTGTGGTGGCACCTAGCTGTAACCTTCCCCAGTCTTCCCTCAGTCTTTGGTTAAATGGTTTGACACATCCTCCAGCCCCCAGTGCCCAACTCACATCCACAAAAGCGAGCCACAAACCTCTCAGAAATTTGGGTCGTATTTATGATGAACTCACCTCTGCAACTTTAGCTGCAGAAATCTTCCCTTCATAGGGACATCCAAGGACACAGGAAACATATCTATGGTTAAAAAAACCCACACACTTTTAGTTAGAAAACTGAAGTGAGATTATACTGGCCCAATTAGTCAGGACTTGTGCTGCATCCTGCATGCCCCATACAATGGAAGAATTGATTTAATATTCTAAAAATCGGTCCAACGGACAAAGCTTACATAATCCATGATTCAACAATTACTTCTTCTATGGTCATGATAAATTTGCCAAGACAAGAATACACAGGACCGTTAGGCTTGTGGATCTACGCACTTCCATGTGGAATGTTTGCCAAGAAGCTAGTATTATTTGGGATCATTTGGTAAAGCTGAAGACAGAATAATTACACGAAGGGTGAATCCATCTGGAAGAGCATAAACTGTCAGGAGTGGTACCGGCCACCATGTGAAACCACCCTGGTGTGGTGGCATTTCCAAAATAACACCTCTCCATGCACTGAGCTCACATCTGCTTGCACCCATCCAGGCAGAGAGATGCTCCCCCAAAAAAGGTAAAGTTTAAGAGCAATCCCACACCCCAGCGCTGCACGGGCTGGACTCCAGAGAGATAAACTCAAGCAGTCGCAGCTCTCCACACAGCCCGCTCGGTGCTAAGTTGGCAGCTGGAGCTTCTTACCCCCGGACAGGAATGCTGGCTGCTCTCGCAGCCGTCATCACTTCATCAAATCTCTCCAAACTCTCCTCTATGGAACAGTTGATGTTCTTCCTAGTGAAAAGCTCAGATGCTGCTCCAAAGATCGACACTTCTTTGGCCCCTGCTGCCACCTGCCAATAGAAAGTATAATTTAAAGTGAGCTGATTTTTCTTGCAGAGGAAACTACAAGCACAACCACGACTACAGTTCTCTCATTTTATAAAAAATATTTTTTTTCCCCAATTCTGCCCCAAATAACCCAATTCCTCCATTCATTCCACAACAAAAACATGACGACACATCCAAATTAGCCTTCAAAAGAAGAGTAAAGTTACAGATACAGCAGTAAAGCTACATCTGCTGGATGCAGTCAGGAGAGCTGTGGGACATGCAGATAAGACTGAAAGCATCACTCAATTAAAACAGATCACCTCTTTTTTTCTTTTTATAGTAACAGAAAACGTATCAATGTATTTTCTATTCTAAACAACAGGTTTCTATTTCCCCAGCAAAACGATCCCTTGTAAAGGAACTACAAGACGAGAGTGCTGCCTGCCAGAACGAAAGACGCATTTCCCACCCTTAACCACGGCTGAAACGTCCTTCGCAGGCAACCCTGCACGAGGCACTCTGAACATCCAGACGCTGCCATCTCTTACCGCTGCCTGAAATCCTTTCAGATTAGGGGTCAGCACAGGGTAACTAATTCCAGGCAACTTATTAATTCCTCGCATGACTTCAGTATGGTCAGCCATCTGCAAAATAAGCAAGGAAAGGTTTGTAAAGGTGACAACATCCACTTCTGCAAATTATAAAATTTTTAATTTAATTTTATGAACTGGGACAGCAATATTTAGGAATAAGAGAAATCGACCTCTAAAGAGCAAACAACGCTGTAGTCTGTGAAGGATCATAGTTCAGTCACCCAACACGGGTGTTTATATTTGAGTTGCACGTTTACTCTCCTGCAGGGTCCAAAGGGAAGGCCTATTTCTCTTTTATTTGGCTTTGCTGGTTCTTTCCCAGTTACAAGCCACAGTAACAAGGATTTTGGAGCAAGCAGAATCTTCTCATTGGACTAGTATCTATTATTAGGCATTTTTATAACGGACAATTGTAAATCGTGTTTGAATACTGACCTGAGGAACCCACTTGGGGGAGACAAAGCTGGTGGCCTCTATAGCCTGAAGCCCCGTCTCTGACAGCATATTGATTAAATTGATTTTCACCGCTGTCGGTACAACACTCTAAGAAGAAAAGCAAAACGACCTTAAGTGATTATCTTCACGATAACCTTTTCCACCACTGAAAAAAAAAAAAAAAAAACAAAACAAAACCAAAAACCGCAAACCAAACCCGCTCAACTTTCAACATCAAAAAGCGGCCATGTAAAAAGCCAAACCCAGCCGGCGGGGCACCGCGGCACGTTCCGAGGGTTTGGGGGGCGAACCCCCCGGGGGGTGCTGAGGGTCCCGGCCCGTCCCCACCTTCTCGTTCTGGAGCCCGTCGCGCGGCCCCACCTCCACGATCTTCACCCGCTTCGGGAAGGCTCCGGCCGCCGCCGTGGCGCTGCCCTGGGGACAGAGGGAGAAGCGTCAGCCCGGCGCCACCGCCCCCCGGCCCCGCTCCGCTCCCCCCGACCCCGCTCACCGGCCGCAGCGACGCGGCCCAGCGCGGCACCAACACCCGCATCGCCGCCATGTCCACCCTCTCTCACATGACCGCGGCGCCCCCCCCCCCACGTGACTTCAGAGCCTGCGGCTTAGCGGTCACATGACAGCCGCGCTCTCCGCCTGGAGCCGCGACACCGGTTCGGGGCCGCGCACCCCCCGCCCCCAGCTCCTCCGTCCCCTCCGCCGCCGAAAAGCCCTCGCTGCCCGCCCCCGAGCCGCCGTCGGGGGAAGGGGGGAGACCCGGCCCGTACCTGTCCCCGCGGGCCGTCCCGCGGCAACGAGCCGGTGGCGCACTGCGGCATCTTTCCCCCCGGCACCGGCACTGTGCGTGGCCCCCGGTTGCCGCTTACTTATACGATGGCTTTTCTGCTGGTTCGCGCCGCTAAATAAACACGGCGTGTTTGTTTTGGGTGGGCCCCCGCCCTGCACCAGAGGTTAGCAGCGTGATGGGGTTGGGAGACAAAAAGGCCATCGCTTTGTTGTCCCTTTCCCCCCCCACACACACCCCCTCCGTGTTTGTAACGACGTCATCACCAGGGCCGGGGTGACGCTCCGTATGAGCGAGCGGGTCTCTGGTAGCCAGTGCCAGTTCTCCGAAGTCCACACAGATTCGTCAGTACAGACCATTATTTGTCAATTGAGTAACAGCTCCAACACCACCAGCTCAGCGGGTGTCCCAGCCCCCCGGCTTAGCTTGCCCTAGACTCTAGTTTAGCTTAACTAAATACTACAAGTGTTCTGACAACTTTTGCTTGCACCACATCATACAGGAACAAAATAAAGCCTCTCTGCAACGTTGTTGGGCCTTCACAACAGCTGTGCTGCAGGAACACACGCTATTATGAGGCGTTTCATCGTTTAAGTACATATTGTTCAGCCCTTTTTAGAGAAGTTCAACATCAACGCAGGAAATCTTATCTCACTGAAACAGCATCAGTCAGAGGTTCAATTCAGAATGGTGGCTCCTCTGTTAAATTCATAGACTCACAGACTGGTTTGGGTTGGAAGGGACCTTAAAGCCCATCCAGTCCCAGCCCCTGCCCCGGGCAGGGCCCCCTTCCCCCAGCCCAGGGGGCTCCCAGCCCCGTCCAACCTGGCCTTGAACCCTTCCAGGGAGGGGGCAGCCACAGCTGCTCTGGGCACCCGGGGCCAGCGCCTCACCCCCTGCACAGGGAAGGATTTCTGCCTTAGATCTCATCTAAATCTTCCCTCTTTCAGTTTAAACCCCCACCCCCTGACCCAGAGTCCCTTCCCACCTTTCCTGTCCTCCCTTTAAGCCCTGGGAGGCCGCTCGAAGGTCTCCCTGGAGCCTTCTCTTCTCCAGGCTGAACCCCCCCAACTCCCTCAGCCTGGCCTCCCAGGGCAGCTGCTCCAGCCCCCCCATCATCTTTGTGGCCTCCTCTGGCCCCACTCGAGCAGCTCCGTGTCCTTCTGCTGTTGGGGGCCCCCGAGCTGGCCCCAGCACTGCAGGGGGTCTCCCCAGAGCGGAGCAGAGGGGGAGAATCCCCTCCCTGGCCCTGTTGCCCCCCCTGCTCTGGCTGCAGCCCAGGGCACGGGTGGTTTCTGGGCTGCGAGCGCATGGTGCTGGCTCACAGGCAGTTTTCCTTTCATGTTTCCATTTATGCTTTCCATTTAGTTTCCCAAAATCATGTAAGAACAAAACCTCTTCTGCTTATAGCTGTCTCCACCAGAATATAATTAAGAGTTTGTTAATGGATTTGTATATAGACTATGATTTTCTATAGCTGATTTCTTCTAGACCTTTTCAAACAACAAGCTTCCATTTATTCTTGATGAAAGTATGCGATCATAATTGCTTCAATCAATATCAAAGTAATACAATGCATCTTATTGAATACCTACTTTTATCATACATCATACGCAGGAATCTGTGATAGCACTGTGGTTGGTCTTTGTCAGAACATGCCCACCACATGCATTCATGATTCTATATGTGAGTACTGCATTGGTTATCAAAATTAATTTCAATGAGTAATTAAGGCAGGGAAGTGGCAGGGCCTGCTCCTGCCTGGGAGGTGCGGACCCTGCTGCGGTGCGCAGCCTGGCTCACCAGCACTGGCTACACCCACATGAACACGGACACAGCTCCCGCTGCTCCACGTCCTGTGGGCTGCTCCAACAGTCCAAATCCTCTCACCATTAACCTGTGCATCTCCTCCCTGGCAGACAAGCATCCTCTTGGTAGCTTCACACACTAATACCTAGGTGCAACGTGGCCTGTCCTGGCACCCCAAAGCAAGTCCTCTTAACCACCCCACACTAACTCTGTTCAGTCTGCCACCAACTCTGAGTCTGTCCAGTGTCATCACCTATAATCACATCACTGAAGCAGTAATGTCTGCCAAGAAGTCCAGCTCTACATCAAAAAAACCTTCCTGTTCCAAATGTAGATCTTTGGCTCACAGGCTGTCACATCCCAGCAGAATACTGCAAAGGATGTCCTCACTTCCCACTGTTGAGCAGAGAGGTCAGTCCTTTGCTGCCAACCAAGGTCCATTGATAGATTGCTTACAGAAGAAAGGGATTAGAAGAGAGATTCTCTTAAGAGAAAAACAATTTATCCAACAATAAAAGAAAAATCCTCTTAGATTCAATTTAAAAGAAAGGCAGATTGCTGCTTTCATCCCGCAGCCATCACTTCACACCCTCAAGCTTGACAGTCCAGCCAGACTGAGGAGGTAGAGGAGATGGGAGCATGTAGGGCAAAGTTATGAGCAGTCCTTTTCCTGGGGACTTCTGCCACTTCAGAGTCCCTGCAAAACCCAACATCGTCACCTGCAGAGGAGGGCAGGGGAAACACTCAGTTGGAGTTCACACAAGTACTTCCCATTTGAACACCCCAGTACACCCAAAACACGTTTGCAGTCTCTGTACAGCATTTCCCACCCGTTCAAAGCAGTCCTGCACATTTCCACTCATCACTCACAGCACACAAATGGTAACACATGGCTTATTTTTGGGCCAAACATTTGACCGTATTTTGTTGTTTGTTTTTTGGGGATTTTTTTACTGAGAAGGCTTTAGCTCTGTTTGTTTAGAGCAAAGGGCACTCTAGCATTTGCGTCACTTACAATTACATTTACAATTAGCAGGTCAGTGTACCTGATTTGAATTTGAGACGCAATGCCAGCGATCCCTTCTATGTGTGAGGCTTGTTATTTACTTCACCTTCCTGTGTCAATAGGATCAAAAGACTCTGGAGGAGAAGTGTCTCTGCCTATTCTATGGCAGACTATGAGCCTGTCCTGGCAAGTCCTATCCAATGCTCTGTGTTAAGAGTGAGCTAAAGCCTGGAGAATGACCTGGGATGCTGCAAGGATCTGGAGAGAGGCCAGAGCACCCCAAAACACAAAGTACAGATGACAACTTCCACACTCTCCCCAGTTTCCAAATGAAGTCAGGGTGGACTTTCCCAGACCACATGCGCCCAAGATGGGCTCTCCAAGTGCATTAACTTTTTTTCAAATTCCTTACTTGTGTGGCTGGGGATGGAGTGGGCGAGGACAGCTCCAAAACATTGTCCCGAGGCCAGACCAGGAAGATGGCATAGACAACTGGTCCCTTAGAAGTGTACCTAAGAGAGCAAGAGTTCAGCAAGGTGAAGAGTCCCATAAGAGAGAGAACCAGGCATGAGCTTGACCTTTCCAGACAGCACGAGAACACCGGCTTGCCTACTGTCACTGCAAAGCGGTCACCTACTTTCCCCTCATTCTGAAATCTGTCACTTTGGACCCACCATTTGGCCAGTCAGCACTCGCTGATGAAACCCCAACAAAGTCCGTGCGTGCTTCTTGAAAGCAAATGTCATTTGCGTATCTGTCCTTGCCTCAGCTTGTGGTCAACAGAGTGGAGACGCTGCCTTATCCTGATTATTGCTCTGCTTTCCTAGACTGAATACACCTGGGCAGACTTGGAAAAAAAAAAAAACAACTCTGTTTTGTAGCAATTTCTGGCTCTTGACTCACTATGCTCTTCTTAGTCAGTATAAATCTCTACAGTTGGGCAACAGTGATTAGTACTATTACCACTACATTTACAATCTGTATGTGTTTAGATGAACTACATTTGTGCAATTCAGACTAGCCAGGACCACTATTTAAACAGTCCTGAGAGCAGCAGCATGCAAATTTTTTTAAAGGAAGAGTTATTTTTTTCCAAATCAAGCAAGACAGATTAAGTCCTGATTTTTATTCTATTCTTTCAAGCAAGATATTCTTAGATAACACCGTGGGGCAGTAACTGAGCACTCTAATTGTAGGATAGTACATAAATGCCATGCGCACCTGATGGCAACACTTCAGAGTGTACCAAATTTGAGAACAAATAAGAAAGAAACATCAGCTCTGGAAGTCCCAGCCCAGATGGTACTGAGCAATGGAGTCCTTACCAGACCGTGTCTGTGCTGTTCTCCATTTGTACTCTCCACGGCTTCGATTCATAAATTGCCTCCCCATTAGTGTTCAGCCATCTCCCAACAGCCAGAAGTCTTTCTTGAAAGATAGGAACAATCACCCCTTCTTTTGTAGGTCCCACATTGAGAAGGTAGTTGCCTCCAAAACTCACAGTCTGCACTAGCTCCTGTAACAGATAAATCAAGGTAACAAACTGCATTATCTTCACTTCTGACAACAAAGAAACCTGATGGCTTTGTCCTCATGACAACTCCTTCTGCAAGTAGGAGGATGAAGGAAACCTCTAATTCTCAGTAACTCCCCCACACCTGTTTTTTTTTTAGATTTTTTACCTCAATGATACTTGCTTCATCCATTAACTCAGCAATGTTCATGTTGCTTCGATAGCCCCAGGAAAGCTTGTCAATGGAGGAACACATCTCCCACTTGTGAGTCAGCAGGGTCCCTGGCTTGTATTTGTCAGCACAATTGTAGTAGCCTCCGTGATGGCAGGAGCAGTTATTACACCAACGATCATTGACAACAACAGTGTCCTGAAAGAAGAAACTCAGCTCAGTAGAGAAAATATTTTGTCTTGGACTTTTCAGCTTGCATTCATCCCCCCTGAGTTAGCAAAGGCATTTAAGTTGGGAGGTAAGCACATAAAGTCCCCTTTGTAATCAACAGAAGGAGAAAGAGGATCCTCCAGAGAAGACTGAATCCCTCTCAGAGAGAAACTCTCTCTATTCACTCAGGCAGAAGTTGAGGCAACAAGGTTCCTCACCTCTGAGACTCCCACATGTGTGCTGTAAAGGACGCTAGAGTCTTCTCAGAGGAGCACAGTGTAGGCTTCTTTTTTGTGAAAGAATAAAACACATTTGGCATCTGTCAAGTGGGTTTCTGATTTGATCACATTTGTATCTCACTGCTGCCAGACCTTCCATACCCATAAAATGCTATTGGCCATGAGCAGAGCTGAAAGCGATACCTTGACGGGACTATCGTTATAAAGCCAGGCAAGGAAAGAGGTAGAATTCCAGTATGACTCCGGAGCTTCCCAGTCTCCATCCGACCAAATCAAATCTGGTTTATATCTAACAGAGAGATGAATATTATTTCAAAATGGCTTATTTTCTCCTCCCACAAAGGAAGCACTGTGTTTCTTGCATCTGGAGTCTAGCTTTACTTCCTCTTCCTATTGCCTGACATTACCAGGAGGTTTATGCTATCACTTTCTGCTTCAAATAAAGCTTTAAGTGAGGTTCTTGCAGCAGCAAAGAATACTGTGTTGATCACAGCTCAAGAGAGAATGCAATTCTTCCAAAAAACGTAAGTTTGCATCTCAAAGGTAATTGTGAGGCACATTCTCGACCTAGGACAATGGCCATTCAGAGCAGCATATGTCCAAGCCTCCTATTTTTGTCAACAAAGGGAAGGAAGGCAAAGATAAATTCACAGTGAAATAGCTCTTCTACTCTGCAGCTTGCTCCACTTTCAAAGCCACCCTGCACAAAGGCAGTATTAAAGGGAACTGCTTTTGCATGAAAAATTCGTCCCTACCTTATTCTACAAATTAGGCTGTCCACAGGGCAAATGTGAACTCTTTTTCTAATTACTGCAAATCATTACCAATAATAAACAGATTTGCCTTGGCAAAAAATTAACATTTGTCACCTCTTCTCTGCATCCACTTTGCATTTTTTTCTACAGTATTGAAACCAGGAAATTATCTTGATTCCTAAATGGTTGAAGCTCTTACTTTAAGACAAGATCATAAAGTTCTGGCATAGTCTTCTTTAAAACGAAGTTCTGGGTCTTGAAGCCACTTTCTTTGTCAGCTAGATAGAGTGGATTAAACCACTCTAACAGAGAGTGATACAGCCCATAGCGTATGTTGCTGAAGGACAGAAAACACAGAGGAAAGAGTTAGGTTGGCAGTAGGGATTAAGAACCAGAGGCAGATTAGATTACCGCCGTTATTATTTCACAGATTTCACAAATTTGCAAGCACTACTTTTTTCATATTAAACTCAGAGTTTTCCACTGTTTTTGAAGAACAGCCAGGAGGATTCAATACACATAGATGAAAGCAACAGCACAGTTTGGCATAGAGATACCTCTCCCTCAGGGCTTGTCCTAGCTCTCCTACAAGATCTCGGTGGGGCCCTGTATCCACAGAATTCCAGTTCCAGGACACAGATGACCCCCAGTTGGTGAAGCCTTCATGATGCTTCGTAGTCAGTACCACGTACCTGAGGGAAAAAAAAAAAAAGTACTTGATCAGGATGACAAAGAAAATACCTAAGATACTGCCCAGCCTCACTGGCAAACCCAGTCACTAAAAAAGCAACGGACTCAATAACCGTGCAGTGAGGAGCCCCCTTTCATCACCCTTTATATTTAGAAGCAACTACAAGAATAATAGACATTTTCAATGCATTTTAATGCTGGAAAAGTATGAACAATTGAGACTTAGGATGTAGTAAGACCCGTCATCTTCTCAGCACCCTGGGTATGACCCCTCAGGTATCTCCAGCACTGCTCAGGAATCCCCAGTCCCTCAGGGACCCCCAGTTTTGGCCCTTCCATCCCCTCAGGGACGCCTGCAACCTCTTGGGGACCCCTGTACCAGCCCCTCCCACCCTCTCTGGGCTTTTCCATCCCCTCAGGGACCCCCAGACACGGCTCCCCCATCTGCTCTGTGCCCAGGGTCGCCCCATCCCCTCACAGACCCCCAGAAACAGCTCCCTCATACCCTCAGGGACCCCCGGGCACGGCACTTATCCCCTCAGGGACCCTCAGACCCACAGCCCCATCCCCTCAGAGATCCCAACCGCCCTGGCCAGCACCTGACACCGACCTGGCACCAGCCCGCTGGAAGAGCTGTGCCCACTCGCGGGGCTGGAAGTCGTGGGCGGTGAAGCGGGGCGCAAAGTCCGCGTAAGTGGTGTCGGGCGGGTACCGGTGCTGCACGAAGTGCTCGTAGTCGGCGCAGTGCTCGCCCTGCCAGTGCCACCAGAACCACTCGGAGCCCCAAGCCGGGACGGAGAACACCCCCCAGTGCACAAACACCCCCACCTTGGCCTGGTCGAACCAGGCCGGCAGCGGCCTCGCGTCCAGGCTGGCCCAGTCCGGCCGATACCGCAGCGCGGCCGACACCGGCCCCAGCGCCGCCGCCAGCCACAGCAGCCCGCCGGCCGCCATGCTGCTTCCTGACGTCAGCGCGGCCGCCGCCATGGCTACCAAGGCAACGGCGGCGCGACGCCGCCATGGCTACCGAGGCACGGGCGAGGCGCCGCCATTACGCCCTAAGGGTCGGCGGTTCGAGGCTGCGGTCCGCCCGGCAGCGGGGCCGCCTCTTTTTCTTCGTCCCTCCTTCCTTCCCCCCCTCCCGGCCCGGCTCTGCCCCACTGTAGCCGCCTGTGTGCCTCATCCTGCGGTCTGAGCCTCTGTGTCCTCCAGCAAGGAGCCAGCAGAGCCCCAACAGGGCCCCATGGCAGCTCAGCCTCCACGAGAGGCATCCTGCACAGCCAGAGCAGGCCCAGGGCCTGGCTCCAAAACACGCGCATAAGGGATGGGTGCATCCCCTCTGGGGAAACAGGGCAGAGTCCAAGGGCCTTGCGGCCGTGCCCCGGGCCAGGATCATCCCCGTCAGAGGTATTTTGGGAGCCCCACTGCTTTCCAGAGCACTGGCAAAGGGCCCTGGACCACTTTGCTCTCCTTGCAGGTTTTACACCTAAAGGTGCTGCTTTTGTGTAATTTGCAAAAAAGTCTATCGAATTCCTCATGCTCAGAGTATCTGCCCCAGCTTGGGCTTAAATTTATCTCCTGGAGGAGTTTGTGTCCCAGAGGTTAATGGAACAAAAGGCTGAAAAATGGCTTTAATGTTTAATCACATAACATCCAACAAACACCTGCATGGCACAGGTTATCCCTCCTTAAATTTGCTGCAAGAAATGTGCTGCCTGCCAGGTCCTGTTCGCCTCGAAATCCTCAACTATGGCCAAGTCCATAAACCACAGTGAGAGCCTTTCAGTTTTCCATAAAGAATTAGATGCTAGAATCAACACAATCCTAAATGCTGTGAGACACAGTTAGCCGGGACCGTCTGCAAGTAAGTCCAGATAAACCATCTGCATCTCTCCCAGAAAGGGCCGAGGTACCTCCAGCTACTGCTGGTCCTGCTCCCATGCAATACAGCAAGGCATCTACCATCAGCAGGAGCTTGTCACAACTTGCTGTTCTTTGCCACCTTTTTTCAGGACCTGAAGACCTTTTCTCACTGTGCTGCTAATACATAACACCCCAGGATGGCATTCAAGTCTGGTATAAACAGATGTACCTCTGCTATGTATCGATGTGCTATTAGTACTTTGCTGATGGTGCTTGTACAACTCTGCCCATGCCCAATTAAGGGGTTTAGAGAGAGTTATGTGATGCCTGGTGATTTCTACAGAAATTGAAGGTCTATGGAGTGTTCTATTTGAAGTTAGCTATATTTTAAGGGAGTGTAAGGGAGACAGCACTGAATATAAGAAAAATGGGTCAGGAGGTGACTGATGGACAGGTGGGAGGCCAGGAAGGAGTAGTTGTCATAAAATATGAGGATCTGCTGTTCTGGGGCATGGTGTTATCCGCTGCCTCATGGATGGCACACTGGTTTGGCACTGGCATCTCTGCAGCTTGGGGACCAGATGCCTGTGTAAGTCTGTGCACTTTATGTCCCAGCATCTAAGAATAACATCAGCAGGAGCTGGCTCCATGACAGGCATCTGATCCCTCATCTCCCAGGACCTCCATAAAAAAAGAAAAAGAAAAGTAATCCAGGCTGTTTCTGTCAGCCCGAGTGCAGACTTTCCACAGTTGCCTCCCTACATCACGTGCACATCCTCGCAGACGGTCCCTATCACGGAGGACTTGTTCGTGCTCTCTGCTTCTGGGCTTTCCTCAGAGGCCTTCAGCTGCCTCCTGAACCGAGAAAAGAGCATCATCAGAGAGGTATATAGCTCCTTGCTCCGCAGGGCATAAATAATGGGGTTCACCATGGAATTGAGCAGGCAGAGGGTGCTGCAGAAGGCAAACACCTTGCGCAGGTGAATGCTCATCCTGGCAAAGATGCTGTAGATCATAAGAATGAGGACTGGAGACCAGCATAGCACGAGGACAGTCAGCACCATGACGAGGGTCTTGGCCAGCATGACATCCATCCTCATCCTGGTGTTTTGCTTTCCCACCTGTGCTTGGTGCTTCTCCATGTAGGCCACGTGCTGGTGAGCCCTCCATAGCACGTGCGTGTAGGCATAGACGATACACCCCAGCAGGACCATGATGAAGCAGATCCAGCTCGACAGATATTTGCCATCCACAAACGGGAACAGTTCGGAGCAGGTCGAATCAAGTGTGCAGCAGTTCCAGCCCAGGAGGGGCAGGGAAGCAATGGTCGCACATGTCACCCAGAGCACCCCCAGGGCTATGCACGCTCTCTTCCTTGTCATGAGGAGCTTGTATTCGGAGGGCCGACTGATGGAGATGTAACGATCCAGTGCCGTCAGCAGCAAGCTGCTCAGGGAGGCAGAGAAGGATGTGTTCACCCCTCCCAGCTGCAGCAGGAACGTTTCTTTAGAGAAATTGGTTTGATTAAAGACATGGAAGTTAATAAAACTGCAGACGAAGATGATGCTGGCCAGGATGTCAGCCAAGGCCAGGCTGCTGATAAAGAGGTAGGAAGGCTTCCTCCTGGTCCTAGGGGAAGAGAAGATCAAGTACAGCACCAAAGAGTTCTCAAAAATGCAAAGTGTCCCAAAGAGGCCACAGAGTGTGGCAATGCTTATCTTCTGTGCTTGCGTGCTGAGGACCATGAAGCACTCCATACCGTTCACACTGCATTTGGAGGAGTTTTCATATATCTTACATATATCCATTGTAATTAACTGTAGCTAGGAACTTGCAAAGAGCCTTTCTGCTTCCTTCTGCACTTCTTCAGATGCTCTGAAAAAGACCAAGGTGAAGAGGAGTTACAGGAGCACAACAAGTAATAAATTCAACCCACCCAGATACATCCCTCCCTTTAGAGAGAGTCAAACAAAAGGAAAATAGCATGGGGAGACCTACTTTCAGGTACACAGCCCAAATACTGGAGCCAGCTTCCACACTTTCCCAGCAGAGATCCAGGCTTTGTCCCACCAGTGGTTTGGCTGAGACACGGCTATCACAGCCCATGGGTACCACGTCCGTAACACATCTGTAATCTGTACCATGTTCGTCTCTTGGGCTGTTTCCTCACCACAAGAGGGAAGCAGCAACGCTGAGAATTGTACAAATCCTGGGCCAGCTCTTACTAGCCCTCCTGGATTCCCTGCTCAGGGCCATCAGCGGTGGAAGGGGCTGCTCATGGTGACACTGTGCCATGGCCAGGGACAGGCAGGCCCTGGAGAACAGCCTGTCCAAGTAAAGCTGCCCCAGGAGATGGCTGGGGTGTAGAAGGACGAGGGATATTGCACTGCCAGGGACTCAGTGTGGCTCATCTGGGAACACAAAGTGCACTTTGAAGCATTTACTCCTTACCAAAGCTCTCTGAACACTTAAAATTACAAGACTGGTTTTATATTTCAGCTTGTCCATTGCAGTTTTATAAAGCTCAGCCTCATTAAAGTTGCATTTCTCCCCTCCATAACTTCTGTGTCATGAGTCCGTCTGGTCAGTGTGATTAAAAGTATTTGTTTAACATCAGTGTTAGAGTGCAGATTGGACATAAAATGGGGACATGCAGGAGTTAGACCACCTGAACCTAAGAACCCTGTCCATGCCCAGCACTAAGGAAATGCCTTATTTTCCCCTAGGTAGATGTTGAGCTGCTCAGCGTACGCTGTGGCAGCAAAGTCATGTTTTTCTCTGCACTTCTGCAGCTTAATGCATTTAAATCCATCTTCATTACACTGATGAGCTTGTCCTTCAGATATTATTTTTCTTCCATTGTTGCTCTTGCTTATACTCATGCTTTAAACCGAATGCATGTTCACCGAGGGCTCAGCTGCCTTGTGTTGCCTTATGTACCAGGGGGAACAAGGTCATCCTGGACAGGGTTATAGAGAACAAATGAAGAGGTTGTTGTCGGATACACTAAAGCTGCCTTATTAGCAGAGAGGTGCTGTGTCCCATGTGTCATGCACTGGCAGGTCACATTGCCCTGCTACAAAACCCCATGGGACAGGCCCCCTCTTCCCGAAAGCATCTGCCTGGCTTGAAGTATCCAGGACCCCACATCCAGGTAATGGGACTGTGAGTTCCCACTGCTGGAGGAAAGCACTGAACTGAGAGCGTTCCCTTTCCCCCAGTACAAAAAAGCCACTGTCTCTCCCTGCCCTCAGCTCTCTTTCAAAAGAGGAAATGTCCAAAATGTGCAAGCCACAGCAGTCAGGATGTGTGACAGCTACAGCTACCCGGGGAGCAGGGTGAGTGCCCAGGCAGGGCAGGGGCTGGGCTCCTGGGCTCCAGGCATGTGTAGCCAACCATCTGCGGTTTCTCTGTCTGTTTTTTTGAACTTCAGCAAAGGCAACAGCTGTCTTCAGAGGGGACAATAGCCAGCAGTGACCATCAGGCTAAAAACCTCTGTCTGCAACATCTTAGTGGTGACAAGTATTTTATACATGTCTTCATTACTTCCTTCCCTGCTGAGTCCCCCATCCCCTGACACTCATCACTTTTCTGTGTTTTGCAGCAGTTGCAAAATACCCCCAAGCACTTGAGATGCTGCCCAGGTCACGGAGAAGAGCCCGAGCCCCACACTTTGCTCCTGCCTGCCTGTCGAGGCTTGAACATCGGTGGTTGTAGGGCATTCAGTGCATACTACAGCCAGAGCAGTTCAATCCTGATTTGCATTTCTTGGCGTATCAGACTGGAGGAGTCCTGGACCTTGGGCTGAAATGTGTCTCAGCATTGCAGCAAGCTTCTCTCCTCTTACATCAGGCTCTGGCATGGGGTAATCATGCAGGACCGGAGATGCTGCACTCTAATCTCAGCACTCTTGTTTCCTGCAGCTCTTCACAGAAACACCCCAAGTGCAGCAGTAATTAATAACTGCTGTTATTAAGCCTGACAACATCTCTCCCTCCAGAGAGAGATGGATTTAGTGGACAGATGGACTTTGACATATCTCAGGGCTCACCAGGGGCCACCGGGGCAGCAACTGCCTCCTTGAGTATCCAAAACTCCCCAGGCAAAACTCCAGCGTCCAAACCAAGACATCTCTTAATTAAGCAGACTCCAGCATCACCCGGCTATTAATTGCAGCCAGCATTCCCAGGACAATCTTAAATTCTCAGTATCTGCAGTTGTGCAAAGTCCAATGAACATACTTAGGAACTTGAAAACTACTGAACACTAGGCAAGAGACTGAAGGTCAGCAAAATGCTACCCTTCATGTTACATTGCTTGGGGAGAGAATTTGGTTATAATGGCAAAATAACTCCTGCACTGACTGTTCTGGTACAGCTCCCTCTGTTAGGCTGACATAATTCAGTTAAGCCCTCATGTTCAAATATTGTGCTGGGCTCGTAGCAATCAGCCAGTCAGCCCAGACCTTCTCTTCCCACATCTGTTGTGTCTCAGGCTGAATGACAAGGACAAATCTCTTTGCAATTTTGACTGAGCTCCCCAAATCCTCCTTCCAGCTCCTGTGTCTGTGAGGGAAAGCACAGGGCTTTGCTCCAGTACAAGATCTCTTCTGCAGAGGCTCCAGAGAGTGAAAACATAGGCAGTGCCAAAAGCCCCTCTCCTTGCATTGCCTGTCCCTTTTTTTTTTTGACCATAAGGCTGCTTTTTCCTGCCTGGGGGACATCTTTCTCTTGTCACATGGGCTCCTGGATTCAACCATTTGTTAGTTCATGCCCACTGCCTCCTGTATGCTTCAGCTCCTGGGAAACAAGCCAGCCTGTATCTGGATCCCAGAGGAGAGTTGATCTGCAGCATCCTCCATGGGGCAAGTCCCACTTCCAGGGTGGAGACCCCCTTCCGAGGGGCAGCAGCTCCACCTCCCTGGGAATTACAGCCCCAGGCATCACTGGGCATCCCCACCACAAGCAGCCCACCCAACCCAGAGTCCCTGCCTGCCAGGCTGATGTTTCAGCTCAGCAAGAAAAAGTGAAGGGGCTTCTTGCCCTCCTTCAGAGCCAGGAGACTGTGGCACAGAGGGACAGGGTCCCTGGGAGCTGCAGGAGCCAAGCCGGGATTTCCTGGGCCTCTGCACAGGATTAACTCTCCTCCCAGCATACCAACGTGTCTACTGCCAGCAGGATCTCTCAGAGTGGGGAATATTCTGCCAAAATAAAGCAATGGAAACCCCATCTCTTGCAATGGAGAACCCCCCAGACAGTGTCGATAACAATAGCCCCAGAAGGCAGCAAATGGAGGCAAAGCACTGAATGAACTACAAGCCCAGCTATTAGGAACAAAGTGCAGTTAAGACATTTGGGAATGCAATATATTCCTGATACAGCCTCACTGTCTGAAAAGTGCCCAGAAGCAGCAAAGAAACCTTCCCCTTGTTAGATCTGCTTGTGAGTCCATTCACTCCAGCCTAATAACTTCACTGGCTTCGGTGGAAATTAAATCTACAAGTGAAAAAGTCCTTTTCCATTTCAGTGCATTGCTGCAATTGATTTCAGCTGTCAGACCTACACCGCCTTGCACGCAGCAGCACAGTTTCTGATATCACTTGGTATGGTTTCTTCATTAACAGAGACATCTCAGAATCCTTGTGATTAATAAGTTAACATATCGGTTGCTTAGATAATGTAAAATTAAATTTTCCTGCTGCAATCAGCCAGTGCAATGTGCCTGCAGCACTGTGAGAGTGCTGGTCTTGAATATTTCATTGCCAGAATTTCTGAGAGATTTGATCTTTACAGTAAAATAAAATGTCTTAAGTGATCACCTAATATAAACAAGTGAAGTGATTTATGCAAAAATTGTCATTAATGCTTGGACATTTCACTTCCTGAAAAGCAAAATAAGTATCTTTTGCTTTACAAATATTTTAGTTTGTACACAATTTCTTGTTTTAGTTGCAGGAGAAGTTTTGCCATTATTTTGGAAATAGCTGTTCATCCCGGTTTGTCCTTCCAACCATATTAAATAATGCCAAGTGGAGTTACGTCCCTGATCTAAGAACTGGCTGGCACAAATGCCACACTGAAGATTATTTGCTTTATTTCTATTCAGGGTCCAGTTCTGTCCATGTGTGACTGCTTGGGGTGACAGCATTCAAAGCACAGGGTTGTGTAGGTGCAGATCAGCACTGCGAATGCTAGTTTGGGTACAAAGCATGGCAAAACAGAGCTTCTCTTACTCCATCAAAACCACCACACGCGGAATCACAATAAACACTGACTTATGCAGAATGCTCAGCCTGAAAACTCAGTATCATACTCGTGCTTGCAAGACATTTGGAAATACCTCTGACATATCCAACATTAACATTTCCTAAAATGAGCTGTAAAGAGTTAGTTCCCAGTCTGCTATTTAAACACTTACCTTTTGTGTTCTCATTAAGAAAATGTTCATTCTAAAAAACAGTGAATAACATTGGGAATATCCCCGTGAAAAACCCTGCATGGCAGAGTCTCCCCAGACTGCGTGTGTGTGTCAGCACCATGGACTCAAAGGTACGATGTGTTTTACTGTGAGAAAAAGGATCCTTGGCTGCAGGATCTCCCCACGGGTTAGCAAACGCAAACCACTCACCTCCTCTCGCTCGCGTTGTGGGCTGGAGATGCTCGGGGGCTTCCCATCCCTCCAGCTCTCAGGGCAGTTTGTGCAGCTGTGGACAGCGCCTGCTTCCCTCTCCTTTCACATCACTTCTGGTTTCATCTGGGTGTCTCATACCATTCTGGTTTATTCCCCTGGGCTGGAAATCCATCAGCGCAAATCCTTCCTCTGGTTTCTTGATCTCTTTCGCATTCTTTCGGTGAATGTGTGTCAGGTTTTCTTTCCTTCCCCACTTCCCCTCTGGGTCTTCTGTTCTGCTTCTGGCTGCTAGTGCCGCATCTCACAACTACCCTAACTCTCAGACTCACTAAAATAATTTGCTCAGTCCCTCTGATTCCTCCATGTACCTGCAGTGTTTGAGGCAAGAGACATTGAGAGTCTTTTCCCGATTTCTCTGGGGAAGTGGAAGAGGAGGGAAAGGAAAAGAGCTAGAAGGCAGACATGGAAAATCTGGATATACCTAGCTGTGTGCAGGTCTCAGGGCAAGCCTAGAAACCTGCTGTCTGCGTGCTTGCCAGCACCATTAACAGCAAGAACCCCACCTCTCAGTGCCCCTGAAATTGGGCAAGACACTGCTCTGTATCTTGAGCACAGAAATGTGCTCTGCTAATGCCAGAAGAGTAAGGTGATGTTCTCTTTGCAAGTGGAAGGGAAAGGACATGGCTTAAGGTCTTAAGTTACACAATCATACACCTGTGGTCATGATGGACCCAGGGCTGCAGAGGCTGAGGTCTCTGCTCTACCTGCTCTCACCTATCCTTCCTTGCAGCTAACCACTTCTTCTCAGCTGGGCAGCAGCAGCCTGCAGCTGGTTATTTGCAGGTTGTGCTGTTGCTGCTGGAAAGCAGGGACGGCTGCCGGGTGACACCAGAGCACCAGGGAGAATACTGCCTGTTACTCATGGCTTTGTGTTGGTGGGTAGAGGCAAGTTTGCCTCAAATCCCAAAGGAATTAGCCACATTATGGCTGGGTAAAGACCACACAACCTGTAGTGGGGAACACATGCTGCGCTGGCTGCAAAGGAAAGGCCGTGCTCCTTAGCCCCTGGATGTAACCTGCCCCGCCGCTGGCCCTGCTCTGACATCCTGCAACCTCCTCCTGCAGCCCCATCCCAGCACCATCATCCTGTCTTCTCCCAAGCAGGAACTCAACCTTCCCTCCTGCTTGGATCCCAGGTCTCCCCATTCAGTGGATTCGTGATGGTTTTGAATAGCTGTTAACATCTCCTGCTCTCCAAATCTTCACTTCGCATGTTTCCCCTCTGCCATGATTTGTGGCTCAGGAGTTTCCCAGCAGCTGCTGGAGCTCAGCCGTGCGCCCGCATTCAGCAATGCTCGGCTGCCCTCTCCAGGGGAGCCTGCAACACTCGTGGGGACATCAGCCTGCCGACGCTTGAGAAAGAGGCAGAATTGGGAACCCAGCTCTTCCTCTTGGCCCCTGGCCGGGAACAGGGGGTTCCCCTGCTCGCGGGTGCACTCAGGCATGGCTGAGACCTGGGATCTGTCTGACCCTTTCCATGCTGCTCGGGGCAGGGTGGTTTTGAAAGCCCCTCTCTGGATCTCACGTGTGGAAACCACAATAAAGATGAAAAGCATCACAGGCAATTGTACAAGCAAAGGAGAAGAGGCAGGTTATAAGCTCTGTTTCAAAAAATAACAGCTTCCTTTTCGGTTTCTATGGACAAATTTTCCTTTGCAATAAAAAACACAAGACTGTAAAGAGCTATTGAAAACCAGAAAGATACTTTATACTAGTCCTGAGTTAGAAAAGCAGCACTCAGCCCCAAAATATTCCCTGCTGTCACAGCTTCACATCCAGCAAGATCCTGTGAAATACAGACCTAAGTTTCCTTTATCTGCAGAGAGATCTGCTCTGTCAAAGGAGTGTGTGATATAAGAAAGAAACATTATTACTGCAGCATAGCTAGAAGCTTGTAATTTGGTTTCTGGACTCTCTTTTATAGCAAAAGTTGTCCTGCCAGAGTAAAAGAAAACCATTAAAGGCTGACTTCTGTAACGTAAGGGCCTTTTGTTCCCCTCTGACTTGGATTTTTTCCCTTGGCATCAGCTGCATCTAACACAGCTGTGAATAGCTCCACTTTGGGAAATCCCCCATACCAAGATCAACATTTGGGATCAATAATCAGCTTTACATTCCCATAAAGGTCATGTTCTGCTTTTGTAGTTTTGCCTGCTTGCACTGAGCAGAAGTACAGTCAACTCATAACTATTGGGAACTAAAAGCACACCATCACTGAAAGAGGGCTCTAAGAGACTGCCTTGGCTGGGTGGGCTTTAAATTGCCTCTTGCCCAGCTGGGTGGGGTTGCCTGAATTCAGTGCACCTGATTTTTATAGTATTTAAGCCAGAAGCACAGCCAGGTATAACTGGGTAGTTCTGTAGATAGTAGTGTGGGGTTTTGCTTAAACTCTTCAGGATAGTCTTAGCAGCAGTTTGTATTTCTTGTCTTGCTGCTAGTAGCTATACTAGATCTCTCCAAGTGACTAAGGCTGAGCAGAACTGGTAAGGGGGGGGAAGATGACCTTGGAAGGGAGCCTGCCCTGCAGACCTTATACAGGTACTAGCTCTGGCTGCAGAGGTGTCTGGCTGGTGGAGGGCCAGGGGCACCCCAGCTTGCTGGGGTGCAGGATGGGCTGGGGCTGTGTGAGCTGTTAGCTCTGGTCCTGCAGTGTGCTAGAGGGAAAGCTCAAAGAAAAGCTGTGGGGAAAAGGGTTCATGAGCTTGGTCTTGCTCAGGTGTTAGTGTCTCTGTTTCCTGAGCAGCAGGAAACAACCCCTGGGGCTGCTGTTAGGACACAGCTCGTGATGGGGCACTTAGTCACTAGCGCTTGCAGAAAGCTGGTTATGTGTTGTGGGAGGACAGTGACTTGTTTGTATTTCCCTGACTTTGGTGGGGCTGAATTTGAAAATTGAGTGGCCCATACAGGGCTGAGGGTGGAGGCACTGCTCATGTTGATAAGGTGTGAATCAGAGAGCCAGTGTGACTTTTTACTGCATTCTTAGAGGAAACACTTGGAAAGAAACCAAATTTAGTCTCTTGTATAGCATAGCTCATGTGAGCAAAGCAGGGCTTGGCTGATGACTTTGCCATCTATCCCTGTAAGGGCAGTGCCTGTGCCCTGGGTGAGCTGACCTGCTGGGGAACACCTCTGCTTACTCTTGTGCTGTGAAGTGGGTTGAAGGTGGAAATGTTTCTCCTGCTGATAGGGTATGAAACTGGTATATTGACTTAAATGGGCCGAAGGTTCCTGCAGGCTTTTGTGACTCTCTACTGGTGTGGATTTGAACAAAGAGCTGTAGAGACAGAAAACCTACAGGGTGTGACTCAGGAGTCATGCCTGGATGTGCTTTTATTTACAAAGTTCATCAATGAAGCTGCTTTCGCACAAGCCCTTTAAACCCCCCTGGGTCATAAAGCTCAGGGCCTGGATGACTGATCTCCAATGATCTGTGTGTCTCCATGGTGTTCTTACTCTCGTTACTGAGTTTGTTTTGTTCTGTGTATATGTATATATACAAATGTGCATGCTGCAGTCATGCATGGGAGGTACGTTCTCAGAAATACTCCTGAGCATGTAACTGGCTTCAGCAGCACAGAGGAAGAATCTCTTATTCTGGTGATGAAGCAACTTGGGTACTGATGGACACTGACTTAATTCACATCTACAGCTTATATAGAAAGTATCTTTAGGTATCCTGCCTCTGCTTTATTTAACAACAGACTTAAAAGGAGCTTTAAGCAATTAAAGCACATAGTTTTATTGAATTGTTGGGGTGCTTGCCTTGTACCTCTTCTCTATTTTATGTTGGGGAGATTTAAATATCCACTTAATTTCTGTAGATCACTGCTGTGGATTTCCTGAGCTTTATTTTAATTGAGAAACAGGGGTACTCTGCTAAATACAATAAAGGATATTCTAAATGTTACTGTATACTCACTACTTTGAGCAGATTTTTAAGAAAATACAAACTCAATGTATTCCCCACAGGAGGAAATCTTAGGTAGATTGTTACCCCAGTTAATATTTGGCTCAGATGAAAACATCTAACTAGCTTGAAATGTGTCATGGGATTCTTAGTAACCCCAAGGTGTTTACTTTTTATGGCTCTAAAAATCACGTACCACCGGAAGCTGGTCACCTGTGGAATAAAACTGGGGTGATGGTTCACTATTGACTTAACAAATGATTCATTTGTGCTGCTTACTTCCTGCAGTATCCATCAGTAGGTAGTTCCACTGAAATGCTTTGGTGTGAATATGTGCATGGTTAGATCCATCTTGATCACAGCTGGAAGCATTTAAGTTTGTGGCTAATGAAGCTCTGGGGACTCTGTCTTCGCTGCAACTTCTGTGCAAATTGCTAGTTGTTGCAATGCCAGCACAGATGGAGCCGCTTCCCTGGGAGGCTGTTAACACTTGCTGTAAGAGGGAATGGAGATGCCAAGTGAAAAATAATAGTGGCTAGGGAAAACCTTGGGTTGTTGTCACTGTGGCAGCAAAAGTATAGTGGAGGGATGAGAGGAGGATTTGAGTAATGTAGATACTACTGAAGAAACTAGATGCCTGGGAACATGAGGAAACTCAGAAGTTATTGCAGTTGGTCTTGGATTACCTGGAGGAAGCAGAATAATCCAGACTGAGCAGACAGTTGCACAATAGAAAATGTACAATAGGTTATAAGAACGTGTAGCAAAGGTGTAGTGGAGCTGAGGTCATTGAGTCTGTGTTGCCACGTGGCAATGCGTAGCAAAGTCAGGTTTGGAGGTACTGCCCTGCTCAAGTAGCATGTTTAAGGGCATTGCCTCTTGGACCTTGTCTTTAGCAGATGGAGGGCTGAGTGGCAGCAACGGTGGGCATAAGCTGCTCCTGGAGGCAGCTCACATCTCGCTGCAGCCCAGACAGTCTGCCCATGCGTAACTGAAGTGAATATAGTGCCAGAGGCTTTGTAACAAGAAGTCTTCTGTTGAGGCCACTGAAAAAAGAAAGAGGGTTTAAAAATTGGTATTTGAGGGAATGAAGTAGCTTCTCTTGAAGGAATCTTAGATATTGATGATAAGGAATTAAGACTGAACCCTGGGACTGAGTCTGTGCTGTATCCTCAGGACATAGCAGGCACTTGAGTGCCTCTGTACATGTTAGGGTGGTTGTAGCTCTGGGAATATCACCTTTTCTTCCACTGCAGGCAAGGAAACCTGCCTAAGGTTTTAGCAGCTGAAGTGTGAAGCATGGGTAACTTTCTCTTTGCTTGCAAGTTGGGCATTGTGGTGGTTTGGATATTTTGGACTGCCTGCCCTTTTGATTTAAAAAATACCCCTTGTGTTCCAGCTTGAACTTTGAATGACACAATTTTAGTGTAGCATTCAACTGGCTTCCTGGTGTGTTTCAGTGAAACAGCTTCTGCACAAGTACAGAACTGGTTTATCATTGACATTTCCTGCTTCCCTCTGGCTAAATGTGTCAGCCTGACCCAAAAAAAAAAAATTCTGAAAGACAAGATGTATTTTGAAATATCTAAAAGATAGTGAGGAACAACTGCCAGACCTTGTGTCATCCTTGATCTGACTGGAAAAGTACACGGTTGTTTTGTTCCCCAGACGAGAGCACATTTGCAGCCAGTGAAAAGCTATTTCCAAATCTGTGATATGTCCTGACTTAAAAACATCTACACACTGAGATGAGATGATAGTTTTAGCAGATATAAACACACTAAAGATAGAACCAAAGCAAAAATCTGCTGATGTGCATTATAGTAGTTTGAGATGATTAGAGGAATTTCAAGGCTTAATTGGTTACAGCAGATACTGTTGTCTTCTAGCTAAATGAAAGCTACTAAGAGGATCTTAGCCATAACATTGTGCCAAGAAACACAAAGCAAAGGGAGGAAAACAAACTAATCTCAGCTTGATTTATGCAAACATACAATAAAGAATATGAACAAAGGTCTGGGTTTAGTTATGTCAACACATCTTGTATATTAAAACATACCATATCTTTTTCAATAACACTGCATAATGAAATACAAACTTCTTAAAGATGCAGCTTCTCTTTGGAGTACTTGCCTTTGTCCTGTTAGTGCCTGAAGACCCTGTGGTGGGTCAAAGCCCTGTAATATTAGGTGCTGGTGAGTAAGAAACCAGCTGTTTTAAATGGTTTACAGATAAAGGAGATGAGTAATTTTTTAATTCTGTAGCTAAAAATGCAGGGTACCTCACTGAACTCAAGGTGTCTGTCTATATCTCAAAATTTAAAACTCTGACTGTTTGTTGTTAAGTGCTTCCCTCTGCCTGGTGTTTAAACTGAATTAGTTGCTTTTAATTTCCTTTTGAGATTCCTTTTTATGACCCTTAATTCAGTGTTCAGTGCTTGGTTGGCCCCTCAGTGGTTGACAGGGAGCCAGGAGCTCTCTTAAGTGTGCAGGTTTCTTATGTACATGTAATTTTCATTCAGCCTGCACATGGTAAACGCCCAATCTCCTGGATTTCGGTAGAAACAATCCCTTGAGGCAAAATAATGGTATGTGAATATAAACACATAGCAGACAGAGCCAGGGGCTCTGCAGTTTTGAGTCCCTTCCTCCTTCCTACAACAGTAGTTTATACCTGTGGAAGTTTTTCCCTTCATGCATTTCCCTACATGTTGACATTTAAAGAGATCTCTAAATTATTTTTCATAATTAAAATGTTGAATTAATTTAAATGAATGCAGGTGTGGGGTACGGGCTAAAAGAACCCCACGCTGGGAGATCTGAAAGCTGAGGGGGGATCTCTGCGGGGCTGGATTTTGCTCTTTGTTCGCTGTTCCGCTCCCGGGATCCCTCTTACAGCCAGAGGGGGGTGGTGTGTTTTAGGTTTGTTTTGTTTTGTTTTGTTTGGTGCTTTTTTTTTTTTATTATTTTACCTCTTTGAACCCCCAAGCGGCAGCTGGCACGGGAACACCCCTTCCACCCCCTACCCCCCCACCCCTCCTCCCTCACCTTTTGTCTTGTTAATTCCCGAGCGAGGCTGGGGAAGCTGTCTGCGTGGCCGGGGGAGGGTTGGGGGAGCGCAGGCCGGGGACCCTCGGGCCGTGCTCGGCGGCAGGACCGGCCCCGGGACAAAGGGCCGCGGCCCCGGGACGGCCGCGCTCCCGAGCTGCCCTGCGCTGAGGAGATTCAAACGGCGGCCCCGCGGAGGCCAGTCTGCCCCGACCCCTCCTGGCAACAGGCGGGGCTTAGCTCCCATTGGCGGATGGAGCGGGCAGCGCGCTCCCATTGGCTGTAGCAGGGCGGTGAGGGGAGGGGGGAGGAGGGTGAGGGTGTTATACGGCGTAGGGAAGCGGCCGCCATTTTGTGTGGGAGCTGGAGGGGCAGCGAGCTGGTGGAGCGGTTCGGTCTGTGCTTTGAGGGGGGGGGGCGGTGTCGGAGAGTGTCGGCGGAGGAACAGCGGGGTCGGTGCCTAAAAGCCCCTGTGTGTGTGTCTGTGCTTGTGGGCAAACAAGACGGACAGAAGTCGGTAAGGGAGGAGCGGTGCGGGAAGGGCCGAGCGCTGTCGCCGCCATGTTGTGCTCGCTGGGCTACTCCATTGTTGGGGGAGTGAGGACGGGGGTTCCCGGCTCCCCGAGGGGTCAGGCGGGGCGAGGGACGGGAGTTGTAGGTAAGAGGAGGAAGAAAGCTTGGAGACAAACAGATGGAGCTGTGGCAAGCGCCGAGCCTCTTGAGGGCCGCTCCGGTGGGAGCAAACAGCAGCTTGGATTGTGTTAAGGACGTTTTCTCGGCTCTTAGTTTCCGTCGCAACAAGGCGAAAGCTGGAAAAGATGATGGGCGGCTCTTCTTGGAGCTTTTGGGGAGGGATGGACGGGGGGTGCTGATGACTCTGAAAATGACACATCGGTTAGGGGGAGGTGAACAGATTGGAGTGCTTTAAAATATTTCAGGAGAGGATGAGCCATAGGCTAAACAGGAAATTAGTGTAAGGGTTAAGGAACTACTTTGCTAACGAAGGTGGAAGCTGATAGCTGAGAAACAGAGCTCTGTTGTAATGGCTGGAGGAGGATTTGGGGGTGCGATTGGTTTTATGGGAGGTGTTGGGACATTTAGGGTCAGTATCTGGTCGCAGTAATCCCGGGCGGTGCTTTCCTGCTGTGCGCCCGGTTAGGCGGGTGACTTCCCGAGGGGCAGTTTTCGGAGAGGGTTTCTTTGTGCTCGATCGATGCACTGAAACGCTAGTGTCCTAACCGTTCGCCCTAAAGTATTTTCCATTGTGCGTGGAGTTTTTCTCTATTGAAAGAAGATACAGTTCTTGCTTGCCTATTAAAATACTGAGCTATATAGAGAGCATGATAAAAATGCTATTCTTCGTGAAATACTAAGTGTGATGGTGACGTTTATGTAAATAGATAAATACTGCCATGTCTTTTGGTGTGTTATGTTGTTGTGTTTTTTTTTTTTTTTTCCTTTTCAGTATACTGTAGTCTTTAGCAAATGAGGCACAACTGACTGAGTTCTCTGAATAATATCAGGTTGTTTTTTTTTTTTTTTTTCCCCGAATTTGAAAGGGAAACAATTGCTTCCCTAACCTGAATTCAAGCTTCATTCTCATTTATGCAGTGGGACTTCTCCCTTGGAGCTTCTGTGCCGAGAATCCGATGTGGGGCTCGGCTACCTGGCTGAATACAGCAAATCAGCCCATGAAAACTTCTATTCCTAGCCAAAGGAAGGAGTCCAGCAAAAGGCAGCACCTACTCTTTCAGGCTTGGAAGCAAGAAAGGGGGCAAGAGTTGGAGAGTGTGGAATCTGAGAAGACAACTGAAAGGTAAATGGGAGTGGGAGAGGAGAATCTCAGTAGGAGAATCAGCATGAAGGTGCCAAATACATTGTGATAGTATCTGGCTGTCTGCTTTGGAAGTTCAGTTACAAATGGCTGCTTTCCATTTGAGGTTGTTTTCAGTTTACTATGGGTTTATCAGAGTAATTCTTGGGTTTACCAAAAGGCCTAGGGAGTGGCTTTATCAGTGCAAGCTTTGTCCAGATCTTTAGGTGTAAGAAGCTTGGTTTAAATGTCTTCAGGAGTAAATACTAATACCTTAAATTTGGCACTGTATTTTGCAAGTAACATACCTTTCACATTCTTCAGTAACACCTTTTGTTGAGGAGGAATGTGGTGTATTTAGGAGTTGGGCTTCCTGGAGGATCAGCTTTTCATAGCTAGGTAGAGAAGGCTGTGACTGTTACAGGGACTAGGGTACAGTTCCTGAAGGATGAATTGGTAGATGATGTTGCTGGTCAGTCATCAGCAGCAGAACAGAGTCAGTAATCTCCCGCTTGGAAGATATGCTGCATTGTAATTCAGTTGTCATGAATTAGAACTGAATATGCTACATATGCTACAAAAATATAGTCATCTTTAACACGTAAGAGACAAAGTGACTTAGAATTCTCTGAATTGTTGCAGCTTTTTTTCCCAAATTTGAAGGAGAAACAGTTGTTTCCTTCACCTGAATTCAAATCGAGCATTAGGTTCTTAGGTATTACTGAAGTGGCATCCAGTAAAGGAGAAAAAATACTGCTTTCAATTGATATGTTTTGGTTAGACTGATTTTAGTCCCCTTGCTTAGAATCCAGAAATTCTCTGAAATACTTTCTGTTAAAAAAAAAAAAGTAGTAATGCAAACTTCAGTGACTTTTCCCCATATTTACAGGTGACATTTAAGTTGAAGATGGGTGGTGGAGAAAGATTCAACATTTCAGTTCCCCAATCTCGAAGTACCACCAAGAACCATCAACAACTTAAAAACAGGCAGAAGAATAAAGACCAGAATTCGCAGATGAAAACCTATATGAAGAAAGAAAGAGGACACGGATGCAACTCCTCATCGGGTGCATGGCAGGCCATGCAAAAAGGGGGAAAGAACAATGTTCATTTCCCCAATAATCAGAATTGGAGTCCTACTTTATCGAATCGCAACCTGTTTTTCACACCTCAAACCAATCAGAACTATGCTGGAGCAAAATTTAGTGAGCCACCCTCACCAAGTGTTCTTCCTAAGCCACCAAGCCACTGGGTACCCGTTTCTTTTAAACCTTCTGATAAAGAAATGATGACATTTCAGCTTAAAACATTACTTAAAGTCCAGGCTTGAGATGTAACTTTTCATATTTTTAAAGTTATTTAAATTTACAGGGTTTCAAATTTGAGAATTGTTATTCCTAACTCCAGATGCGCAGGTGTACAGAACTTAGATTTCTTGCTGCATGTACTCACTTGGCAGAGAAGCAGGTGGAAGTTTATATTGCCCTAAAGTTTTACCTCAAAAGTTGTGTGTTGTGTTCACTGTGAAATAAGTAATGTCTATAATCAATCTCATCAAATCCTTGAACAGTCACCATTTATTTTAAGATTAAATGGGACTGTCTCCCAAAATTGGAATTGTGACTACTTCTGGTATGGTGTTAGAAAACCAGCTTTTACCTAACTTAATGTAGCATTAACTGGAAAAAAATGCACTGAAAGCTTTAGTCAGGTACTTTGCTGCTTTTCAAACTTGGTGTAAAATTTGCTAAATAAAAACTGCAGAACAGATTTGCTGAGCAGGAGACCCCCACCTAGGCATGAGGTAAAGCAGATTCTTCTCTTGTTTTTACCTGTGAGCTTTATTTGGCACTCTGGGATTGGCAGACAAGCATTTCAAGCCTGTGACTAAAACTGAGGCGTAGGAAACGTCGGTGCATGTTCTTGAAAGGATGGAAGAACACATCAGGCAAATCTGTAGCTGCCTCTCTCCAGCTCTAGCAATACTTCACTGAAATCTGACTGTGCCAACTAATGACATTGTGTTGCCAGATGACTGCCAAAAAATCCTTTGTATTCCCATTGCACTGATGAGTTCTAAAATACGTTTTTGTATCAGTTTTTAAAATTGTGAAGAAAAGTGGAGTAGTTACTTAGACTGGTCTTAAATTGGTTACCCTGTAATAATTGTCTTAAGGTTCAGTAGCTTGTGACAGGTATTAAAATGTTTTAATTATGTAAGGGAAGACAGAGCCATGTAAATAAATGTAAAACTTTGTAGCATATGTAAATTTATGCTGGGCTTTCCTGCACAGAAGTATTTTTAGTACAAAACTGCTGAATGTAAGATGACCATGTTGAGTACATGGCCTGATTTTAAAAAAAATATTTTGTTTAAAAAAACACAAAATATTTGTGGCTGTGCCCTTGCACTTAACATACAGTGATTATGCACGTTTTACTTGGTTGTGAGCTCATTTTTTAAAGTAAACTCAGTGCAAAAGAGGCTTATTTAGAATTTTTTAATAAAATAATAAAAATAAAAAAAAAAAGCTGCTCAAGTTCAAGATACTTGTTCTGAATGTATAGAAGTATGTATTAAATGATGGGAAAAACAGGTGTTCAAAATCAGCTGTTTCACAAGAAATGCAAATGGCTGAGTTTTGGTACTTGATAAAACTGAAGTATTTTAAGTTTTCTGATTCTCCAGTGCATGAATGCTGCATCATGATTTGGTCCCACTATTTGCCACAATCTGTCAGCTTCAGGACAGGGGCAGGTGCCAGCGCACAGCAGTCAGTGCTGTGACAGAAACAACTCAATTGTGGTAACAGAAGCCAAGGTTATTTCAAAACAGTAATTACTAAAAGTGCTTTAACTTGAAAGGGAATTTCGCAGATTGTGAAGTGTTCTTTGAGATGTCTTTCTGTACATTCGAAATGCAGCTGGTCAAATGTTTACAAATCTATTGCTCCAAATATGATGGAATTGGCAGTTTTTAAACTTTGTGAGACCTGGACTGTCACAAGTGTAGGAGCTGTATCCCAGTTACAATTGTGTTTATTCAACTTTAAATTGTCAATTATTAATCTCAACTTCAAATTGTCAATTATTAATGGTATATGTACAAATTGGAAGCAACAAAAATTTAAATAAACTAAACTTTTCACCCCCTAAAAGCATCTATTTATTATGAGACAGTAATGAAAATGTGGGATTATGTAATTTTGGCAGCTCAAGGAGTTTCCTCTATGAAGTTCTGACACTTTGCCCCCTTTTTTATCCTTAACTGCTGAGAAACTTTAAGATTCCTTTTACCTGGTAAGAACCAGCAGCCTGGGAGCCCTGTGTGCCGCCTCAAGAACAAGCTGGAAGTGGCTTCCCCGCCAGGGAGGTTTCCTGACCCGCAGCCCTCGCGGGGAGGGGTGACCACTGATGTCACCAACCCAAACCAAAGCCTGCTCAGGGGCTGCCTGGCTCTGCCCAGGAAAGCTGGACTGGGGAGATGAGCTACTCTGAGGAGATGCTGCTTAAGCTTAGGCGAGGATGGTTGCGCTTGCGCTCTGCTCCCCCTGAGGCTGGGGCACTGGGTCAGCGCTGGGCTACAGGGAAGAACTTCCTCGGGTATTCAGTGCTTGGTGATCAATCTCCAACAGGCTACGGCTGTATTAATTAAGTCAGAAGGTGCTCTCAAGTTATAGTCAAAACTTGTACATTTTATTCCCAATTCACAGGGTTATTTGCACAGATGGAACACAAAACTCAAGAAGAAAGGATGTGTATGAATAAAACATTAGCATCTTTTGATCAAACACACTACAGGGTACATAGTCTTCCCTTCCTATAATAATCTCATCAGTAAGAGCATCTTTAGACAAATATAGCAATGGACTACAAACTTTTTAAGCAGGTTACAAGATAAATGGAGAAAACCAGCAATTATTAATGGGTGATTAGGTCCTAAAAATGTGTAAATTTATCCCTTTGTACTTCAAAATGTTAATCTGCAACATCCCTGCCAAAAAAATCAAGTAGCAGTGCTGCGATGTGTATCAATCCAATTGCCCTTCTCTGAGCATATTTCAAGCTGTTACCCCAGACTAAACAGTAAGAAAAAAAAAAAAGCAGCACTCTTTCCAAGAAGAGAGCTCAAAATAACATTTAAATTGAAAATTTCCACTTTGAATAAAGCCATTATACTGTACATTTAAACATCTTTAAAAGACATAGAAAGGATAACATTCAGCTTTCAGAGACCAGTCTATTATAGTCCCTAATTTAAACACCCAGCTACTTAACCACTAAATTTAAGATTTTGAATTATCAGTTGGGTGCATGGACTTTTGATGAAAAAGAAGTTCCAATAGAGCCTTCTATTACTGCTGAGATAAATCAATACGCTGCAGATATTTTGGAGCACAGCCATTACTTTCAGCAGAATTTTTACATACTACTTCAATTCTACAAATTTTGCAGGAATGACAAAAATCTAGTTTACCACAGAAAAACATAATTCCCACCGTTCTTGAGACTCCAAAAGAAAGATGCCTATACATGATCTTTTGCAGCCTGCGTATGTTCTTGCATTCCAGCTGTGCATAACCTGCAGGTAGCTTGCACAAGACAGGCTACTGCTTTTTTTAGAGCAGGACTAGGATACCTGCATCAAGGAAGGGAGATGTTATCTAGATGGGCTGTGGCTTGACTTGCATGAATGCGTAAACATTCCCTGCCCTTTTTTGGCCACATCCTGCTAACTCGTCCCCAACTGAAAGGCCCACAGAACAGCTTCTTCACAATTTTTCCATGGGAGCAAGAACTAGGACAACATCTTTATTCATGCACTCTTGAAACATCGTGGGTTTGTGTTCGGCTTTTCTGGCTTGTTCATATACACAAGTCAAGTCAAAGTTTAGTCCTACCTCTGGGAGAGAAAGAAAGAACCATCAGAACTGTCAGATACTACATTATACTTGCAATGAATTGGATTTTCAAAACAAAAAAAAAAATTTAAACTCTGCTATACATCAATGTTGAGGCACACAATATAAGGACATGCTGACAAAAGTTAAGGTATCGTTACTGTTACTCTGCAGTCTCAAATTAGAACCTCAGCCTGGACACAAAGACGTTTTCCACCCTCCTCCCCACCGATCCAGCTGTAATTTGGGCTGGACTAATGAGAATATTAATTACAGCAATCCCTCACAGGTTGCCAACAAAACCAAAACCACACTTTCCCATGACACAGGCAGGTGGACCACTTCTAAGCAGGATTTGAGTCATGAAGACTACATTAATTTAAGAAGGCTAAAAAGGGGTGTTTTTTTTCTGTCGTTACAAGCAGAAAGCTACAGGGTAATCACAGCTCAACATACGAAGTGTAAGAGTGGATTTTATCACCACTATTAAGTGCTTTTCAGAGTTGTTCTCCTTCAGTGGCATTAAGAACCACCAGTTGTATATACCACAAGTGCCAGGAGGCAGCTCGATTTCTGAACGTCATCGGCAAAGTTTTACCACCTAGAGAACCACTGCTGGTGCAATTTTTGATATGGCAAATATAAGGTGGTATGGTGATACTAGAAATTTGTTTCTATATGAATCTTCAATTGTTGATTTTAAGTAGTTCATAACCTGGCTAGTAATATCTGAATTACAACCATAGGGCAGTCCACCCAGCAACAATGAAAGTTAATGGCAAATAAATTTCAATATATTAGTCTAAAACACATGCTTATCATACTTATTTAGTCTAGTACCCCTTAAAAATGTGAAATGATATTTGTTCAGACATTAAATGATAAAATCCTGACTTTACTGAAATACCATAGTAAGGATTTTACTCCATAAGGGATGCATAGCTGCATTCCTAACCATGCTCTGGAGTCAAATTCTAAAGCTACAATAATTCCAGTGGATCAGTATTTCCTTCATTTTTTTTATTACAGCATGTTTGCTAAATTTACAGCAAGCAGAAAATAAGCTGGGTCTGTAGTTATTTTGATCAAAACATTGATGTTTTAAAGGTAGTACACAATATTTGTTAAAAAGAACATATAAAAATACCTTTTTAGAAGCCTCTATAAGAAAGGAAATACAAAGTTTAATCCCACAACTTTCCTCTGCTAGAGCTGCAAGCTACTGCTACAGTTTTAAATAGACTTTTTGCTGTTTTTAAACTATACATCCAGGAAAGTCTACAAAATTAAAGGAACGTGCATATAAATGATTGCATAGCAGAACATGAACATTAACTGCAAACAGTAAAGAAAAAGTTAGAAATACTATCAAATGTACAAAGATTCTAGGATCAACCCCCTAAGCACGTTCCACTGCCAATATTTAAGAAACATCTGCATTTCTTTAAAGGCCCTGCTGAAAACACAAAAACCAAAACCTAAGACATTTCTCTAAAAAGGAACTTTTTGAAATCAATGTCTTTATATGCTACTACATAAGACAGCGAGGAACACTAGGTGTCTGATGCTGGCTTTTGAATGTAAATAGAAAATACAATGCCAAAAGCCATTTTCATAACAAAGTATCTTGCCTTCTAGAGAAATACTGGTATGATTACACACTGGTTTTGTTATTTTTCACATTCAATTTATTTACTAAATATACTGTATTAGTGATAAACTAAATAGCTAGAGATGCAGCTCTTGTTCATATCCAACTTCAAACATTTGCTCTTAAGTAAAATGAAATCTTGTAACCAAGCCACTATCCATTCTGAGGAAGAAGTGATTCAGACTTGCTTGACCAAGTACTTTTTGACGTGTAAAAAGCAAGCCTTGTTACTCAGGAAGAGAGATGGCTACAGTTTTATACCTATGAATACACCAACTAACCACAGGAGTCATTGGCATAAAAGTTTAGTTCTTATATACTGTACACACACAACTTGAAACAATCTACTTGTATCTAACAGCAGGAAAACTAAGCAATTTTAAGGTTAACTGCTCACTAAAATTTAGAATAGATACAAAAACTGCATAAAATGTACACACAACCTAATATTTAGTTGCTCTGCCATCTGCTGAAATCTGAATTTAATTTTCCATTTCCACGTTTTTTTCTCCCCTCACGTATTTAGTACTAGCAGCCAGGTAAAAAGCACTGAAGCCTCTATCCTGACAAGTCACAACACTGCACAATCTCTGAGCTTCCAAGACCAACTCTCTCCCCATGTAGAACATGCAAGGTTAGTACCATCTCTCCAGATGGCAGGGTTAAAGAGAAATCTCAAAAATATCTCTCCATAGAGCTCCATTTATCAACCTACTTGTGTCAGTGGGCACGGAAAACACAGAAACCTGCCTTTGAACAATGGAAACAAAATTGCCAGTCTGCATTTCACAGCAGTCAGTGTTGCACTACAGCTGTCCAGTTTTCTGTTTTATCACAAAGTTTAGCATTACGGAACAAGTTAAACAGTTGGTTTAACTGTTCAGCACAAACTGGTACCAATTCCTCTATGGGTATGACATTTTTAATAGGACAATGTTGCAAGTTACGATCAATCAAGTCATCACCAATATCTAAGCATTAAAAATGCAAATCTTTACAAAAATATACATAGAGACACCACAACCAAATCAGTAGCTGCCCATGACATTTAACCAAGTGGACATTCTCTCTCTCTCTCTCTCTCTCTCTCAGTGGCTTCTCAACACTGTTTTAATTTTAACCATTGTCGGCTACAGGTAAAACTGACAAAGAAAATATTTTTTAGCACTGTTGCAACATCATATTCCTGATAATTTAAGTAAACTGAACTGTGTGTAAATGAATCTTACATGCCTAAAACCAACATGGATACACTGTTAGTGGCCACTGGACTTGGGACTAGTCCATGACCTTGATCTGGATTTTGACCTAGATCTAGAATGTGATCTTGACTGTGATTTGGATCTAGCTGGTTCTTTTTTTCTCGACTCCTTTTCATATCTTGAGCTGGACTTATAGTGTGTTTTAGAATCTGTTTTAGAGGTGCCTCTAGATTTGGTGTGAGATGCAGACCTAGACCGTGATTTAGCCTTCATTTCTTTCTTGGGCTGTGACTTGGATCGTGATCTTGAATTGGACTTAGATCTTGAAAAAGATCGATTGCGGTGTTTGAACCTATCAGAATAAAGGGGAGAGAGGAGATTTGAATGTAAAAACACTATTACAT